CACCGTCATGGGCATATAATCCCTGGACCTTACTAAAGGCCCAGAGCAGAGGAAGCCAAAGAAATAATAGGAGAAAATGAAGGAGACCAGAAAGAAAGAAAGAAAGAAAGAAAGAAAGAAAGAAAGAAAGGACATCCGATTTTTCACCTGCTGATTACATAAAAAAAGAGAAAGAAATCAAGACATTCAGTCCATGATAACATATATCTTTTACACTTTCTGTTAAGCAATATTTCTTTTAAGTCAGGTAGGTGTGCCAGTGGTCTGACTCAGTACAAGACAGTTTCCTATGTTCCTCTCGTAACCACCTGGGGTTTTTCCAATCCCAGGAAGGTATCCTTACAACCACACCACCCTGGCTTTCAAAATACCAGTGTTTGGCTATGCATATGAGGCCAGTCCAATAATAATAATAATTTATTATTTATACTTTGCCCATCCGGCTTGGCTTCCCCAGCCACTCTGGGTGGCTTTCGACAAACAAAACATTAAAATACAGTAACGCATCAAACGTTAAAAGCTTCCCTAAACAGTCCAAGTGCTGCCTGTAGAGAAAAGCTGCCATCTAAGGAGCCTGCAAGCCTCTCTCTCTCTCCCTCCTGCCTGCTCAGGAACACAAAACCTTCAGCCAGGCCTCTCCCCTTTGGAACGTGCTTGACACCTGTGGGCTGGAGGGGAAGGAAGTGTCAATAACTTCCTTCTCCCTGGGCTCCGAGAGCGGCAAGCCTCGTCTTGGGCACTTGGCAGATGGATGATGAGGGAGCGGCAGCAGGTCAGGTTTCCTTCTGCCCTCAAATACAGAAAGCCTTCCGGCCTCTCTCCCTCCAGATTCACGGGCTGGAGCCTGCAAAGGGCAAGCTTTCCAGGAACATCAGCGACCTGGGGGTCATTTCTCTTCGGCCCGAGGTCACAGCCAGACCACTCTCCTTCTCTTCCGTCAGTCTGGGAGAAGCCAGAGGGGCCTCCTCACCACGAGTAAGCAGCGAAGCAGATTGCCGCGTGGGATCCGTGCACAATTCCCCAAAGAAATGCACCACAATTTGACATTTGCCGGGGAAAAGCAGCCAGACTTGTGGTCCATCGTACCTTCAGGAGGGACTTTCGGCTGATTTCACCTGTGCAGAACAAGGGGAGAAGGACTGTCACAAAGGCAAAACCCTGTAAATGGAACACAGCGTCAATAGCGCAAACTTCATCAGCCTCATCAAAGCCTCAGAAGGATCATAGAATCACTGAGCTTGGAGGACAACGGACGGGACCTTGAAAGGCATCTAGCTCAACCCGTTTGCTTAAGGTGGCATCTGCAATGGACAATTCAACTATTGCAGCACCCCTGACAGTGCGGCCATTCTGTTGAAATACCTCCAGCGAAGGAGAGACTGCCGCCTCCTGAGGCAGAGAGTTCCACAGTCAAACAACTCTTGCCACTAGGAAGCGTCTCCTAACTTTTGGCCAAAATCCGCTTCCCTGCAATTTCCACCCCTTTGGTTCCAAGTCCTGCCCTCTGCGGTAGCAGAGAGCAAGTCTCCTCTGTCTCTTCTGCACAACAGCTCTTCAGATATTTGAAGGCCGCTATCTTGGTTACAAGGAAAACAACATGAAAGGGTTTAGTTATACAACTTCTAGATTTCAAAAGGAAGTTATAGAAGAAGTAAAGCTGCTGAAGAAAGCATATAGTATTTTGCTAGAATGGGATACAAAAGAGGAGGAGGTCAAATTGGTTATGATTAAATGGGCACAAGATATAGGACATAATATATAATTTGAGGATTGGGAAGAATTGTGGAAAGTAAATTTGAAATGTACAGATTGTTCTCTTTTGAAAGAAAATTACATGAAAATGATGTATAGATGGTATATTACACCAGTACAGATAGCAAAAATGTACAAAACCGGGTCAAACACATGTTGGAAATGTAAAGAAAAAGAAAAAGAAGGAATTTTTTTATCATATGTGGTGGGAATGAAGAGAAGTGAATTTTTGGGGGGAAATGATATACAATGAACTGAAAAAAATGTTTAAAATGACATTTGTAAAAAAAACCCAGAAGCATTTCTATTAGTGATTCTAGGACAAGACCGGCAAAGAAAAATAAATAACTTATTTATGTATGCTACCACAGCGGCAAGAGTCTTGATAGCACAAGGATGGAAGAATGAGGAAATCCCAACAAAAGAACAGTGGAAAGAAAAATTGATGAGTTATGCAGAACGGGCTGAATTGACATACAAATTGCGGGACAAGGACAACTGTGGAAGAATGGGAGCTTTTTACAAATTATCTAAAAAGACAACACAATGAACTGGACTCCTTGGCAGGTTTTGAATAAACATACACAGATTTATTGGTTGACAACATGATAGATAGATAACGTAAGGAAATGTATAATTTTATAACATGCAGAGAACAATATGTGCTGAGAAATCAGAGAGAGGAGCTGAGGGAAGTCTCGGGGGGAGGGAGGGTTTGAAGGGGGGTGGGTAAAAAGGGGGAAAATAATAATGAATATGATATGTTTTGATAGTTTGTACAGTGGTACCTCGGGATGCGAACGGGATCCGTTCCAGAGCCCCGTTCGCAACCCGAACAGAACGCAAGATGCAACGGCGCGTCTGCGCGTGCGCGGGTCGCGTTTGGCTGTTTCCGCGCATGCTCGTGATGTCATTTTGAGTGTCTGCGCATGCGCGAGTGGCAAAACCCGGAAATAATGCACTCTGTTACTTCCGGGTTGCCGCGGAGCGCAACTCGAATGCGTTCAACCCGAAGCACATTCAACTCGAGGTATGAATGTTTGTTGAAATTGTTAATAAAAATATTAAAGAAAAGAAAAGAAGAAGGCTGCTATCCATTTTGCCCTGACCATCTCTTCTTTGGGCTACAAAACCCCGCAGAGCTTTCATAGGACTCGGCGTCTGGACTCGCCACCATCCTGGGTGTGACTGGAAGTTGGCTCATTTAGTTTAGAGCGATAGCAGAGCATTTCCTCTGACAGTTGGCAATAGGCTGCATCAGGGATGGTTTGTGGACCAGATGATTCTCTAGGTCCCTTCCAACGCTACAACTCTATGTTGCAAAAGATCCACTACTGCTATCCCTACCTGGCCAGTGAAGCAATAGACGAGGGCAGGTTCCTTGCAATGTTATTGTTGTTATTATTAAGGAGTTTCTGGAGGTAGAGTCATCGGCAGTGATTCGCTCGGGACCTACAGACACCTTTGGTGTCTGAGATCAGAAGAGAGGGAGATCTTATCCACCTGATCATCAGCTGTCAGGCTGCCCTGGCTGAATCAGAGCGACAGCCCTGTTTATCTTGCTGATGCACATGGCAAAATCCAGCACTCAGATCATGCCAGCTCACACCGGCAGGGCGAGTCCGACAGGTGTTGCCAAAGAAGGAAGAGAGGAGCGGACCCTGCCAGTATCTGCCGAGTTGGCAGGTGGAGCTGGGCCAGAAGAGAAGCAGATCACATCTTCGGATGGAGTTTCGTTTCCTCCACCCGCAGCCTCCTTATCACCCTGGCTGAGCGGCAACTTGCAACCCGGGTGTTTCCTGGGCTTGTTTTGAAACCTGCACCTCCGCTTGGTTGCGCTGAAAGAGCATCGTCAGCTGTGGGTGAAGAAACGACCAGTGCCTCTGAGCATACCCAGGCTGCTTTCCCCCCACTATTGCAGAACTGCAGCCCACCTGAACTCAGAATTAAGCCAATGGGCCTCTCTATCCCTAGTTGAGGACTAAATTGAACCCTCCTAAAGCCTGCCCCCCCCAACGTCCTGTTTATTGTGCATTCATGACTATTTGTGCTCATGGTGGTATTGGGGCAGTTATATGTGATCCCACTTTTGAAGCTATTTGAACTTGCAAAAGTTTGGGAGCAGAAACAACGACAATGACAACAACAACAACAACAACAACAACAACAACAACAACAACTTCTTTTTTATTTATGCTTGGCCCATCTGGCTGGGTTTCTCCCCAGTGGCTTCTAGTACATATAAAAATTTAATAAAACATCAAACATTACAAACTTCCCGACACAAGGCTGCCTTCAAATGTCTTCCCAAAGTTGTGTAGTTCTTTATCGCCTATGCAGTATTGTTATGTCTGTGACGTCTTGCAAAATACACCCACAAAGGGTATCGGTCTGGAGGGGCCTCCTGACATCCCCTCTGTTACATTCCTCTCCACCCTTCCACTGTCTGCGCATTTATACTGCATGCTGCTCAGGGCAGAGATCTATCTTTTGCTTATGTCACCCTGCGAAGCACCGTGCACAATTGTGGCTCTGTGTAAATAATAGGCAACTATACATTATAAGGGGCCAGGATGTAGTGGCAGAATGCTTGCCTTCCAAGCAAGGTTTTTAATGCCTTCGGTCCTTGGGACCTATGAAAGTAAGCAACAGTGCCTCTGAGCAGGCACAGAGTATTATATTTCGCTCGCAAATAAGGGCCAGGTTAGAGGTTACCTTGAGCCAGCCTTTCCCACCCTGGTGTCTTGCTGGACTACAACCCTACTCTCCATCAGCAGGGGCTGATGGGAGCTGGAGGCCAGATCATTGGAAGGGCACCAGGTAGAGGAAGGCCTGTCTTAAAGGCAACATCGCTGTGGTTACTGCACCCCTTCTCTGCATTACCTGGTGGCATCTACCTGAAAATGCTTGGTAACCTTCTTACATCAGCCTAACATTTCCCTTTCATGGACCTCTCTGGTGGCTGCTGAATTCAGGTGGTGGAGGGACATCAACTGAGATGACGCCACATCATGCTTCTGTTAGGCCAGGGGTGGGGAAACCTTTTCAGGGCCACTTTCCCTCACAAGCAACATTGGGGGGGGGGGCGCAAGCCTGCAGTGGGCAGGGCCAGAGGCAAGAAGTAGCTGGGTCAAAGTTGGGTGTGTGGCAGATGATGATGATGATGATGATTTTATACCCCACCCATCTGTCTGGGTTTCCAGATGTTACCCTTATCTGTGTATATTTCAGGCACACACACGTCAGGGGTTTGTACACACCCTTTATTCAGGCAAGTGAGAGGCATCTTTACGGCTCAAGGGGAATCCTTTCTAGCTAGGGGAAAGCCCTTGAGGAGCAGGATCAGAGAGGGAGAATGTCCTGGGGCTGAGTGTTGTCTCATGAGAGGCCAGATGGAAAGGATTTGAGGGTCGCTCCTGCTCTGGCTTTCCCCACCACTGGATTAGGCATTCTGGAAAGAGATTTGGATGGTGAGTAGTTCCGCACAGAGTAACCACAGAGAAGTCCCATTCATGGTGGCATAGGGAGAAGGCCAAATTAAGCAGCTGCAGCTTTCACCATTGGTGACTCCTCCCACCGCAAGCGCAGGTTGAGGTTGAGGTCTTGAGGAAGCAGTTCCCATGTACTTCCTCATATTTGGAACACTGATGCATGATGCCCCTCCTTCCCCCTCTCCGTACCACACTGCCGGTGACTTTCTCAGCTGTTTCAGTATCTTATTTGTCATGGTGATTGCTCAACGACTCCTCTGAGATGTACACAAATCCAGAGCATTGCTTTGTGGTCACTAGCTTGGAATCTGGGTAGGCTCGGGTGTGCTTGAAGAGGCTCACCTTTAGAAACCTGTGCATTCTGATTTAGTGAGGTCAGGGGGAAAGCACAGGCTCAGCAGCCCAGTTTCGTGTGGAATTGTGAGTCTCCCCACACCCTGTGTGAAAATGGCGGTGTTTTGTCACCTTCTTCCCTTCACCTCAGCAGATTCTTGACTAATAAAGGAGCCCTGGGTCTCAAATTCTCCATCCAGCTATTGTTAGAACACCTGCATTTCGGGGGGCGTGGGGTGTTAGGGGAGGGGAAATACCTCTGGTGGAGACATGTCATGCTCCTTCTGGACCTTTGGACCCCACCCTGCACTCAGCTCTCACCTGGGACTCCTAGAAGCTGCCAGAATGAGACATTGGCCACACCCTAGGAAACGGCTTCGACTGGCCAGCTAAACCACGTGAGAGTAGCCAATGGGTTTCAAACCCTCGGAGAGTTAGAGAGTTCCCCTGCATGTGAAGAAAGCCTTAGGTGGATTGAGCAGACCAGACCAGTAGGGGGTCCAATGGTGAAGAAGGCAGTTTCTGCACTGTACAGTCATACCTCATGTTACGTTCGCTTCATGTTACGTTCTTTCAGGTTACGTCCTGCGGTGACCCGGAAGTACTGGAAAGGGTTACTTCTGGGTTTCACCACTCGAGCATGCACAGAAGCGCAAAATGACACCATGCGCAGAAGTACCAAATCGCAACCCGTGCGTGCGCAAACGCGCCGCTGCGGGTTACGCTCTTTTCACGTTGCGAACGGGCCTCCGGAATGGATCCCGTTCGCAACCAGAGGTACCACTCTAGAGGGAAGTGAGGGGTAGATAGGGCTCGTCCACACAGGGGCGTTCTGAAGTGGGGGCAGGGGGGTGGTCCACCCTGGGTGCCATTCCAAAGGGGGTGAGACAAAATGCCGACTCCCTATCTGTGGCACCTCCTGGGGCATGCGCTGCTCGTCGTGCACCCCCGGTATGCGTGCCACACCCCCGGGATGCACACCACACCCTCGGGATGCATGCCATGCCCCCGCGAGTGGTGTGTTACACCCCCTCAGGAGCGCATCACACCCCCTGGGACAAACACCGCTCCAGGTACCGGAACAGGTTGCTCCGCCTCTGCGTCCACATGGGAAGGGAGCCCATCTAGGGGAAGGAAAACGCTGTTCCTAAACTTCCACTGCCTTGTGGGATGTCTTCAGGAGAAGAAATGACAATGGAGTAAACCTTACACAAATCTGGAGAGGAGTTCCTAAGATGGTTCAGTGGCACCTTGTGCACCTCCTTCTGGCAACTCCTCCAACCCAGCTGGCTCCTGTGGACCCCATCAGTGAGGCCGAGAGGAGGGTCTTGTCGTCTGGGCAGCCCAGGAGCTCCACACACACTGCCCAGGCTTGCAACCCGGGGGAGGTCACTTCAGTGCTGCTAGTGCAGCAGTTTGACTTCACCCCCGGAGGCGCACTCCATTGTCTCTCGAGACAGACGGAGGCCAACAACAACGATGCCATGTGCCCATGAGTTGGTTATAAGTGCCAAGCACACTGCCTCCTTTTCAATTGGTGCAGGATCCATAACGTCCTGCTGAAAAACCGTAACTTTTTAAACCGCAAACGGACATTGTTGCTGTTGTCGCGTGTTAAGAGCTGTAGCTCAAGAGGGGCTCTCCAGATGGCAATATTGTGGTGACATTGGGAGAAGCGTCACAGAACAACTAATGAAGTGAAATGACATGTGTGCTTCCCCCACTAAGGCAGTTCTAGTATCTCACTGGCTTGTTGCAGGACACATTTTGCAACATCAAAAGTATAGGGTCTATACTTAGCAGAAGGCTTTATGTCAGCACATGGTTCCTTTACCTGCTCGCAGGAGTATCTGGGGAAATCCTGACCATGCCATATCTGCGAAATCCGCCGCTATCTCCATGCTGCTGCGGCTGCGGAGTTCTTTATTCCTATCTTTTGTTAACTCTCAGGCTTCCCCTCCCCCCGCCTCCCATGTCATCCTGCCCATTCATGAATGGGAGCCCCCCACCTCCCACCGCAGCACTTTAATAGCTGGCAATCCCCCACTCGGCCACTAGGTGGAGCACCCTCCTCGCGTGCCTCCCGCCCGGCCAGTGAGCCTTGAGAGCTGGTCTCGGAGCGTCCGCCCTTTCCAATTCATCTTTCCCTCGGAGCCCCGCCTCCCCACTTCGGGAGGCGGCAACCCAGAGGACGACAGCCGCCCAATCAGCGCGAGGCTTGGCGTTGCTAGGGGCGTTCCCGCCGCGCCTGGCCCGCGCTGAGCGGGCGCCCGGTTGCCGGGGGCGCGGCCCTGGGCGCGATTGGCAGCCGGGCTCCTCCCCCTGGGTCTGAGCCGCGGCGGCTTTGCAGGAGCGCCCAGAGCGAGAGCGTGAGCGGCCGAGAGAGGATCCCCGAGAGAGGGGCGGCGCTGGCTGCGTGCGGAGCCCGCGAGTCGCTTGCAGCCTGCCGCGCACCGAGCCTCCCGGGTCTCTCCAGCCGGGAAGGAGGACCCTCTGCGGATCCCCGACGCCGGGGAATCCCCAGTCCAGCGCGGACCCAAGAGAAAACCGAGTGTGGGGCGGGAGAGATTCTGGCACTCCAGCCCTGCCGCGCTTCAGCACCGGACCGTCCGCAAGGGCCTGGACGAGCCCGCTTCGGTTCCGACCCAGCAGCAGCGCAAGAGAAAGCGGAGCTTAGCAAGCCAAGCGGGGATCCGCTGTCCGCATCGCGGACCGGAGCGGTCGTCTGGAGAAGCCCCGGCCGGTTCTGATCCGCTCCAAGTCCCCCGGACCGAGCAAGGGAGCCCCCCGGAGCTGCTGGGGAGAGCGGCGTCCCTGGAGAGGCGCGCGGAACTCCGGGGAGCTGTTGGTGCCGTCGGAAGACCCGCTCCGGCGAGAGGTTCCGGAGGGCGCCCGTCCAAAGCCACCTCCGCTCGGGCTGCGGGGTCGGGCGAGGAAGGGAGGGCAGGACTGTTGTCTCTCTTTGGCGGAGTACGAGGCGCCTTGGGCGGACAGCGCCTTTCGGGACCGCCCGGGACTACTGGATCGACCCGCTGGAGCCTGGAGGAGTTTAATTTCGGGAGGTTTTTTGGGTGCAAAGATCAGCCCGCCGGACGCCGAACCGACGCCGGGGGCGGACCGTGCGCTCCCCGCCGAGGAGCAGCGGCAGCGACGCGCCGGAGGTCCGCGCCCGCCCCGGGGGCTCGGGATTGTATAGCCGCCCCGCCGGGCTCCGGCCCCGCGATGGCCGCGGCCCGCCCGGGGGCGCCCCAGCCGCTGCTCCCGGTGGTGCTGCTGCTTCTGCTGCCGGGCGGCTGCCGCGCATTGGAAGGTGAGGCCCCGCGGATCCCTTGGGGGGCAGTGGGGGGAGATTTCCCGCGGGGATCGGCCTCTCCGTCGGGGGATCCCCATTCCGAGGGAGCGAAATGGTGAAAACCTCAGCTTGGCACTCACCTTTGCATGTGCACATTGAATTCTGCGGATGCACACACACTAAATATTTGCGGTTTTGGGGTACCGGGGGTGCTTAAGAACCCCACCCTTTTCCAGAGTCACGAACCCTTTCAACCTTTATCAATATATCGGACATCAGATGGAGAGGCAGCCTCCAGAGGTGTCTGTTGTCCTGAGTCCACATACAAGCCCAAGAACACACGTCCATTGCCTTGGATGGGTGCCTGGAGAGAAGCCATTGTCCCTGTCTGTTTGGGATGGGCAGTTGTTCCACCTCCGCCCTGCCCACCCTCCATTCAAACACTTGGCCCCTTCTTCTGCCCTCCAGCCTCTGTTTCACAAATCTGTGGCAGCCTCGATGAAAATAATCAAGTCCGAAGCATGCCCTCTTGGCCTGAGATCCAGTCTCACTATTTAGTGTTGTTAGCCGCCCTGAGCCCGGCTTCGGCTGGGGAGGGCGGGATATAAATAAAATTTATTATTATTATCTGGTCTTTCCAGGGTCTTCTAGCTTAGATCCTCCGCCCCCCACTTTCTGAACCGTGGCGTTAGATAGGGCCACCACCCTTGCTTAATGGCAAGGTCCTGTGTTATGACACCGGCAGCTTCAAAATTGGGGGGCAAGCGAAGGAAGCTGGTGGCCAACTGGCCTGCCTTGGCCTTGCTGCCCCTTGTGTGGGTTGCTGAGAGTTGGCTCAGCTAGATTTTGGAGGGCGATTGTGTTGTAAGTGGCAGATGAGAGAGAAGAGATCCTCAGAGCTGTCAAGTGCTATCCATAAAGTTGCTAAGTTCGCCATGCTTTTGACTGCGGGTGAGTTTTAGACCTCTGCAGCTCAGAATTTGGGTTTGCATTCTTTTCTCAGCTCTTTGGACTGCTTTCTTCTGGCTGTGGGAGCAGGAAGTTGTTTTCTTCAGATTGGGAACCGCGGAGGAAGAGAGGGCACTTCTGTCACTTGGCCTGCATTAAACAGAAAAGCAAAGCTGTGAAATGAAGCAGTTCATGGTAGACTTTAAAAACAAAAAAGCCAAGTTCAGAGTTTGTTTTAAAATGAGTTCGCTCTGTAAGAGACCCTAACATGTAAGAGCAGTGGCTTACTTAATTGTTGCATTTCACAGCATATATGTCTCACTGAAAAGTTCCGATTCTGCAGAAATTGTTGGAGCCACCTGAAGATAGCCTGAGTATCCTATTCCTGCTTTAAGCCCAAATGATACTTCTGTTTAGTATAAAGCACAATTTTAGCAGAAATGGAGAGGTTTGTATTCTAGTGGAATCTCCCTCCATATGCTTCTTATCTTTAGCAAAAGAACAGTAGACATTAATGTTCCTTTTGGGTGTAGGCAGATTTCAAGTTTGCTTTTCCACAACCCCTCAGTCCTGAAGGCCAGAAATGGTCTCTTTAGCCTCACCAAAAGGTTGAGCGTTCAAGAACCAGGACGAAAGGCTTGCAACTCAGTTGAATTGCAAGACCAGAGGAGAGAAAACTGGTTGTTTTCCAGTTCTGGTGGAAGTTTTAACTTTAGTCATTTTGCCAAATGCTTGGGATCATGAGCTTTTGTCCCATCAGAGAAAAGGTGTTGGGCCTTTGAGCAAGCTCGGGAAAAAATTTGGTTCATCTTGCCCTTTGTGTTCTGAATCTTGTCAAAATGAGAGGGGGGGGAAAATGTTTTCAGCATGCACAAGAAGAACAGCACAGAAGCTGGAATGCAGACATATGTGACACATTCTCAAAAATCAGTGCTGGGGAATTTTCTTAATAGGCAGTCTCATTTCTCCAGCTACCTCCCAGCCTCCCCTCCACACAAAATATGGAAGTTGTGTCTTTAAAGTAGCTCCTGTGAATTTCCCCAAATACATCAGATCTTAAAACCTGCCAGCTTCAGCATCGCTGCCCTCGGATACATTCAAAAACATGCTTTTGACTTCCTTTCTTCTTCTCCCCTGTTTGACGCTGGCTTCGAGTTTTCCTTCACAGGCACATTCTTTTGCTGGGATGGCAAAGGCGCTGGGTTTGTGGTGAAATGAGAGTGAGAGAGAAAGAGAAGGGGTGGGAGGGAGGGTGTGTGTGTGTGTGTGTGTGTGTGTGTGTGTGTGTAAGGAACCCTTTTTGGCTCCTTCTGAGATTTTCAAGAAACATGCCTCCTTCCAAATTACCTTGGCTCCTTTTGTGCAGAACAAGGTTGGAGCTTTTCCGCCTTTTTGGGAACTGCCTCAGCTGGAAGGCGAGGCATCAACACAGGCAGGCAGCCACTTCATGGAATATCTCCCTTTCTCCAAGATAATTTAACTCCTGGAGAACAAGGGCCTTTTACACTGAATTGGAAATTCCTGCAGAGGGATAGATTTTTTCCCTGTTCCATATATGCAGCTCCATTTGTCCAGATGGGGACAGCCCAGGCATGTCACCAAATTGTATCAGAAACCACGCCAAACCCACAAAGATCTCTTGGCTTTGTGAAGGGGACACATCACAAGACTTAAAACCAGTGTTGTGCGTTCTGCAAGTCTGCCTACCTTCTCTTTGTCGTCTTGGTGTTCTGATTTCCCTGGCCTGGCGTGCTTCATGGGTACAGTGTCTGCCACGCTCCACACTTCAGGTGTTTCCCTTAAGTTTCTTCTGTTCTCTGCCGCTGTGATTGTCAGGCCCATGTAGATCAATGCGTCTTTGTCCTGTCCTGCTTTGAGAAAATGGGGTGGCAGCTTGTCATCGATCAGGTCCCCGTTAACCTCCTAAACGAAGAGCAAATCGGAGGCTATAGAAAGGCTTGCTCAGGAATAGCAACACTTTTTCCCTTTTCCTTTTTTAACTGTTTCCCTTATGTGTGTGTATTTAAAAAGAGCACCACCTCGCAGACGGAGGAGTTTGCGTCTCAGCTTCGTGCCAGGCTCTCTCCGCGAGGCGCTTGCTTGGGGTCCGCGGGGCGTGTTCTTGGGTGGGTTCGAGAGTTGGCTTCTCAACCTGCACTTTTCCTGCTCTGCCTTTTGTTCCAGCTGGGCTGCGTGTAAACCGAGCAGTGGCGTGTGCGGCATATGTTGTGACTTAACTCTGCGAATCAGGGTCGCTTGACCCTTAAGATCACCAGGAATGCGCTCTTACATTCCCTTTTTGTGGGGCGGGGGCTCGCACTTAAAAATAAAAATAATGCGCACATTGTGTTGCTGGTCCCCACCCCCATGCTGTTTAAAAAAGCTGCTTCCTGATCCAGACTGCGCCGTTTTTGAGCAGTTACTGTAAATCTAGTGTATGCATTACTTTAGTGCTAATAATAAATCCATGGCAGCAATAAATCCATATGCGCACACTCTATATAAACCGCAGCTGCTAGTAACCGGGGATTCTGCCACCTCGCGCTGCCCTGTCAGGTTTCGGTGCCAGAAATGTGTAACTCCCAGCTAGTTTTGTTACCTCTGCGTCCTGACCCGTGAGAGTTGGGATTTTGCGGTCGGCTGGGGTGTGAGCGTGCACATTTTTAGACTTGTGTCTGGGCTTTTTTAAAAAAAATGCAACACGACTCTCTTCAATTGTGCTCCTTCTCCCCTCTCCTCCCCGCTGCTCCACTTGGCTTGACCTATCGGGAGCCTGGTGGAGAGTCCAGTTTCTTTGCAAGGGAGCGCAGAAGGGGAGACGTCGAGGGGCCGAGGAGGAGAGCGGTGGAAGGGTGTGTGTGTGTGTGTGTGTGTGTGTGTGTGTGTGTGTGTGGAGAAGCCTGCTTTTCAGCAGCGAGTCACAGAGGGCTTTGTAAGGGCTGGGAAGAAAATGGTTCCTTCCCCCAGATTTCTGTGCAAGCGTGCTGGGTCTGTTTGAAGTTACAGTGTGTTTTTCTTCTCTGGTTCAGCAGCGCCTCAGCCTGCCGGAGCAGGAATGCTCTGGCCCAGAAGCAACGGCGGCGGCTTTCTCTGGCAAAGGCACTTGAACGCGAAGAGAGGCGAGCTGGGCTGGGGAGCCGAGGCCCCACGGGAATAGGTTTCCCTTGCTCGGCCGAAGAGCGCAGGAGGAGCGCTTTTGGAAAATGCAAGCTTTCTCTTCTTTCCCTTTTGCTCAGTTTTTGCTGCTTCCCTTGCTTGGGACCATCCCACTCCTGTTCTGCTGGAAAGAGAGAGAAAAACGATACGCCGTTAATTTAAACTGCATTAAATCACATTTTCTATACCTGTTAGTGCTTCTGATGCCCTGTGCTTCTCCACCCCCCCCCCCAGGGCTGAGCGCAAGGGAAGGAATTAATAATATTGGTTTGGGAACAATGGCAAAGGACAAGTTCCTTTTCTTCTTCCTGCCTGCTCACCTGCGCACAAAGAGGCACAAACTCTGTAGGGGCAAGAGCAGCTCCTGTCCCTGCAAAACCTCGAGGGTTTCCTTTTCCTTTGTCCTGGCCAGCTTGCACCCGGACACTGCACCGAGGGATTCGGGGCACAATTAACCTCTCCACTTTTGCAAAGGGCTCCTCCGCCCCCTGTATTCCCATGACTGGGTAAATGAATAGCTCTTTGCTGAGACATTGGGAGGAGGAGGATATTGGGGACAAATGGAAAGCGGAGGGGGCCACATTTCGGTTTATGCTCAACTCCCGGTGCTGCAGAGCAGCTCCATAAGGCCACTAAATGCCCAAAAGTTATCTCATAAGACCCTTTAACCACTACCCTAGCGATTAAAGGTGCGGTTTAAAAAGTGGATTTTCCCACCATCACCACCTCTTTGTGGGTGAAGCCCATGCAGGTGAATGTAAATACAGAACTGGGTGGTGGGAGAGATTGTTTCACATTAGTTTAATGTGGAGCACGGGGGTGCTTGTGGCATTAAGTAGGTCAGGAGGGAAGCTTGTTCATCCTTTCCCAAGTTTTGCTTGAGTTGAGCGAAGATGGAGGCTGGTTTGGGAGGGGCATTTTAGCTCTATAAAGCCTGGCTGAATTCTATAGTGCATTTGTTTCTGTGGCAGTGGGCTCCCAGTCTAGTGTAGCACAATGCACGTATTTAGGTGCATGTTTTGACGTAGCACGATGTGCGTGGTGCGTCCGCTTGCAACGTCGCATTTTCTCCCCTCCCGATTCTATAGATGCGCTGCCAGGTATTTCCCTGACGGAGCGAGATTTGCTTTCTTTTAATTACAGTTCACTGAACTGCCTCCTCTCTCGGCGGGGACGCTGGGCCTGCTGTTTTGTTGATGCTTTAGGATAAGGCTGAGGGGAATCTGGTCACAGAACTCGGGAAGCTCTGGCCGAGCTCATTAAATCTCCCATTCCTTGCAAGCTGGCTCATCCGTCTGGGGGGAGAGAGAGGCTGTTCTTTGTGCCCAGAAGAGCAGCCGGCTAATTGGCGACGAGGGCAAGCTTACAAGACGAGCTGCGTGGACTTCTGAGGGTCCCCCCTCCCGGGACGGTGTTCTCTGTACTTTCTATACTTTCCTTGCTCTCATCTTCTTATTTTCTCCCCGCCTAACTGAGCTTCACCTCGAGCTACACGGGCAAGCGCTAGGCTGATCATGATGCTGACTCTCTTGGGCTAAAATGATCTCTGTTCCCTCCATTTCCCTTAATGGTGGGGAATCCCTAGTGCCGGACAATTCGTGCCCAAGCACCCTTTGTGGTGGCATTTGGGGCTTTTCCCTCCTCCTCCTCCTCCTCTTTAAAGTTCTTGTCAAGGCTGGCATCGTGCATGAAATATTCGGTTGCGTTTCCCCCTTTCTTCCCGCAGGCTGGTTTTGGCGGTTGCTGGCGACTGGGTACTCGGCAGGTTTTAATTAAACATCCCAAGGAACCTGAATCACGGGCTCACGTGTTGTTTTCTGTGTTGTGTTTTTCTTCCAGGCCCGCTTTTACTTACCTGCGGTGCCGACTCAAACTGGTTTTTCCAGGTTTAGCTTCTCCTTGTGGTGCCAAGCATGAGCGAAGGGGGCAGGCAGGCATCAGTGCGCATGTGTGGGGAACCATGTTCTCTGGGAGCATGGAGTAGAGGGTTCTGGAGCCACGTCACATAGGCACTTGTGTTGCTTTGCCCACCCACCCCCTGGACTCCCATTTTGGGATTCTTCCCTCTTTGCCAAATAGACTGGCTGGTCAGATGTCCAGTTTTTTCCACTTAAGACCAAGCTGTCCCATCGGACAGGATTTCCAGAACTTGAGGGATTCCCATCCGTAAAACCGGAATCCCCAAACCATATTGCCCCGTGTTACGGGGCATCATCTCGTGTGGGCGTTTTCGTTTGTGTGTTTACATGCATCTCCGCTTGCAAATATGGCGGCCCTCCCTCGCTTAAGCTTTCTTGTTTCCACAAAGCCACTATGTGGAGATGCAGCGTTAATGAGGGAGCAGGTTGTTGTGACTCCACAAAGATCGCATCCGGGGAACAAAAGGTAGTGTAACGATTGGGCCTCTCATTAGAGGCTATTGGCAGGTGGAGGAGTCAAAATGGCGGCTAGATTGACTGCCATAATTAATACTGCACAGCGTGTGGCTGGAAAGCAGAATCTGTTCGCCGTCCTCAAGGTCCTGCTCTCCTGCATCCTCTGGGGTGGGGCATCTCTTGCAGCAGAAGCGGGCCTGCTGCACGGTTGTGGAATAGGAGAGACAGACAGCAACTCTGGGTGAAAGGAGTAGTTTCTTGTAGCCTTGTGCCGGGCTGCCATCTGAGGGAAGTTGCATGTCTCTGGCGGGTTTGAGAAGAAGTGTTGGCCATGGCAGCTGCATGTGCACATTTCAGATGGAATCTGGGTCTGTTCTTTTGTGGGCAGCACATTGGCACCATGGAAGAACGCTAGAGCTTCCTTCCTCAGCCTGCCACCCTCCCATCACCTGTGCCATGATGGCAGGGGATGATGGGAATTGTAGTCCAGAACACCTGGAGGGGGCACCAAGTTTGAGAAGGTGGAGCTAGTTCCATAGCTCCACAGCTTCTGTGAACTATCCTCCATTTCAGCATGTGAGATCTGCCAGCCATGGAGCTTGGCCTAAGTAGATCCTTCTCAAACCCCTCTGCTAAATTCAGCTGGAATTTGTGTGTGCGTATTTGATGCCATGGCTTTGTTTGGGTGGTGCGTATAATCAAAATGGGTCTTAAATCTGGGCCTGGCTGAGCAAGGCCCCTTTCAGCAATGTTTTTGGAGTGATATGAGCTCCCTGCACAGACATGCCACTGAAATTTTGTAACTCGAGGGATTGTGTTGGATACCTCTTAGCAGCGAGCGCTGCCGTCTAGTAGGGTTTATCTTCTCCTTTGTTAAAAAAAGAGCTGCATTTCAGGCATGCAGTGGAGAGTGGAGATACAAGAAAGAATGAGCAATTATTATTATTATTATTAATAATAATAATAATAATAATTTAAACATGTATGCTATCCTTCATTAAAAGATCCCAGAACGGTTCACAACAGAAAAATGTAAATGTCTATCGAAGATGCATAGGACATTTCAAATGCTCAGGGGAAAGAAAAGATGGATAGGTTTGCAAGGAACTGGAAGTGTGATTCCGTGCAAGGGAAATATCAGCAACAGCGCAATATTCGGACCCTTTCCCCGTTGCTGTGAAAGTCAGCCCAGGCCCCATGGCTCCCTTAAGGCCGTTGTGTCGCCCGTTTCCCCAGCACATAGGAACCCTCTTGTTGCTCTGGTGTGTGTGATGGGCTTTTTGTTTTTGTGTGTGTTTGTGTTTTTCCTCCTCTTGTGTCTCTAGGAGCCTGCAGCTTTCCCCTGCACCTGTTCCCCTCCCCCAAGCCCCCACCTTGGAATGTGAAATGTAGGAAACATGTAGGAACTTCGGCCGGGTTTATAATCGACAGCATGCATGCCAGCTCTGGGGTTTTGGTGGTTTTTTTGCGCGTGTTTGTGTGTGGGAAGGCTGCATTTGACACTGAAGTTGCATGGATTCGCCCGAGGACTCAGAGGGTTATCTTTATGATCCCGAGCAGCTTTTACCCTCCTTCGCAGCTTCAAAAAGGGCTGGACAGAGGCCCTCCGGTCGCTGCTGAAGTCCCGTCCCAAAGCCACCTCTTTCTACAGCATTTGCTCTGGACTTCTGGGGGAAGCCCTTGCCTCCTCCGGCAAGAGGGGAAGGGGCTTCATTGCCTCTCAGACCCCCAGAGAATGAGCGAAAGGAAGGGACTCTGGTTCTGGAGTTGCTTGGCAGCGCAGGCAGAGGAGGCGTCGAAGGGGTGGCAGCGCCATGCGTCTTCCGCACGTACCGACGGCGAGGAACCCGAGGCCCCCTCTTTACTTATTAACGAGAAAAACGTGTCGGCTTTGACCAATTGCCAGGGACAGATTTATCCTAGTCCCGCAGAAATTAAACTGAAAGTGAAAAGTGGGGGAGAGAGGGAGAGAGAAAGGGCCAGGCCCTGGCACTTTTCTCTCGTTGCCCCTTCTCCCTCTGCCTCTGCCTCTCTCTCTCTCTGCTTGTTTTAACTTCGGAGGAATCTAGAGTTTGGACTGGGGAGTTTATTGGGGGGGGGAGGAGGAGAATATTTAGGTTTAAACAGTTCCAGATGGGTTTAGCGTTCGCACGTCGGGAGGAAGTGAGCGGAGGGCCGTTCAGAGATTCGGGTAACTGCCCCAGGCACGGGACGGGGAGGGAAATTTTGGCAAAGGGCCGTTTTGGGGGGCCATGTGCTTGCCAGCTAAATTTGTTGACTTTCAGAGCCGCTCCGTCTGTGGGGCTAAGTCTTTCCGATAAAAGTCGTCGTCTTCTCCTGGCACATCTCTCTCGCTTACCTTCCCACCCCCCGCTTGTTTTCTTCCTCCCCTCCCAGGAGAAGAACCTGCAAAAGGAACTGGAAAAGGTGGTTCTCCTGCCCGCAACTTCGGGCGCTGCTGTGAGGTTGGCAGGGCGGGAGAGAACTTCATTTTGCCCGGCTGTTTTGTGTGTGAACACAGCCTAAATTAGTTTGTGAAGCTGCTGGCAATTTTGGTGTTCATCAGGACCCTGGGTGCGTGTACATTTGAAGCACATCCTCGCCGCCCCCTGCCCCACAAAAATAACTGTGGGAACTGTAGTTTCCCATCATAGAGCTACAGCTCCCAGAACTCCTGGAAAATTACAGTTCCTGAGCTTCTTTGGGGGAAGCCAGGAGTTTTGAATGTGGCTTTGTAAGGAGTGACGAGTCTTTTAAAAATGTAGTTCTACTCGCTCAAAATTCATCTTATGAAGATCTTTATGCATTATAAATTCAGGTTTGGTGAAGAAGGAAAGTATTGCATGTTTCAACTTTACATCAAATTTTCTGGTTTTCCTCCTTGGAAAGGCTAGGGGGATGTGCTTCAAAATTTCCAGAATTTTTCCATTTCTTTTTGAGACTCCTACTGCTAATAGGCCCCTAATCCCCTCATAGAACTGCGATTCCCAGAGTGGTTTCACAGTCAATTCCTCTTCACAGGGAACTCTGCAACCTGTAGCTCAGTGAGGGGAATAGGGGTGGTCTAGCAACTCTCAGCACCCGTAGCAAACTACAGCTCCCAGAATTCTTTGGCGGGAGTGGGGCAGCCATGATGGTTTAAATTGGCATAAAAGTGCTTTAAGTGTTTGGTGTGAATGAGGACTATGTGCGAATGATTTGAACGATGCCACTCGCGAAGAGCTCTGCTGGGTCAAGCCAAAGGTCCACTTAGTCTGGGATCCTGATTCTGACACTGACTGACCAGATATCGCCGGGAATGCCATAAAAAGGGCACAAAGACAATGCATTCTCCGTACATGCTTGCCAGTATTTAGAAATATTCCCACTTTGTATCTGAAGACTCCATGTTAGCTACCATGGCCAAATAAACCTCCGATAGACATATTTGTGAACTTGGGGCAGCACTTTGCAAGACTTGCTTATGCATTAAAAATCTGTGCACCTCACTCTTAACATAGCTCGGCCTTCTTAAACCCGGTGCTCTCCAGATGTTTTGGGCTGGGGCTGATGGGAATTGTAGCCCAAAACATCTGGAAGATGCCAGGTTGAGGAAGACTGGTGAGGCTTACGGACTGTGCCAGCTCTCGGTTATTTTGCAGAGTTTCCTTTTGCCCGTCCTGGTTGCGCTGCCATATGTTATCTTTGGACAAAGCTTCCTTGAGGTTGAGGGTGATATGAGAGGGCAGTTCTTCTCGTATTCTCTGCATCACCCTTTTAAATGTTGCTGTGGAGGTGGGAGTTATTGGTTTGTTTCTGTTTTTATTATGGCAATGTGTTTTGTGGGTTTTTTATATTGTTATTTAAATGTTGTGAGCCGCCCTGAGATTTACGGATATAGGGCGGCATACAAATTTAATCAATCAATCAATCAATCAATCAATAACTTTTTATGACCCTCTGCCATGACTTCCCCCCAACCTCCTTAGCTTGGGAGAGGAAAATCCCCACAAATCCTCCACCTTTAGGTCACTTGGTTGCCGTTATCTAGCTCCTTCTTGGGTAATGCTCATAGATCAGTGGTGACGAATCTTCAGCCTGGGCTCCCTCCCTCCTAAAACACAAACCCTCCTATAGGATTTTTATTTTTTGCATATCCTTCCACCCCCGCCAAAATGGGCTCTCAAGGTAACTCAAAAGAAAGCAAAAGAAATAAATATTTTACAAGAATTGGGAACAAAGGTAACAGAAACAAATCTAGATTTAACAATGAAAACCATTAATGAGGATAACTACTCCGTACAAAGACACGACTGCCGGCAAAGATTATAAAAAGCTAAAAATAGCTATAAATACTGCAAGCAGCTCACTTAAATACCTTCCGATATTCTTTTTCGAAGCTTTGAAAAGAGGAAGCCACACATTTCTTCTAAAATGAGAGAGAGCGACAAATCCCAGTCCAATGACCTGTGTGTTGCCTACCAGATCAGAATGAGGCCCTTCTCCCCATTCCTTGCTGAGCTCTTGTCACTGTTTTGCAGAGGGAAGAAAAATGTGCTTGTTGTATGTGAGGAACAGGGGTGGTTTCTCACTGCCTCTGGAGCAGCCTTCGCCAACTGGGTGCCTTTCAGGGGTTTGGGACTACAATTCCCAACAGATTCAGCCCTCCTGGACGATGGTTAAAGATGACGGGAGTTGTCTGGGAGACCTCAGCTACCCCCTTCTCTCGAGAAACAGACACAGTCTCACGACCCCCCCTCTCCAAAGCCATTGGCTGAACTGCTGTGGCGTCACAGCATGTTTGTTGCCCTTGCCATTCAGAGAGTGGCGGAATGCAGGCTGCTGGTGCCGTCGCTGTGATTGAAACTGAAAGTTTGGTTTGGCTGGGACAATATCCAAAGGCAGCAGAGAGCCGAGTGTTGTTGGCAAGAACAGTGTGGGAGTTTGGGTACGGCGCGTCCGGGATCCACGCGGCAGGCGGGGAGGCCAAGAAACTGAGGGTGGGCCGCAAAAAACCCTGCACTGATTTAAATTGGCGAGGAAGACCCGTGGCTTGGAGCTGCCGAGCGCTGTGTTTTTGTTCGCTTTGCGACAAAGTAGAAGCCGAACGGCGGCTTTTTGTCCCTCGCCGCAGACATTTTGCCGGACGGTTTCAGCAGATGGGGCAGGAGAGGAGGTGGCAGGGCTGGACAGATATTCCTGATATGAGGAGAACTGCAAGCCGCTCTGTTCCCTCGGCTTGCCTGCTGGAGCCGGGGAGGCCCTCTGCTGCTTGGCGAGGAGGGGGAACACCAGGAACCGAGGCGAATGTACATCTCTCCTCCCTCCTTCCCCGCCGAGCGGAGGGAAGTCTGTGATTGATGAGCCGGAGGTGGTGGTGAGGTCAAGCAGGGAGAGCCACGGGTCAGTAAGAAGGGAATGGCAGGGGAGACAGCGTCCCCTGGAACCCGACTCTCTCTCAAGTGTGCAGGCCCTGGCAGGCAAGCGAGAACCGGGCTTCATGTTTCCCTCAGCACTGAGGAGGAGCTTGTGGGGAAGCGAGTGGCCACGAGGCAGGTGTGCCTGCTCCTGGACATTTTGTGTGCGCATAAAACATTCTTCGTAAGACTTTCTCGGTGCAGATTCTGGAGCTAAGCCACCTGAAAGTTATCTGCCTTAAGGAAGCCACCGCAGAGCTGTGCGTTTTGGGTCCTCTCGCTTTCCTTGAATTCTTGCCAGAGCTGTTGAAGGAGCCCAAAATGGCGGCCGCGGCGCTCCTTGAGCAAAATGGATAATGGCAGCCAGAGAGTGCCGCACCACGTCTGCGCAGGCGTGGCTCGCTGCTGTGGGGAGAGGAGTTGGACGGCTTCGAGTTGACGCATGCTGGGGTCTTGGATGCGCCGAGAACCAAATACTGGACCCGGCATCCTGCTAATTTGTGGTTTCCAAGGTACCAATTGGGGCCCTCAAAACAGACGTTGATTTTCCGGGAGCCTGCTGTGCTTGAAGCTTTCTGGCATTATTAACGCACAGTTTTCTGCTAGAAGTTATTTTTCACCCCCACCCCAAGAAAATCCTGACATGAGAAAGTGAGTTGGGCCCCCTTTCTCTCTACTGGTTCTGCCATTGGCACAGCATCCACCCTGGGTCACTTCCCAGGAGGGCGGCACAATATTTTGGGCTTCAAAGCCCTGCGAGACCTTCTGGTTTCGCGCTGGCTTTCTGGAGCTGGTAGTGTTCCCATGTTGGATTTCTTCTCAGGGTCATTTTTAACGGAAAACTACCCTAAAAGTCATAGCATGACAGGCCTGTTCCCAGGGAGCAGGCTGGCTAACTCAAATAAATGTTCCTTTCCCTCCTCTGTCCTAAGATAAGACCTATGTGGAACTTTCTTCATTGGTATTTCTTTCAAGTACCCACACCCCTCTGACATCTGCAGCCATCTACTCTTCCCTCAAATCCCTGCTGCTATCACTTTGCCTACTTTATAGCCCCCATCTCTGAGCTGTGATGCCCCTCACATTTCATTGCCCTAGACCCCTTGTCGCTTGGGTTGCGCTCTGCTTTTCCCACCTTCTGGCTACCAGCAGTGTGTGCACACTCTGTTGCCATGCCCTATGTACGAGTCTCCCCACATCCGTCCACTATTTTTGCAGCATTTTTGAACAGCCCTTCCCACTTCGAAGTTAGACTGTTTGTGGATGTTCCATGACACGACACAGCTGGAGCTGATGGGAGCCGTCTTGGGGCCAGCTTTTAGCTGATACAAAATATATGAACCGTGCCCCTCTCAAACTTTCAAGGTGATGCACACTAGAGACCCTGTGCTTATGTGGCAGAAATTGCTTCTTTACAGCAGCAATTGTTTTTACCTTGACACTGACAGCAACAATAATACTTCCTATGATACTGCAATTTTCTCCCATAGCCCTTTTCCCTTGCACCTCTCTTGTACCTTCGTTTTCTTGCAGAAAGCATCCCATTTCGTTAAAAAATGCAATGTCACAAAATTCATTAGTAGCACAAAGAATGGGGTTGCATCCAGTCGATTTGAGCCATGTCAACGTTGTGGTGTTGTATCCGCTGGTGGCTTTGTGTTTGTGAAAGTGCTTAGGTCTGCGGAAGGTGGCTCATCAATTTGCCCTCCTACTATATTGCAGTCTTTTGTGGCACATCCTAAACTTTTCTAAATAGGTACTGGCTTTCAGAAGGTGTAGTGGGTTGCAAGCCAGTAAGGGGTATTGATGAACAAGGAAATACTGCTTTGCATAGGGCACTGTTAGATCCTGGAATTCCCTGTCACAAGACGTGAAGAAGGCCACCAATGTAGGTGACTTTAAAAGAGAGTTAGGCAAATTTATGGAGGCTAAAGCTATCAGTGATGTCACGCGTTGGCTGGACACAGAGGAATGGTCGGAGTAACCAGCTGGGGAACTCCCAAGGGAACAAGGCTCAGAGACCGGGAATTGGTGGTGGGATGTTGATGAGTGGTCAGAGGGAGAAGCCTGGGAGGAGGAGGTGTTGGAAGCTGAAGAGGTAACAGGGTTTAGTGAGCAGGGGGACACTGTGGCAGAGAGCAGTCCAGAAGCAGAAGGGGAGGGAGGTCAAGAGACAGAGATGAGTCAGTCTGGTGAAGAACCCAGGGTGTCTCCTCATCTCCTGCAACCAGCTCCCCTTCCCCCTGGTCTCCCAGGACCAGGAGAGGCATGAAGCGGGAGGAGCAAAGGCAGGCACACCAACGCAGTCTCAGATTGCTTGGGAAAGACCCAGGAGAGGAGGAGACTTTGGCAGCTGTGGGCAAGACCCACCGAAGAAGAAGAGTTGCTGGTTTCGTTAGGCCTGGCCCTCCCAAGCAGACCTTGTTTCTTCCAATACAGAGTTAACTTCATGTACTTTGTGTGATTTATTGCTGGCTCGCTTCCGACAGGCAGCGGCTACTAGTCCCATGATGGCTGTACTCTTACCTCCAGGATCCAAAGGCAGCATGCCTCTGGAAACCAGCTGCTGGGGAGCAAATGAAGGAGACGGCTGTTGTGCTCAGGTCCTGTTTGCAAGCTTCTGCTGCGCATCATCAGGCCAGCCCTTGTAGAAAGCAGATGCTGGACCATTTGGGCCTTCGGTAGGATATAGCAAGGCTCTTATGTATGTGTGCTTGGTTTTATCTCGGAAATCAATGCAGCAACCCTGAAAGGCAACCCACAATTATCCCTGTGTTACTGACAGGCAAGCAGCTCCTCTCTCTCTCTCTCTCTCTCTCTCTCTCTCTCTCTCTCTCTGCCTCTCCCTCCCTTCCCATGAGCGAGTGAGTTTGTGTCTACCATGAATTTGGATCAGGATGTGTCCCGACTCATAGCTCATTCATTCTACCTAACAGCCGTGCTGCATCCTACAACCTGAGTAAAGGGCGAAGTTACATGTTATGCTGGAGTTTTGCGATAGGAACTTCTGATGTAATTTTCTTCTCCCAAAAGCAGCTGCAATCGTGAGTGTGGGTGAACTGGAGCAAGGCTTCCTTGCAAAGGAGAGGGAGGCAACCATTGCTTCCTCAAGCAAATGTACCTCTCCCGTCCTGATGCCATTATATATTTCTGCCCATATATTTGGGTGGTCAGTTTGGGGAAGTCAGCAGGTAGGCCAGCTTTGGGGGACCTGTGGACCTGCAGGCATTGTTGGAACTGCAGCCCCTATCATCATTGGCCTTGGAGGAACAAGCGGTGCAGCAATAAATCTGCCGGCACATTTTCAAAGCAAAGCAGTGTCCAGTATGGTCTCAGTTTGGATGGGGGACCGCTTGTTGAGATTCCTGCAGTGCAGGCAGGGGTTGGACTAGATGTCCCTTGGGGTGCCTTCCAACTCTACAATTCTATGACTGATTTGAGTTTTAGTTCAGCAACAGCTGGGAGCCAAAGGTTCCCCCATACCTGATGTTGGTAAAGTGTTAAACTCCAGACTGGTGTTGCAGCTTGCATCCAAATTGAGTTGTTCTACTGGCTGCTTTTTGGAGAAAGAAGTGTTATATTGTGGGTGTCAGTCACATGATCCCAGGCGTAACGTATCATTTTGCCCTCTGTTTTATTTATTTATGTGATGGAATTTGTCGGATCATAAAAGCAGTTTACGTGAAATGAAAATATGCATTAGAATTCTCGGTAAAATAGTTGAAAAACAAGTTAGTGCAAATGTATGTGTATGTGCATGAGATATTGAACAGCAGGTAGACTTTACTTGCCTGTGTAAGCCTGTCTAAGCAAAAGGTGTATTGGTTGGTTGGTTGGTTGGTTGGTTGAACTTCAGCATAAGAACTGACCAAAATCAGATCAACGTTCTCCAGCCTGTTGCCTTCCAGATATTGGACCACAGTTCCCACCAAATGTTGGCTGGGGGCTGATGGGAGTTGTAATCTAAAACATCTGGAAAATGCCTGGGGAAGTGTGAGTGTCTCTGGCTTAAAAAGCCTCTGGTCCTGATGCTGAGGATCCAAGCGAAGAGGTGGTTCCCCTGTTCATCTTTTCATTATGCTTGCTCTAGCAGCCAGCTCTTCCCATTTTGCTCCTAGCATGGCCTGGGACAAGAAACATAGTTCCTTTTTCCCCCTGTCCCTCTCACAAAGCAGCTACTAATCCACCTTCCCTTTCTTCCCTCTGCCTATTGTCCTGTAATTAAAAGAGTTGGATGCAAGGACCAGCGCTCATTGTCTGCCTATAATGGGGCTCTGCCTGAGCTGGGGCCTTTAGGCGCTGCTGTAATATGAGAAGCAATGATGAGAGAGAGAGAGAGAGAGAGAGAGAGAGAGAGAGAGAGGCTGCTTTGAAACGCTGGCTTTGTTTGGGACTCTAAATGAAGCCGCAGTCTTCCCATGCTGCAGGTGGAGCATTTGAGTCGGATGCAGGTCAGCAAAAATCTGAAAATGGGACAAGGATGCAACTTGTGTCAGGGACACGTGCCTGCTCTGCTTAGGTCAGGGGGTAGCTGATCTGTGGTGCTCCAGGTGTTGCTGGATTCTCAAGTCCCATCAGCCTTGCTTGAGTAATGGCCCTGCTGGCTAGAGCTGACGGGACATACAGTCGTACCTTGGAAGTTGAACGGAATCCGTTCTGGAAGTTGGTTTGACTCCCAAAACGTTTGGAAACCAAAGTGTGGCTTCTGATTGGCTGCAGGAAGCTCCTGCAGCCGATCAGAAGCCGCGGAAGCCCCGCTGGACGTTCGGCTTCCAAAAGAATGTTCGAAAACCGGAACACTCACTTCCGGGTTTCGATCATCCAGGAGCCGATTTGTTTGGGAGCCAAGGCATTCAACCTCCAAGGTACGACTCTACATAGTAGAGATGGTAGAGTTGGAAGGGACCCCGAGGGTCATCTAGTCCAACCCCCTGCAGTTCAGGAATCTTTTGCCCAACGTGGAGCTCGAACCCACAACCCTGAGATTAAGAGTCTTGCACTCTACCGACTGAGCTGCCTCATCACTGTAGGAAGCTGCCTTGAGCTGAATCAGACCATTGGCACAGCTAGCTGACTGCAGTGGCTATTCAGGATTTCAGACAAGGGACATTCCCTATTTTACCTGAAGATGCTGTGGAAATGTCTAGTTCAGCAACACCTGAAGAGCTGCAGGTTCCTCACCCCTGGCTTGCTTGCAGGTTCGGCACCAGCCCTGCACAGATGTTGGAGTCTTCATGCCATCTGGCACACATGTTGCTTTGAGAGTGAAGGCACCTGCATATGTATGCGCACATGAGAGAACCTGAGTAAATCTGGGGTTGAGAAGGCACATCTGCTTGAGACTGAGAGGAGATCTGACAGCCATCTATCTTCAAATATCTTGAGGGCTGCCACATGGAAGATGGAACAAGCTTGCTTTCTCCTGCTCTGGAGGGCAGGACTCGAACCAATGGCTTCAGGTTACAAGAAAGGAGATTCCGGCTCAACATCAGGAAGAACCTTCTGACAGTAAGAGTTGTTAGAAAGTGGAACAAACTCCCTCAGGAGGTTGTGGACTCTCCTTCCTTGGAGACTTTTAAGCAGAGGTTGGATGGTCATCTGTTAATGGATGCTTTAGCTGAGATTCCTGCATTGCAAGGAGTTGGACTAGATTACGCTTCCAACTCTAAAATTCTGGGATTCTTTGTATGCATAGGGTTGTGCGAACAGTTGAGACTTGCTTACCCGTGTGCGAAATCATCCGGGTCAGAGGTATTGAAGCAACACAGAGTTGTGCCATTTGCCTACTCAGCAAATGTCGATCCATTTGCATTTTGCAGTGTGCGCTGACTGAATGCCTTCTGCCTGCCTCATCTCCACTGTGGTACATGATTAGGAGAAACATGCTTAAACATGCACATGTCTCCAGCCAGGTGGGACATGCAAGTGAAATGATGGTCTGTGCACTGCATCCCTGAGAATCCACCAGTTTCGTGCAGACAAATAGCACAGTGTATGTAACTGAACATAAACCACTGGGCAGCAATGCTGCTGGGAGCTAGCAAGGGCTTAATTTTAAGGATTTCATCTAATCTGTGGCACCCATCATCCCAGAGCTAGCTGTGGTGGAAGAGAATTGTGGCCTTTCCAGATTCCCCATCCTTGTCCTAGAGCGTTGGAACCATCAACCAGAGAAACTTGGGTTCTGATCTGCATTCAGATGTGTTGCGTACTGGGTGGCCTTGGGACAGTTGCTCACACTCAACCCAACCTGCCCCACAGAGCAGCTGTGTGGATAGAACAGGGACAACCCCACATAAACTGCCCCGAGCTCTCTGGTAGAAGAGCAGGATGGGCATGCGACGAACAGGGTGTGTGTGTGTTCTGGTTTGAAAGCGAGATGGTGCAAGCAGACGAGGAATGTTGTCCAGGCTCGGCTTGTTTTCTGCATGCACACACTCTGCAAAGTTTGGGTTTCTGCAGAATCCTGATTTTGAGAAAAAATGCAGACAGTAACAAAGGACAGAAAGGAGACTAAAGGATAGCTGTGGACCCTTAACGACACAAGGGTAGGTAGGAGTGGGTAGAGGAAGGTACACCTGTTTCCTTACAAACCAGTGCAGGCTTTCATAGAGGCTCCTTGCTGGTCCTCAAGACCTGCCTTACTACTGAGGGCTAGCAGCTTGTCCTTTTAAAGAGGCTTGGGCGAGTGGGGAGATAATCCATTGTGAAACCCCATGGACTTGAAGAAGATGACAGATAGCCCTACTCGGGCGCTTTCTCCCCCCCCCCCCCCGCAGTTGTTGCTCAGGCTAGCTAGTCACCTTCTGGGAGTGGCAATAGGTTAGTCTGTCTAGCTCAGTAGTGCCAGCTCTGACTTCTGCTTCAGGCCCCAGGCTTTCAGAGAGGGGTCTTCCCTAGCCCTGCTGGAGGAGCCATGCTTATCAATCTCTGCCACTCTTTCCCCCAAACGGGGGCTTCTCTTAAGAAATGCAAGAGGAGGTATTTTCTCTCTAGGCTCTCCCAACCAGCCCTGGCTCAGATTGTCTGCCACAGTTAACAAGGTTGCAAGCAAATGCTCTGAGAGAGGTGTCCTTCCTGCGCCTCCTCCCTCTCCAAGGAGTGGCTCAGGACTCCCAAGCAGCATGGATTCTCCCCCTGCCCCCCCACTCCGGTTGTTTTTGCAAAAGTTGCTCTGCCGTATAACAAGTACCGGTCTGACTGTATGTGTTGTCGAGAAGGGAGGGAGGCCTCACGCCTTCCTTGCTGAGTGATGCTGCTCTGCAGTCTGGATAAACACCACCTACCCATGCGCTGAGGCTGTGAGTGCAAGTTGGGGCCTATTTTGCATGTGCTTGGCTCGGGACGTGAGCCAAGTCGGTTGTGAGGATGCAGCCTGGGACTCTGCAACTTTCCCCTGGCGGTCCTGCACGGAGGGATACCTGAAATGCGGAGGGAGGGAGGAAGGAACTCACTCAGCAATGAGGCTGTGATAGGAATCGCTCAGTTTTATTTTGGAAACTGGGCTTTATATTACCAGAAGAGGAGAATATGGAGAGAGTGGACAATACCTCAAGGACCACCTCTCTCCATATGAACCAACCTGGACCCAGGGGTCATCCTCTGAGGTCCTTCTTTGTGTGCCTCCTCCACGAGAGGATTTGGCCTTTTCTGCAGTGGCTCCTCCTTTGTGGAACGTTCAACTGGCGGTTTCATTACATACCTTTAGGCGCCAGGCAAAAACATTCTTCTTCCACCAGGCCGTTGGCTGATTGCAGACCCTCCAAGTGTCCCTATTTTCCAGGGACGTCCCTGATTTAGAGAAGCCATCCCGGTTTCTGATTTGATCCCAGAATGTTCCACTTTTCCTTAGGACGTCCCTATGTTCATTGGAGAAATGTTGGAGGGTATGGAGTTATCTGACCCCCGAGCCTTCTGAAGGCAATCTTGTTTAGGGAATATATTTTAAAATGTTTTTATATATGTTGGAAGCTGCCCAGAGTGGCTGGGCAACCCAGTCAGATGTGTGGGGTCTAAATAGTAAAATTATCATTATGGAATAGGACGTTGCTATTTTCATCAGATAAATGTTGGAGGGTATGTGATTGACATCCAATGCCCTTTTGAAATGTGTTGTGGATTATTGTTTCTGTTCTTAATTTTATCATGCATTTTGTGTTTTGGGGATTGCAATTTTATGTTGTGAACCGCCCTGACATCTACATATAGGGCGGTATACAAATTTAATAAAGAATAAAAGAATAAAAAATAACTTAGGGGAGGCCAGCTATCAATAACGTTTGGGGCCATAAGTCAGCGGCAGAGCTTGTGTTCTGCATATAAAAGGTCCCTTGTCTCCTGTCTGCAATTTTTATCCCAGAGTCTTCCTTATGGGTCAGATCTGTGCCCTACCTGGGCTCTGTGCATCCTCTAGCATTCTATGTTAGGGATAAGCAGACAGGAGACTAGCTCAGACTTGGTGTGGATGGGTTTAATTCTCAAGAGGGGGAAAAAGCCTGTTTTAAATGCTTGTTCCTTTTCCCACGTGTGTTTCCTACACAGTGGGGCAGAGTAATTGGTTAATCTGACCAGAAGAGAGCATGTTATGTCAAAACCTAACAGAGCATTTTGTTCCATGTAGGAGCGTATTGCTCTGTATAATTTTGCGTATAGAATCTGGAAGTTGTTGTTTTTTTACCTACTTTTAGGATGCATCCAAAAACACAGTACTTATTTATTGGATAACTGCTCACCCTTTTAAGCTGCTGAGCCTTATAAGGATGCTAACTGGAAGTGACTCCGCACACACAATGCAGCACATCACCCTTTATTGATCAACCCAAACCTTTCACATTGTTATTTCTGGGTGGCTGTGTGCCGGGTTGTTTCTCTCGTATTACATAACTCTCTGTGGCTCTCGCCACCCCAGCCACACAAATCGGCTAATAGTCCAAAGGTTTTCCTTCTTCTCATCCACTGGTCTTTAACTGGTGGGTTGGACCTGCCTTAAAGGTGGGTTGCGGCACAGGAGCAAATGCAGGCTGAGAGATTAAGAAATGGGCCCCCTAATGCAGATAAACTGGGTTCCTGGGTCTAAAAAGGTTAAAGACTACTATCTGTGCTTTTAGAGGCAACTCAAAAAGCCTAAAACCTTCCAGAAGGGATGGTACTAGGGATACAGGGCGCCACGACAGGTGAAAAAAAGAAAAAGAAATGATCTTGTGTTTATAGATTATTATTATTATTATTAGCTAAATTTGTATACCGTCCTTCATCTGCAGTTCTTAGGGAGGTTGGGAATTGTAGTCCAAAATGTCTGGAGGGCACCAGGTTGGGGAAGACTTCTGAACTCTGTAGGAGTGCAGTACCATGCATGTCTGCTTGCAAAAGAAAGAAAGATAGCTCAGTTGGTAGAGCATGAGATTCTCGGTTTTGGGGTTGTGGGTTCGAGCCCCATATTTGGCAAAAATGTATGTAGATAGATGACAGGATGCATACAATATAAATATGGTGAAGGGCCTTATGGGTACATTTTCCCACTTTTTGCTTTTCTCTCTCTTACTTTTATGTATTTTGGTTCTTTTAAATATTCCTGTATTGTAGACTACGTTGATCCTGATTGTATTTTATGTTGAAAGATTTCAGTAATTATTATTCTTTTTAAAGGAAAAGAAAGAACGAATATTCGCTTGGTAGAGCATGAAGCTCTCAGTTCCAGGGCTGTGGGTTTGAGCTCCCCATAGGGCAAAAAAAAGGTTCCTGCATTGCACTTGGTTGAGATTTCTATGATTCTAAGTCCCATTGACTCGGTCCCAGCTGAGCGCATACAAATTAAGGAGGAGATAATTGCAGAGCTCAAGCAGAGAGGATGCAAACCTGAATATACAGGACCACCCAGGTGTGGTCTAGTGGACATCCTTTTCCTCCTCATCTCCTGAAGGCAGCTGCTGGCTCCTACTCCCTGGCTTCCAGTGCCTGTGATGACTTGTCTGTCCTTAGCCCAAAATCTCCAGCCCATCATAATAATACAGCCGCCTGCCTATTGTGTCACAGAAGCTTATGTGTCATAGCACATAAGCAAGAGTTGTTGTGTTTCTGTTTTTTATTTTCGTTCACGGCAATGCTCATTCAGCGCTGTACAAATCTAAGTGGCTGGTCTCAAAAAAGATGATTTCCCTGATCCCCCCCCCCAAAAAAACCCCACTTGTTTACATTAAAAGAGTTCCGTTGCAATGTTTTTAATAGAAAGTAATTAGTCCAGTGTTAAGAGATTGTGTAGCGTTAACAGGGCATTCAGATTTAATGTTAACCAAACTGTTGTTGTTGTTGTTGTTTTAAAAAAGAGAGAAATGACAATTACAAATGGGGGGGGGGGAATCAAAATTTTATCAGCTGCTTTAGTTAGGAATAGCCAAGCCGTCTTTTTAAAGTCTGGCTTAGGAGAAGGGTGTGTGTTAGTTCCACACCACAATATTAAGTGAGGCGTATTAGCAGACAGGTTTTCTGTATTGACAAACGCATTGCTTTGACAAGCTACCTGTCTCCCTCCGACAGCTCACTTACGACCTTCAGCGCTGCTTCTTTCTGCAGAAGTATATTTTATATGGCGAAGAAACCAATAATCTTCTTTCTTTTCTTTTTCTTTTTTAAGGTGTGTAACGGGAGGGTATGAAATGCTAGCTGCTGCTGCTGCTGCTGCTGTGTTGTTGTTTTTTTTTAAAGAAAATTATCCTGAGTGAGTTACGAAATTGAAGGCCAATTCTTTTTGGAGGGTGAGGGGAGCGGTGAGCGAAGGGAGGAAGCCAAAAAGAAGAAGCATGGAACGAAACTGCCCACTTTGCAGCCTGACTTGCAGCCGCCTCTGATCTCCTGCAGGGGGAGCTGGCACATAGCTTCTGCCGACGCATTAAAAGTGGCAAGCGCATGGGTTTCCCAGGACCCCTCTTTCCCGAAACGTTGCAGAGAGGCGGCGTTCATGGGTCACGGCCTTTCGTGGGCCTGGAATAGCTTTGCCCTGACAGCTCAGGTCCTCTGGGGAGTGCCAGGCGGGAGCGCATGAAGTGTGCACATCCTGAGCTCTCCGTGCTTTCTCTTGTGCCCTTCCTTTTCCACCCCGACATGCAGGGCTTTGCTTGCATCTTGCAACGGGTCCTACGGCTTGGGGCTCAGACCTTCTCTTTCGCTGCCTTTCTCTCCCCGCCCCCCCACCTCCTCTCAAACCTGTCATGGCCACTTCCGCAGCGCACAGCCCTTCTGAATCTTTCATGAGATGTTCTTTGTCAGAGGCGAGGGGTTCTCCTATTAAGCTGAGAGGCGCAGGGGCTCATTCCTCTTGCCAGCGGTTGAGGTGGGGCAGGTGGCCAGCTGGAGGTGAGGGGGCGGGAGAGATAAAAAGTCCATTTTCTCTGCTGCTTCGTTTCAAAGCTGCTTTTTGAGGCTATTATCAAGCAAGCGTGTTTGGGCTTTGAAGTGCACAAAGGTGGGGTTGACCTGGCCATGAGTTTTCCTTTTGGCAGAACTGAAATGGTGATAATGAAGTATACACTCCCAAACTTTGGTCTCTGTCTCTCTCTCTCTTTAATTAGGGAGGCTCTGTGATGTTTCTTTGGCGGCCTTGTAGATTTAAGGCACAAACTCGCCTTAGCCAGGTGAGGGGGAGACACACAACTGAGCTATGTTTGCAGCCAAAAGATGGTTGCACCCATCAGCGCAAATGCCATCTTCATTCAGCTTTTTCTTTTCTTTTACAAAAGTAGGAAAACCGAGGGAGAACGGCTGGTTTCAAAGGCAGCAGGGGGCCGTGTCCAGGCAGTTTTGGCCAAAATTTTGCTCTCCAGCTCTTCTGGATTGTATCTCCCATCAGTGGAGGATGTGGAAATTGTAATCCAAATCGGCTCTGCCAGGTTGGCAGAGGCTGTGCCAGCCCCTGTGTAACTTCATGAGAGGGTAAATGTCCCTTCCCTTTTCTTAAAAATAAAGTGGAGCTAGACGAACACTTCACCTCTGGAAAATGATCTTTTCTCTCTCTTACTCTTTTCAAAACCTTCTTAAAAGAGCTATTAGAACATAACTGGTAAAGACTCCATTGGTGAAGGCTGGTTGGAGGAGACTTAATACTGGTGCTGTCATGGGCACTGTCCAGTTGGTTCCTGTGACGCTTACACAACAAGTTTTTCTGCATAGCGCTGTCAGTAACTAGCAGTGAGTGACGTTTTCACGGCGACATTTTTGTGGTTCCGACTGCAGAGGCAAATGACACTCATGGCCCCTGCTCTGCAACAGGAGAGTTATCTCAGGATAAATCATCTAGATCCCCCGCAAAAAAGCGCAACAGCTTGCAGTTTAGTGCATGAAACATCCTGGCAGTGTAGGGATCGGTGACGGGCCCTGTCGTCAACAAACAGCGATAACTTCTTACCAGGACAGCTGCCTTCCCTACCCCAGAGTGTGCAACTTTTTTGGAGACTGGGGACAATGAAGGTTCTTTCCAAAAGGCAAGAAGATTGGCGAGAATTTGGAAGTTTTGCAGGGCAGGGAAGCACACAGGGGCTGACCCCCCAACTATGCTGTCACTCTGTGTGGCTGATGCTTTTGCATTTGCAAAAAACCCCGCATGTCAGCGGGAAAAGTGCAACCTCATGTTCTCTGCCACAGGCGGTTTTTTGTCCCGGACAAAGGCGCTCTCTCCAGAGGCCTTTGTGATGCTGTTCAGAATGTCGCTGGGATTAATTGTGCCAATAGGTGCCTGAATGCAGGGAGCACAAGGTTGCTTGCTGCGGCCACAATTACCTCCTGAGCTGGACAGGGAGTCAAAGCTTGGGCAGGGGAGGTTCCCCCTCTCTGGGGTCAGCACTACCAGTTGGACTGCCAGCCTTGGGGCTCCCGCTGCAGGGGTGATGAAACGACTCTCAGGCTTACTTTCTTGTATGTGGGTAGAAGCGCGACACAGTTTCAGGGGTCATAACTGCTGTTTGGGTTACCTTTATAGCAGGAGGCATGGGTACAGAAATTCACAACCATACCTTGTGAAATGATGCTACAATGCTAGCATTATAGAGTTGGAAGGAATCCCGAGGGCCATCTACTCCAACCCCGGGCAATGCAGGAACAGTGGTCAAAATTAGCCAGGCGTGTTTTGCAACTGGAGCAGGACCGATTGTGGCCAAATGGAGATCTCCATCTGGCTGGCCGCTCCATCTCTCTCCAGCAGCTAAGCAGAATAGCTTATTTATTGCAATTTATATCCCACCATTTTCTCCATGCTTCACCCACTTCCTCAGTTAATCTCTACAACGACCCTGTAAGGTAGGTTAGGGGGCTGTGACTGATTCCAAGATCACCCAGTGAGCTTCAGGACTGAGTGGGGATTTGAACCCAAATCTCCCAGGTCCTAGTCTGACACTCTTAAGCACTACCCCACCCTGGCTTCCTACAGTACTTCACTATGGGGCAGCTATATAAATTGACTAGGTAAATATTGGGGAGAGCAAACTATCACTGAGAGAAGTATCTGAAAAAAATTCCTTGAAGCCTGAATTTGTTTTATTCTGGATTGTTTTATTTGATGTTTTAATGTCTTGCAAGCTGCTTTGAGATCCCCCCCTTAATAGTAATTATAATTATAATAATAAACCACATGGGGGGGGGGGGAGAGAAGGTGCCATTTGGCCAATAGCTTATATATCTATGAGTTTCTAAGAATGGTCCTGCCCACATCTATCCCTGGCTGGGCTCGAACCACCAACCTTCTGGTTAACAGCCAGGCGCATTAACCCATTGTGCCACCATTGAGTCATTTTATGTGACAACTTAATACACTGCTGCTTGTCCCGGGAAGCCCCACGTAGGAAAGAGATGTGAGGAAAACGTCTCTGCGAGAGAACAAGCAAATAATTCCTTCCCTGTCCTGGTACTTGCTTCTGCCATTGAGTTCCTGTAGCCTCCGCGCCATTGCTCTTGAATATGCTTGCCAGTCTACTTCGGTCCTAGTCGCTGGCTGAAATCTATCCTCGCAATCGGATAGTTTCTTGGAAGGAGGAGTGCCGACCTGCTGGCAGAGGTGGCAGGCTGGAGCTTCTCCCCCCCCCCCGCCCCCCATAAAAGGCATTTCCCTGCGGTACCATGCCCCAGCCTGCTCTTTCAGCAGCCAAGAACGTTGCAATGGCCTGTGATGTCGGTCCAAACAGTTAGTATCTCTTAATGAGGTTCTGACTTGCCCGCAGTAAAACTTGGAACCAGGAGTCTCAATGAGGAGCAGAGCACCTGAAACAAGCTGCAGATTGCATTTTGCCCCTTATGACTCGGCACGTATCCCGGGAGAATCGGTTGGCTCAGCCGCACCCTTTGTTCTACGATATCATCTGCCTCCTCCCCCCCCTCCCGCTTTCTACTTTCTCCCTTTGCTGTGGTTAATCTTTCATTCCTCGGTACTCCTTTTCTGCCTGTCTTAAGGATATTCTGCAGCTGGCAAAGGATGCTTCCAGACATCCCTGACCTGGAGCTTTGGGCATGCCGGTTCAGAGCTTCCAAGCTTTGTGGTTCAGATGGAGATGATATGAACCTTGGAAGCTCCATTGGCCCATCCAACTCACTATTGTGAATCTCCAGGATTGCAGGCAGGTTGTTCTTCCAGCCCCACCTTGAGATGTTCAGGATTGAGCCTGGACCTTCTGCATGGAAAGCAAATCCTCTACCACTGACCTATGACCCTTCCCCATGGTGTCTTCAGTAGAGCTGGGCGTTATAGCGATATATCATCCAAAACCATTTTGACGTGGTATCAGTTTCGTAATTGTTGACCTGGCAATATATAGCAAATGATAATGATGTGCTATGCAGAAATCACAAGGCGGGGAAAAACCATGAAGCCAGCCAATGCCCCAAATAGCTCCGTCCTTGTTTCAGACATTGTGATATATCAAAATCTTTCATTTATATCCTGTCTTCCTTCTGTCCAACATGGTTCCACTCAGGCATTGATTGACCAGACCCAGAGCTGCTTAGTTGCAGCAAGATGGTGGCCTCATGTCCTCGTATTGTGTTATTAGACAGGCTAGAGATGGCAGAGTTTATGATACAGATAAAGTTGTATCGTTTCTATAATATTGTTCTGACTGGAAGGCCAAAAACCCCTCTTAATGTTGAGGGTACAGTCTGTTTTGTCTGTATCGTGTTGCTTTTCCTTGGTGTCGAGGGAGGGGGTGTCTTCAAGCACCGCCTGTTTTCCTCCTGTGAAACCGGTATTTTGTTCTGGGGAGGGATCAGATAACGTCATTTGACGTTTGGATCTCAGACGCAACCTCTCCCTTGCACTCATTTTCTTTGGGAAGCCAGGCTTCTTGCAGCAGCCGTTTTATGACTTGCCACCCCTTGCCACGGCAGACATTTTGTGGTATAGCCATGGCAGCTTCTCAAATTCTGAAATGTGCCCACAGGCTCAAAAAGTCTAGGAATTCCTGCATCCATTTCCCCCCCAATATATTGGTCCAAATGCATGTGTGTACACACACACACACACACACACACCGACGTCTGCTTCCTTTGTGCATGTGTGTTTTCTCCACTGTTTTTTGAGACCATTGCGAAGGATGCGTTTTGCTAATTGCTTTGTAAAATGCAACTGCCTTCCAATTAAAAAATGCTTCACGTGGCACACAAAAGATGCAACGGGAACGTGAAACTCGAAAAATTCATCAGTGTCTGCCTAAAACTTAGCCGGAGTCTGCTAGGGGGTGCAAATTACGTAGGCTTCCTGGCTGAGGTGTGTGTGTATATAAAGTAAACTGTCTAATGTAATAATTAGTCACAGCAAAACAGACACTTGTGCCATCGTTCACATATAACAAGCATATACTGCTCTGCAAAGCAGTTAAATCACTGTTGGGAGAAGCAAGTTGTACTCTGCCCTCGGGGCTCGACAGTATATTAGTTTCAGTAGGCCTGAGCTGACAGTGAATCAGAGGAGGATTTGGGAAACGAAGTTGCCCTCCCCCCCCCAAAAGCACCCCTCCTTTCCGCACTGTTTTGGGGTGGGCGCTGAGAACAGGGTCAAAAGTGTTTGCCTCTGCAAGGTGTAACGGGGGTGATATTGTTGCTGCTTTGAATGGAGTTCTGTTTACTGCAGAGTGGCACCTTTGTACAATTTTGGGCAGGAAACCAAATGTCCTGAATTGGGGTGGGGGGGCGTTCCATGTGTCTGCACCTCCTTCGAAGTAAAAGTAGGCACCTTTAAGCAAGATTCATTAAAACTGTAAGTAGCACCTTGTTTGGCTCAGGTATCTCTGCATTAGGAAAAGTCTGTATCCGTTGAATTTTAGCCTGCAGTGTCATCAACAGAGGAATTCTGGGAAGGGGCAAAGGGGCAGCCTTATGTCCATTTGCCTTGATGTCTCTCACAGTCCCTTCCCTTTTCTTTCAGCTGCTGAAAAGATGCTTTCTGGCTTTTCCTTCTTTGTCTTCTTGAGCTCCCCACCCCCCACTTCCCCGCTTTTTTTTGTGGTTGACTGCTTACCGAGATTTCTAATTACTGCAGCGATAGTTCTTTTTAAAATTATTTTTAGCCTCTTCTTGTGCCTCCTTGTTCGGCGCCCGTCTTTCAGGTGAGCTCGTGGATCCTGACAAAATCAGGATGCAAATGGCACGTCTCCTGTCAGAACGCAGCATCTGTCATGGATCAGCACACTCTGGCGGAACATGCCTCCGAGAAGGGCATTTCGTGAGGGGGTGTGTGTGTGTTGGCTTTACCTTTTGGACATGCGCTGAACAGGGAGGCAAGGTTGATAGCAGGTCTAGAACTTTCCGCTGCTTTCTTCCGGCTCTTTCTTGGGCTGTCCCAGCGCAAGACACTCCTTGCTCCGGTCCCCCGAGAGCAGATGAAGCAAATAACCCCCAAAACTGCAGCCACAAATCTAGCCGTAGTCGCTTAACACTTCAGGCAGGATAAAGATGGGCAGGCACAGGCCTGCAAATATCACTGTTTGCGGTGGTGCGCGCATTACTTCAGCTTTGCAAATAAGTTCACCGGCGTTATTAGCCCTGGAAAACTTTTGCTAGCCTTCCCTGCCTCTGCGCTAGTGGTTTCTGGCACTGCAAGGGGGGGGGGGGAATATTTCTCACTTAACAGAAGCTACCCTGCGTGGTTGCCTGGAAACGGTTCTGATTCGCCATAGGAGACCAGATGATTAGCTATTTACAAGCCTCCATTACAAATGTCCAGCTTTTTGTTTGCCTTGGCTAAATTGGTTCCCCAGGGGTTCTCCCAATTCTTTTGTCCTCCGTGGGTTCTTGCTGCTGCTGCTGCTGATCTTTTTCAAAGGGGAAGGAGCACCCCCAGCATCGGTCTCAGTACCATTTTGGGGGTGCTGGCTTCAGGAACGCACCAGGAACTGATACGCTTCTAACACACCTGTAATTTAGGCATTGCAGTTTGAACCAAGGTGTAAAATCATCCTTGTTTAAATTGATTTTTAAAATACATGTGCAAGTTCCTCCATAGCAAAGGGTGTTGCATGGATTTCTGGGTGCCCAGGGTTCTTTGCATAAATACAGAATTGGGAGCCTGGTCATTTTGTGATACTCCTTCTTTGTTTTAACGCAGGGAGGCCAGTCCTTTAAAAGCCCACTATTTACCGTGTCACATGTGTAGTTTGTCATTGGTGCTCGGGCGCTTTGTGAGGGCCTGAATTGGCTCTGAATCATGGACTGTGCGAACAGCTGATTTGCACAACTGTTCTTGGGGACCGTGTCGTTTCTGAGCATTTTGTGTTCGAATGCTTCCCTGCAAAAATAATGCCTGCCAAAAGGCAAGCTAGCTTAAGCTAGAAGACACTTTGTTCCTGACATTTGGTTTTCTTGGGGGATTTCCCCCCTCATCTGGGGGAACATTTAGCCTTGCAGTCCCCCACTTTGCAGTCTGAACTGATATAGTCCAGGAACAGTTTTACGGCAAGATCTGCTTTCTGCACAAAACAGGTCTGAGTGGTGCCTTGGCATGAGATGGAAACCATCCATCTTCCAGTGCGATCCTTGAGCTTTGATCAGGCTCCAGTCTGCTTCCCACCCTTCTGGAGCAGCTGTTCCATCACAGCCCCATCTCTGTTCCAGGGGGGTAGCACTTGGATTCCTAAAATCCCGGGATGCGGCGTAACCTCCTTGCAAGACCAAACTGGAAAACTAATTGCTGTCTCACCAAGAGGGTGCTGAAGGGCGATGGGGTGGGAGTGGGAGATGGCAAAAAGGCGGCCCATATAGCATTGCCACCTGCGTTGGCGGCACATGGTGTTTTTTTTTCTTTTTTGTTGCTCCAAAATTCCACTTCTACTTTGGTATCCTTACTTAGATTTGATAGTTCCATATTGCCACGGACCTGTACAAAAACAGTTTCGGCTAATCCAGTATTCTCATTTTGTTTATGCAGCACCATCAGTGTACACAGGACTTTTTAGTTTAGAGAATGCCCATAAAAGGAAAAGGTAAAGGGACCCCTGACCGTTAGGTCCAGCCGCGGACAACTTTGGGGTTGCGGCGCTCATCTCGCTTTATTGGCCGAGGGAGCCGGTATACAGCTTCCGGGTCCTGTGGCCAGCATGACTAAGCCGCTTCTGGCAAACCAGAGCAGTGCACGGAAACACCGTTTACCTTCCCACCAGAGTGGTACCTATTTATGTACTTGCACTTTGACGTGCTTTTGAACTGCTAGGCTGGCAGGAGCAGGGACCGAACAACAGGAGCTCACCCCGTCGTGGGGATTTGAACCACCGACCTTCTGATCGGCAAGTCCTATGCTCTGTGGTTTAACCCACAGCGCCACCCGCATCCCTTTTTTAAACCAAAAGTGGATGCCAATTTGCCAAAGATTCTTTAGCTGAGATTCCTGCAAGCCCTAGGCTCTGTGGTTTAACCCACAGCGCCACCCGCGGCCTAGAAATGCCCATAGAACTAAAAAATTGTAGAGCCATCTAGTCCAACCCCCTGCGATGCAGGAATCTCAGCTAAAGCACCCCTGACAGAACCTATGCCAGATGCCTCCAATATAGTCACCAAGTCCTGCTTTCCATCTGTTTTATGTCACCTTCTATATCTTCACAAGGCAGGTCAGGCTGAGAAGTGAGCAAAAACAATGAGAAGTGAGTTTAAAATGTGAAACTGCACATAACCAGCGCCTTTCCTTTTTGTTCATTAAGGTTCCCAAAATGTTTTCCCTTTGGGTTTTCATAGAATCATAGAATCCAATTCTATGGGACCCCAGGGGTCATCCAGTCCAACCCCCTGCAATGCAGGAACGTCAGCTACAGCATCCATGACAGATGGCCACCCAACCTCTGCTTAAAAACCTCCAAGGAAGGAGTGTCCACAACCTCCTTCGGGAGTCTTTCCCACTGTTGAACCGCTATTACTGTCAGAAGGTTCTTCCTGATGTTGAGTCGGAATCTCCTTTCTTGAATTCATTGATTCAGTTCCGAGCCTCTGGAAGAGGTTTATGGTTTACTTGGAAACATGGTCAATAATCACCGGCTAAAAACAAAGAAAGAAAAGCCTGCAAACAAAACTTTTGCACAAGAACAGGCAATGGAGGAAAGGAAGGACGACATAGAATCATAGTTGGAAGAGACCCCAATAATCATCTCGTCCAACCCTCTACACTGCAGAAATATGCCCTTACGGGGGACCAAACCTGCAACTTTGGCGTTATAATCAGAATACTCTAACCAGCTGAGGTATCCAGCTGATGGCATAAAAGAGCCCTGCTGGATCAGGCCAGCGGTCTTATCTGGTCCGGCATCCTGTTCTCACATTGGCCAGCCAGATGATTGTGGGGAGCGTACAAGGAGGACCGTGGAGGCACAACAGCCCACTCCCCTCCTGCCGTTTCCAGCAAGGGGTATTTAGCGCAAGCACACTGCCTCCCAGCAGCGGACAGCGACGTGTGGCAGATGTAGGCTAAGACACTCGAATGTAATCCAAAGTGTGCCGTAGTTTGGGGCGAGGGGTTGGGATGGAGGCTAAAACCAAGACCGTGGAAGAGGTGGGCTTTGAGGAGGACTCTGAAGAAAGTTGGCATCCCTTAAGTGTGTGTGTGTGTAACCTCTGCAGACTGCAACTCCCATTGTCTCTGACCATGTTTGCTGGTGCTGTTGGGTGTCCAAAAGCTTTTAGTTTCCCACCCCTGGCTTAGGTGATCTGGAAGGGAGTCCCAGGCAAGAGAGAGAGAGGGAGAGACGGGAACCATTTCTAGATTTAAGACAAGATTCAGCATTCTGGCGCACTGTGGGGAGTGTTTTGGACGTCCATGTGCTGCATTCCGCGGCACTTGTTTTCAGGGCAAAGCATGGGTGGTATGCAAACCACTTCCAGCACGCGCAAGTTTCCTTTCAATAAACGCGGAAGCCCATCAATCATGCCTTTTGATGGGAGATAGATCACTCGGTTGACAGGCCATAAATTCCTCACTTTTGAGAGCGGCGTGACGGTTTCCTGGCACGGCGCATATCTGGCCTCCCCTCCACAAGGCAGAGATGGTATCTCGGTGGCAGAGCGCATGTGCTTTTTGGGGTTTGCTCCCGCCCACTCTTCGTTGGGACTGCACGTGTCCAACCTGTTCTGTAAGGACCAGGAACAAAACACCTGCCACCATGTCCTCCTTTGTTTATCGTGGCTTGTTTGTTTTGTAAGGCAGGAGTTACTTTAAATCTCGACAAGTGAAAAATTTGTGCAAGCCTTTGCTTGTAGCAAGGGCGGGAAACCGGCAATTCTCCAGATGTTGTTGGACTACAATTCCCATCATCTGCAGCTAGCCACAGGGGTCAGGGATGATGGGAGATGTGATTCTGTGTTTTGGGTGTGATTCAGAAAAAAACTGGGCTGGTAGTACTATGAGTATTCCCGAAAACAGCCACCAGTTAGATGGTGTTTTCTGACTGTATCTCTCTCTCTCTTTCTCAAATGGGCAAAAGTAATAAAATGATGCTAACTGCTACTCTGTGGGCCTTGGGGAGAAGGTAATTAGGACAGGAGCTGCATAAAGTCATAATGTCTAGCTTTGACTCTTACATTGTGAGCAGGAAGGTCCCAGCCACTTTGGGTGACTGCGATGGAGAAGTTTTGTTCCACAGAAGGGTGCCAAGGGTGCAGCGACGACAAACAAATTTGTCCATTTCACTTCCCATCCAATTCTCATTATTCCCAGCCTCAAGTTTGCCCCGTTTCTGCATCAGGTTGCGATTTCATTTTTTAAGCGAAAAGTCCTCGAGAAAACTCAACGGTAGTTTAGCACACTTTACTGCTCATCTACTCATTTCCAAGGCAGTTTTGCCTCGTACACACATTTTTTTTTGCAAGCAATTTCCCCTACTATAACACTTTTCTGTACGTTGACAAAAAACAACAACAACCATGTGCCCTTTTATACGTGCATGTTCCCCTAATGCGTGTACGCATTTTGTATACGTTTTCAGGGCTGAAGAACTGCCTTGCAAAATTCAGAGAAATGGCAGGTTTTGAAGGGCAGCGGTGTCTCAGTTTGCACATTGTTTCAGGAAGTCCAAACTAGGGAGATTTGAGTCAAAATGTGAACCGAACCGAACTAACTGTGCCCTACAGGGTAATCCCTTGTGGCTGGTTTTCTCGAGTCATTTCCCTGTACTGCCCGGTCTCTCATGAGACCTCTTTATAAGGACAGGTACTCAAAACCTTTTAAATAAAACAACCAGTCATGAACTGGGGTCTATTTTTGTGATGTGTGCTTGCTATGCTGCTGGAACTCAGTTGTGTTATAAACTCTTGCGGCCGCACAACTGTTTTTGCCACGCATCTGATTTTGCCCTAGATCCTTCCTCTCTCTCTCTCTCTCTCTCTCTCTCTCTCAGCTGATGCTATCAACCTGCTAGTGTTTGGTCCCACATGTCAAATGCCCATCTTTCTCTTGTCGTGGATGCCAGCAAGCTGCAGAACGGCTACTCAGGGTCAACCATCTTTGGTTACGGCCCCGACAAAAATCCCAAATGCGCTGTTGTTCATTCTCTCTCTCTCTGTCTCTCTGTTCACCCCCAAGGCTGAGGCTGGGACTTGGGAGGCTCTTTGGGGAATGCTGACAGGGAGGTTTTGGCTGTTAATCTGCTGCTGGAATGTTGGCCAGACGGTCAAATTCTTCCCCCCCTATTTTTTGAAATGGCACGAGTGAGCGGCGCATGAGAAGCTGCCTCCCTGCTCTTCTCTTGCTGGATAAACCTGCTTCAGCCTTCGCCGCCCTAGTCACGGGGAAAGCACTCCTTCTACCAGCGCTGTGGTTAATACATGCCAGCACTGCCAAAGTCTGGGAGAGGTGGGGGGGGGGAGAGAGAGCTTTTCCTGCCTCTACTGCCAGGTCTGTGCAGAAGTGAGGAATGGGAGAGGTCAAAAGGGTGGAGGAAGGGCAGTCATTAGGGTAGACCAAGCGTGTAACACCAGGGAAATCTCCTTCCTGAAGGCAAAACAGCCCTAAAGTTCAACCGTAACAAGGACCCTTCTTGTCCTGCAATCTTCCCACATCCCATTCCATCCCAGGGTTAAGTTTTCTCTTTTTAAAAAAATAAGAAATGATCTCTAGGGGCTTGTGTTATGTGTAGGTTTCTGGTGCTCTTGTTTCTTCCTTTCCTCCTTCAAGTGACAGGGCTTAGCTCTGGAACCTGTCAAAGGCAGCAATGCCATGTCCCAGAGCATGCACAAAGTGCTATCCGCTGGGCCAACACAGGCAGCATCCCCGTAACTGGGCTGCAGGTGAAAAGTCATTCTGTGGGAGACCCAGTTCGCGGTAATCTATCTGCTGCCTCGTTTTTCTGTGCCAGGCTAGGGGGTGTGCCAAGCTGAAGGTCCTCTTTGCTGTTTTCCAGAAGTGGAATGGTCTCTTTTGGTGTAATTTGACACACGTGTTGCTGTAACACGTTTTATTTTATTTGTATTTGTTTTTTATTTGCCCTGCCTCCATAGATCTCGGGGCTGTTTACTGCATAAAAACACAAAATACATAATAAGTGCAAGAACGAAAACAAACCAATAACCCAATGATGTTAATGAGAGTTTTCGGTCTATTGCTGATCTTAATCTTTTGAATGGTTCTTTTAAACTGTTTTTTGCCCATAATTTAATTGTGTAACTCCTTGGGTAAAACCTGCTTGTGGTTTTTATTTTTTTACTTTTACAATCAAGCAGTATAGAAATAAAACTAATAACTTTGTGCAACAGTGACCTCCAAGTTGTGTGTTTCTCTCTCTCTCTCCCACCCTCTAGAAACTCTGATGGATACGAAGTGGGTGACGTCTGAGCTGGCGTGGACGGCTCATCCCGAGACTGGGGTAAGATGTTCCATTCTCCAAAGGGGCTGGGTTGGAACCAGACGTGGGCAAAATTAAGAGCCACACTGCTTTTGTCTGCCTTTACTTTCCTGTGCGTCTCCGCAACTTAGGTTTAGCTTAATCAATAGAGCGTGAGACTCTTGATCTCATGGTCGTAGGTTCGAATCCCGCACTGGGCAAAATATCCCTGCATTGCAGGGGATTGGACTAAATGACCCTCGTAGTCCCTTCCTACTCTACAGTTCTGTGATTCATTGATTCACCTGCTACTCCCAAATATTGCTTCAGCCACCCATGTGAATTCCTAGCAGTTGCAATGAGGGTAGCCCAAGAAGGCCACTTAGACCTATAAAAACCATGGAAATCAATCATTTGCAGAATTTGCCTTTTGAGCATTATGCACCAGGGCAGTGCTCATTCACATCAAACCATAGTTAAACAATAACTATGGCTTAACTTGACATGTGAGCACATACTTTTTTTAAAAAAACAACAACATAAAATGTCATAAGAACTTCTGCTTCAGTCTTACTATAACTCAGATGATTTTTTTAAAGCAGTTATTAAAAAAAACATTTCCTAGAATCATATAATTTTAGAGTTGGAAGGGGCCCCGGGGGGTCATCTAGTCCAACCCCTGCAATGCCAGAATTTGCAGGCAGAGGTTTGTGTAGCAGTGACTGGTAAAGGAGGAAGTGGGATAAGTAAGGGGGAGTAGGTTGTGTGTGGGGATGAGTTGTGTCTAGAGCCTGTGAAGGGAAAAGACAGAGGTCACCATAGCAGGGAACCAAAAGATTGATTCTTTGGGGAACTGTAGTCATGTGTAGAATAATCATAGGTGATTTCTTAAAGTTTGTGCTCCCGCGTCATGTTAAAAACCATAGTTATTGTTTAACTATGGTGTAACGTGAATGAGCTGTGCCATAGTGCATTCTGCTTAAAAAAAGCTCTGCTTTGATCTTCCCCTGCTTGCTTCTGGAACAGCAAACCACAACAAACCACAGGTCTTTGCTCGTTGTGTCGTCTGAACCTGAGCTCATGGTTTGTTTTCCCCAAAGATGCCACAAGCAACAAGCCGAAGAACAAACCTTTGCTATAGCTCATGGTTTGTTTGGAAAGAAACAAACCATTAGCCCAGGTTCAAACCAGCACAGCAAGTCGAGTCGTGAGGCTTGTTGTTCCTGATGCAGCCAGGAGTGTGGTAAGAGTGAACCGGGGACATTTGAGTAGCGTTCTCCGGCACTCCGGCATGCTGTTGGTTCAGATTAAACTATAGTTACATTAAACCAAGCAGTAAAAAAAAAAAGCCCTCTAATGATTCGATTTTTAAAGGGAGTCGGTTTTGTGCCATTAGCCTTGTCCTGCTTCTGCAGAAAATATTGGGTGCGTAGAATTATAAGAAGCCTTGGGGAAGTTTCAGAGACTGATATATGTCAGCTGTCATCATTCTGTCAAACTCTAGCGTGACCAAAGAGCAGGACCCAGAATAGGAATGTTCATAAGGAGCAGACTTAATAACTGGGGTCACCAGAGCCAAAGAGAGAGTTTAGCCACCTCGGTACACTCTTTTATTTTATCCTATATACAGTGGTACCTCGGTTTACGAACTTAATCCATTCCTGAAGTCCGTTCTTATACCAAATCCATTCTTAAACCGAGGCGCGCTTTCCCTAATGAGGCCTCCCGCTGCCACTGCCCTTCCACCATTCGGCTTCTGTTCATAGACCGAGGTAAAGTTCACAAACCGGAACACTACTTCCGGTTTTGCGGAGTTCATAAACCGAATAGTTTGTTAACAGGACTGTTCGTAAAGCGATGTATCACTGTGGTTGGATGGTCTCTCCATTCAGTTCTATGGGGCAAATTAAACTGCAGCCTCCCCTGTTGCACAGGCTGGCCTAGTCCCCTCTTCCGGGGATTCCCCTCTCGTGTATTTGCACATAAGTGTGTACACGCATGCCTGTGTGCAATGCAGTATATGCAGAGATGCACTGCGCCACCATCAGAGTATATACATCTGTAGTAGATGCAGATACGAGCACACACAGAACACTTGCCATAACCGGAAATTTGCTAGCAAATAATAGAACGGCAACAAAAATGGGCGATCTTGGTTTGCTCCTTTCCTCATAACATCCAAACGTGTCCTGGGGCCTCTGACCTCCTGTTTGTTCACCAACCAATATTGCTGAATGGTGCTGCTCGTTAATAGCATCATTGACTTCATGACCACAACAAAAGCCTGTTGCAAGTTGTTGCAGGCAGACGTTGCGTGACTTCATCTCTTCCCACGGCTTTCCCTTTTGTTTCTGCGCTTTCGTGGGGTTTTCGCTACAACCCATGAGAACTAGAAACTCCCCCCAATATATCATCCCCCCACTCCCCCAAGCAATGAAAGCTGTGCATTCGGGGGTGGGAGGGTGAGGAATGTTCTTCTCTCCAGGCAAGTTTTCAGCAAATCTTCCTCACCCTCCAGCTTCCCCGCCAATTGCATTATGGGGCCGGGGTTTGGGAGCCAGGGTTGAGAGCTCTGTTCCAGGCCAAGGTTTGCATTTCCTCCTGGAACATTTTCCGTGGGCTGCATGTCAGTGTTGGGTGTGGCCAGAGGCAAAACTGGGTGAATCAGTGAATTGGGACTCTCTACGGTCAGCTACATTCCAGCCGTGCAAAACCAGATTTTTATATTCTAGTACGAAAACGGCACAGATCAACTGCCTAGAGTTAACTGCCTTCACATAACTTCCAGTGTGAGAGCCAGTGTGGTGTAGTGGTTAAGAGTGGTGGACTCATAATCTGGTGAACTGGGTTCGCGTCTCTGCTCCTCCACATGCAGCTGCTGGGTGACCTTGGGCCAGTCACACTTCTTTGAAGTCTCTCAGCCCCACTCACCTCACAGAGTGTTTGTTGTGGGGGAGGAACGGAAAGGAGAATGTTAGCCACTTTGAGACTCCTTCGGGTAGTGATAAAGCGGGATATCAAATCCAAACTCTTCTTCTTCTTCCAGTTTGGGCTTTGAGATGGAGCTAAGATTGCTAACGGATGATGCCCATGCAGATTTGTTTTTTTAATTTCACCCTGCCTTCTCTCCAAGGCTTGTGTGCTCCTGCCTCTGCAGCTAATCCCACGTGCAAAGGGTATTAGTGCCGATTTAACAGGAGAGAGGGGCCTTAGCTCTGCAGTGGGGAGCAGAATTTTGCAAGTAGCACATCCCAGGTTCACTCCTGGCAACTGCGCTCTGAGGATGTTGCACTTGACGGGCTGGGAAAAGGCTTAAGCTTGGGAGACTTTGGGGTGTCTCTCTGCCAAAGAAGGCAACCCAGGACTGAAACCAGCTGCCGGTGGGGGCAAAGGGCTCTGTGCCCTGTTGTCAAGTGGGCTTGTGGGCTTCCCAGAGGCAACTGGTTGGCCACAGTGGGATTTAGGAACACAGGGGGGGCTGCCTTTCACTGAGTCAGATCATTGGTCTAGCTCAGTCTATTCTGATCAGCAGTGGCTCTCCAGGAATTTTGGGTGGAGGTCTTTCCTTGCCATACCTGGAGATGCCAGGGACTGAGCATGGGACCTCCCACATTCAAATCAAATACCCTACCACTGAGCTACAGTCCTTCTCCATGATTTATGGCAGCAGCCTTTATGTCCTTGCATCCAAACTTTTCAGTAGCAAACAGCTTACGTTTGGAAGAGTCTCAGTGATATGCCTGGGTGTCCTGGTTTGCTTTGCCCTTCTTAGAGTGGCTTGAATTTTTCGATTTTTATTTTCAAAAATGAGGGGTACTAAAAAGTTGAAGCATGACTCAGGAAATCAAATAGCGTTTTTGGCTAAATTATTATGATTTCGCTTTGCTTGATAGTTAGAATGTGTGTGAAATTGGACAGAAGTCGTTAAAACTGCCAATACTTGCAGTTATATTATATATTACTATTATTAGTATTTATAATTACTATTATTTAGCATTACCTGACAGTTTCATAAGGTCAAATTAAAATGCTCTGGTTTTAAGCTACGGGACAAGGATAACTGTGACTTTAAGGATGAATGGGAACCTTTCACAAAGTAATTGAAGACGCAACAAAGCAAACTGGACTCCTTGGCAGGTTTTGAATAAACATCCACATTTATTTTTTTTACTGATAATAATTAGCTAAACAGTTGGAGGATTTATACAACTCTGTAACATACAGAAAATAGCATTATTGGAGAAACCAAAGACTGGAACTGAGGGAAGTCGGGGGGTGGGGTGGGGGATGGGTTTTGTGGGGGGAGGAAAAATGGGGGGGAATAAGGATATGTTTTTGGAAAATATGTTTTGTTATAACTTTGAATAAAAAAATAAATAAATAAAAATGCTCTGGTTTTCCAAAAGCGGTTAAACTTCTTAATCAGATGTAGACTTGCCAAGCCAAAAGTTATCCAATCACAAAAATAACAGCAGATTTGAATTCCTCACATCCAAAAAACACTTTTTCTAGGAGAAAAAAATTGCAAAAAAGTAAGTTTCTCCTCCCCCCCCAAACGACACGCCCTACTTAGCCATGCCTCCCCTTTCTCTCATTAAAAATAAAGAAATAATAATGGACCGGTGTCATTTAATTTTGTGCAGTGGGAAGAAGTCAGTGGCTACGACGAGGCCATGAACCCCATCCGGACGTATCAGGTGTGCAACGTGCAAGAAATGAACCAGAACAACTGGCTGCGCACCCAGTTCATCGAGCGCCACGACGTCCAGCGCGTCTACGTGGAGCTGAAATTCACAGTGCGCGACTGCAACAGCATCCCCAACATCCCCGGCTCTTGCAAAGAGACCTTCAACCTTTTCTACTACGAGTCGGACACGGACTCTGCCTCTGCCTCCAGCCCCTTCTGGATGGAAAACCCTTACGTCAAAGTGGATACAATTGCCCCCGATGAGAGTTTCTCGAAGCTGGAATCCGGCCGGATGAACACCAAAGTCCGCAGCTTCGGGCCCCTTTCCAAGAATGGCTTCTACTTGGCTTTCCAGGACCTGGGAGCTTGCATGTCGCTCATCTCCGTCCGTGCCTTCTACAAAAAGTGCTCCAGCACCATTGCTGGCTTTGCCGTTTTCCCCGAGACCTTGACTGGAGCGGAGCCGACCTCCTTGGTCATTGCTCCGGGCACCTGCATCCCCAATGCGGTGGAAGTGTCCGTGCCCTTGAAACTCTACTGTAATGGCGACGGGGAGTGGATGGTACCCGTGGGAGCTTGCACCTGTGCTGCTGGGTATGAACCGGCTATGAAGGAGACTCAGTGCCTAGGTAAGTGGTGGCCTCCCTCCTGGCGTTCCTTGGTTGCCTGTGTTGAGACTGTTGCTTTAGTTCCTGGCCGGTTTGCCCAATGTATGCTGCTGGTGTAGACATTTTGGCACGCGAAGGAGAAAATCTTAACTCTCTCTTTCCCGCCGCCTCCATCCCCACGGGTCAAAAAATTAATTAGATTATGATTTCCGCCAGCTAAACCAGATGTCTCACCTGACTCATGATAGGGCCGGCTCATTGATAATGGTATACACCTTCAAGTCAGTCTTAGCTTTTGTCTTCGTATACAACACTGTGCAAGGAACTTGAGGCTGCAGAACTGGCAGCCGCCAACAGTGGTCAAGAGTGGGGCAAAGGCAGCATGTCATGGGCTGGTTGGAAGGCAGCAGAGGCAAGAACCTTTTAAGGTCTCTAGAGTCCGTACTGTTTTTCAGGGCTTTATATGATCAAAAGCAGCACCTTGTTCTCTGCTCTGGAACGATGCCACCATCCCAGGTTCCTGCTCTCTCTTTATGCAACTGACAGCTCACAAATGCCAGAAGTGTGCACACACACCACTCTCCTTTGAGCCTGACCTCCTGACATCTTAGCTTTAAAATTAAAAGGTCTCTGTTTCTGGGTCAGAGCCTGGGCACATTAAAGCCTCTGAGGTTTATACTGGCCTCGTCTCGCTAATACCTTCTGCCATGGCGAATGTCTGGTGGGTGTTTGAAAGTCTAGCAGGTAGCCAGAGATGCTATAGGAAGCAGCTTATCTCTGCTTTCTTCCTTAGCACTCTTTCCCCCAATTCCTCTGGTCATAGAGTGCTTATTTCAGTGTCTGGAGGTTATCTCCCGAAGTGTAAATCCAATTGACTCTGAATCAAACAAAGCCTTGTGGTATTGTCACTGCGAGGCGGTGCTGGGATATTGAGGAGCAGCCATCCGTGGCTTGGAGGGGTAGCCAGAGAAGCAAAAGAGTGAGCACTGCCTGCTCCCAGCTTCGAGGCTGCGAACCTGGAATCGTAGAACCGTAGAGTTTGAAAAGGGACCCCAGGGGTCATCTAGTCCAGCCCACTGCATTGAAGGAGTCACAGCTAAAGAATCCCTGACAGATGGCCACCCGACCTCTGTTTAGAAACCTCCAAGGAAGGAGAGCCCACCAGTTTCTCAGGTAGACTCGCTCTCAGGAAGTTCTTCCTCGCGTTTAGTCGGAATCTCCTTTCTTGTAAAACCTGTTCTTTTGAAAAACATGTCTGTAAAACATGGCACCCGCACTAGGACATTGACTCATGCTCTGATGTGTGTGTGTGTGTGTTTTAGTGCTTTTGTAGGGAATGCAAAGTATATCATCACGTTAACACTTAATCACAGCTGCAAAAGATCTGGGAACTTGGAGGGCAGGGAAAATGGGGGAAAGGGGGAGAGAGAGAGAGAGAGAGAGAGAGAGAGAGAGAGAGAGAGAGAGAGAGAGAGGTCTCTCCTATTGTGCTGCTCCTTGGCTCAGGCTGCCAGAGTGTGAATTCTGCCTGCTCTGGAGCCCAGCCAACAATGAAGACACCTTTCTTTGAGAAGTCCCTGAGTCCATCTGAGCGTTTGCCTCAAATTGCTCTGAATTTTTGAACAAGCCGCCTGAGCTGTATGTACCTGCTCTAGAGCTCAGGTGACCACCGCAAAAGGGAAGATCAGTAGGAATCTGCCTTATACTGGCTAGCTCCTGACTGCAGACACTGACTGGCAGCAGCTGTTCAGGATTTCAGGCGTATGACTTTCCCAGCAGGTTCCCAGAGATGCTGGGAAGTGATCCTGGGACCTCCTGCAGACAAACCAAAAACTCCCTGACCTTCTCAAAGGGAGGGAGAAGGCTGTCATGCCCAGGAAAGGTCAGCAATGGGCCAGGAGCAATTGCCCCTGGATTTGTAGAGCATAGCATGCCCTTTGGCAGTAGCAAACTTTTAAGCCACAGCCAGTCTCTTTCTGATTCTTTTGGTGGTTGGGAAGGAGAACTAATTCTCCTGTGCGCTATGTTTTGTTTCAGTCCATTAACTCTCCACTCCCACTTAATCACCTTTAGGGTAATTTTTGGAACAGTAGATGATTACTATTTTGCTTCCGCGAATGGGAAACGGAGGCTGGTTCTGTGTAGTGTCCAAGGCAGCCAAGGGGACTTGTTGTTGACGTGAGAATTAGGCTTAAGCCACTCACAACCTCAGAGGGCTGTTGTTGGGAATCAAATGAGGAGCTGAACAGGGAGAACCATGTCTGCTGCCTTGAGCTATTCGGAGAAAAGGGTGGGATAAAAAAATGCAACTAATGAATAAATTGATCCTGAAAGGCCCCTGAAAGAGCAGTAGAGTTTAGGCTGCGATCCCACACTCACGTGCCAGAGAGTAAGCTCCATTCAAGTCAATTGGACTTTCTTCTGAGTAGACAGGCATCAGATTGCACTCTTAATTGTTCTCCTTCCCCCTGCAAAAACAAAACCAAACAAGAAAACCCAACCAGGTATTTTATGTCTGTTCTTAACTTGCTGTGACTCCTCCAAGCCTTCAGGAGTGAGCAAACTGGGACTCCTAAATCAATCAGTCAAGAGAACCTGCGTAGACAAGGGGAGGAGAATCAGGGTGCCTGCAGGGGAGACTGCAGCGACAACAAGAACTGTTGAATATTTGGCACTGGTGGCTGCCAAGATTTACCTCTGGAGGGTTATTCTCAGGGAGAGAGCTTCTGCAAAACCTGAGCTTAGTGGGGTGTGATCCCGCCGGGTCATGTCACGTGTAGAGGAGGAGGAGAACCTCAAGCTCAGGGGCCAGACCTCTCTGTTAGGCCCTTGGAACTCTGCTTAGGCCACATACCCGCCCCAGCCACATCCTCTTTCTCCAGGCCACTCTCCTTACCAGCCTTTGCTCCGTAGCTTAATCTCAGGGTTGTGGGTTCGAGCCCCATGTTGGCTGAAAGAGACCCGCATTTCAGGGGGTTGGACTAGATGATCCTTGCGGTCCCTTTCAACTCTACAATTCTTTGATTCTAAGATTCACAACCTCCTTGGGTGTTCTTGCCTGGCTGGAATGTGTCTTTGGACTCTAATAGTGACTCGTTTGCCTGATGTTGGGCGTGTGATTTGTGTGTGTGGAAACCAGCCCACTTGAAGGTAATGGCTTTCTTTTCTGTTTGCCCTCCAGAATCTGGTATACATAGGTTTGCTGCATCTGTGTATGGAGGTTCAGTTTAGCTGTCATGTCCGATAGACGAATTCCCCATGCAGATGCTGTTGTTTGTTCTCCCTCTTTTGGGAATGAATTCCATAAGCGGACCATGTGTTCATCCTCCTAAGTGATTCCACCCCCACCTCCCGTTAGATTTGATACTGTTTGTACAAAACACAGATGGGCAATCTGTGGCCCATGTATCTTGCAGCCATAATGTCATGCAGGTGGCAAGTAAGGTGGGAAATGGGGTGCGAGGCAAGGGGATGGTGGGGTAAGGGTGTCCTCACCCACTTCAGACTCCATCCCTGCTTGCTGCTGGTATGGGACTCCTAACATATATTATTAATCCCAAGGTAATGTGGACCTTTGGCAGGGAAAGGGTTACCCACCCTTGGTGTAAAATGTGTGAATATTTGAAACTACAAAGCAAGTTGCTGGTCATGAGATGGGTAAAAGCACCATAATACTAATTGCTGTGATGTTATTTTTTTACTGGTGAGTAAAAATCTGGCTAGGGACGCAGGTGGCGCTGTGGGTTAAACCACAGAAGCCTAGGACTTGCCGATCAGAAGGTCGGCGGTTCGAATCCCCACGACGGGGTGAGCTCCCATTGCTCGGTCCCTGCTCCTGCCAACCTAGCAGTTCGAAAGCACATCAAAGTGCAAGTAGATAAATAGGTACCGCTCTGGCGGGAAGGTAAACTGCGTTTCCGTGCGCTGCTCTGGTTCGCCAGAAGCAGTTTATGCTGGCCACATGACCTGGAAGCTGTACGCCGGCTCCCTCGGCCAGTAAAGCGAGATGAGCGCCGCAACCCCAGAGTCGGTCACAATTGGACCTAATGGTCAGGGGTCCCTTTACCTAAAAATCTGGCTGGTTTGGTGGCACCACCCACAGCTCTGTGCTGGGTCTTAACGTTTTTGTCTGATTGATCAAAATAGGCCAGGCTATCTTCCCTACGGTTTGTCTGACCTTTCCTCCTGTTTTCTACCTCCCTGTATCTTAGGGGTCTCCTGGCCCTGCCCCAGGCAGATATTACCAACCATACCAGTATTTGTAAGTTCGGGTCCATGTGTTCTGCCATCTTGCCTTGCTGTGTTCAGCCATTTTGTCGGACAAGGCAAGAAATGATTCAGCAGCAAGCTCTCAGCCCTTTTTGGACGTCTGCTAAAGTTTTGACAGGTGTAGACTTTGCTACGATATCCAGTTCATCATCTAGGCAGGTTCTTGGCGCAGATCCAGTACAAATCTTCATTTGCTACTTTGTGCGCTGGATAATTTAACAGAAAAGGAAAAAAAGAGAGAGATGCGTGTACATGTGTGTGTCTTCTTGTGCCTTTAAAGCTGGAGATCTTCCATATGAAGGTTTCATGTCCGTAAATGGAAACAGATTTTAAGGATTTGCAGCGCCTTGAAGTTTGCCAGATTTCCTGTAAGTTGTGATGGGACTTTGAAAATGTTCACATATTCCTTGGGCAAATATGAAATAGACCTGACTCTCCACTCACGCTTCCTTCCCACTCTCTTTTAAGAGAGGGATTCGGGAATCTTCTGCTTATATGCAGTCCCGAAAAATCCTCCCATAAAAGGCTTGCGTGTGAAATCATAATTTGCAAGCCTAATGTTCACTCCTGGGGGAGAGGATACCAGCGGTCTTCTTAGCCGCACACTGTAAAATATCAGTGGTTTTTAATTCAGCCTTGCGAAGAATAAATCGCACAGCCCTACTGGGAGTGGGGGTGGAGAGGAGTACTACCCCAGATAGTTAACAGTTCTCTCTAGCCAGATGCAGCCAGGTAGTTGGCCGCTGACAAGCCTCTCCTTAAATAGCACTGAAGTCAGGGGACAGGAGAAGATGCAGAAGTGTTGTGTGGTTAAGAATAAAATACCCCAGGCTATGATACTGTGGAGTAGCAGGTTTCAGTTGCCACATCTGAGCAAACGGTGTGTGCATAGCATGCTTCCTGGAGTCAGCAGCTTTGGGTTTTTTCTGCCCACAGAAAAGCTATCAGCGATAGAACGTTAATAAACACCGCAGCTTCTGTCAAGTAAGTTAAAACGCCAGCTTGGCTTGGAAAGCCTTCCGACTGGTTCTCGGAAAAGAGGGGTTGTTGATCTGTTAGCAGAAAGCGGGGTGGGCAAGGAAGCACATTGGAAGGGAGAGGGGGCCTGAGGGGCAAGGCACCCAGAAGCAGAGGGGCTGAAGGGAGAATGGCAGGCTGTCTTTAAAACCGGGTGCTGAGCCTGGGAGACGGAGAGGCTCAGGAAGCAGAAAGTGGGTGAAATGGGATTTGGAGTGTCCTGCCCATTTGTTCCCATTCTCTGCTTCCGGTTCTTCAGACAGTTGCTGATCCTGAGTCCCAGGACTGCTGAGCTTTCTGGGGAGTCTCTGGGGGAGTAATGTGTGTGCATAGCACCCGGAACTGTCGAGTCCTGGGTTCAAACCCTTTTGGGTGACTTCGAAAGAGGATCAGACAAATTCTCATGGGACAGATCAGGCGATTGGTGGCTACGATCCATAGTGTCTGTATTCTGCCACCACTGTTGGAGACAGAATGCTTATGAGTACCAGTTAAAATCATAGATTGTAGAGTTGGAAGGGATCACGAGCGCCATCTAGTCCAACCCCCTTTCCTCCCCACCCATGGAACGCCTCTCTGGCCTTGTTCAGAAGGCTATCTTTGCAAGAAAGGAGCCACCTCTGATACTCTGTGCCCCACAATGTTCTGCATTGGAGAGGCACGACCCTGGCTGCTTCCCATAGAGAATTCTGACAACTTTTACTTCGCTTATTGTTAAACTGTGTCAGTTAAGCTGGTTGTGAGGGTTTGATCTGCTGCAGCTTCCAAGGTGTGAGACTTGGGAAACCCATGGCTTTCCAAATGTTGCTGACGCGCAACTTGCATCATGCCCAGCAAACGTGGCCAGGGCTAAGAGGAGTTGCAATTCAGCAAATCTGGACGGCCAGAGGTTCCCCATGCCTCATACACATACTAGTTTCAAACTTCTGTTTCTGCGTTGAAATGAGTTGCCTGTTATTACTTTACACGTTACACAGACACTCAAAAACCCAGGTTTGCCACCAAGTGCACGCTCCACAGCGAACAGCAACCAATCGGCTGTATCAGGGACTTTTATGCTTGGACCAGTAACTTTAGGCTGAGGCTGCGGCCTAGCCAGGTGTGCTGTGGAAGATGCTGAAGAAGATTTTCATCCTAGACCCCTGTGATTTGCAGGGATTATGAAGGCTATGGACTGGCCCAGGCTTTGTTCCCAATCCTTGAGGGGAGGTTTATGGTTTTGGCCATTCTCCCTTCTCCCCTCCTCTCTCTCAGCCGGCAGTTCTGAGAGGGGTTGCTCTTGCCTCACAGTAAATAACAATAAAACTGAATTGCAGCTCAGATGGATTTACAGCAAGGTCTTCTCCACTCCTTTCTAAACTTCCTGGTCTTTTGAAGATCTCCCGCATCTCTTTCATCTTCCCTGATCCTGCATTCTGAGCTGTTAACAATATGTAACTGGAAATCCCACTCCCAAGAGGACAGAGGATTTTGCTCTCTGGTGCCCAATGGAGCCACCTGGGCATGGAGAGCTGGTGCTGACACCATTCAAGCCTCGTTTGCATTTATTTAATTAGCACACGGCTTTCCCTCTGGGACCCGGCTTGGTTCTTCAGGTGGGGGAACCAGAGAGACAGAGGGGAGATGGAGGCGGCTGTCAGCGCCTGCAGATAACTGTGGTCTGACATGTCCTGCAGGGTTGGGGACCGCTTTTGAGACCAGGGGCCGCATTCCTTCCTGGACAGGTTTCAGGAGGCCACATGCCAGAAATGTGTGGAATCTGAGGCATAAATGGGTGCAGCGACATGAATTTTACGTAGGCTAATTTCTGTGCACACTTCCATGGTCCTCTCTACCCTCCTGGCCTGGGTGCAGGGTCCCCAGGGCCAATTAAAGGCTTGGAGGGCCGCACTCAGTCTCTCAGCCTGAAGTTCCCTAGCGTTGCTTGAATCCATCAATCCATAAAACCTGGCGCCCTCTCGGATATCTGTTAGATTATACAACTCCCCTCACCCCCAGCCCATGTTAGGAACTCAGGTATATAAGCTAATCGCTAAATGGCCTGTGTGCGCGTTTACAGATGTTTTCCACCCTTCCCCAACCCTCGTTTGCCTTTGTTCCGCGTGAGCGTGGTACATGACAGAGCTGTTTAAACTGGATGTGCACTTCCAGAGAGCTTTCCTGGCCTCTGTGCCTTCCGAAATCATTGCCGTCTCATTACCGCCGCGATAAGGCTTCAGTGTTGATGTTTCCATAGTGTGTGGGCCTCTGTTGTGTGCATGCCTTGATGCCATATAAATGTTAAATAAATCATACCAGTGCCAAGGAAGATAATGCACCGAATGTGCACGGTTTATGTTTGTGCTTCCTGCCCATGGCCGTCAATGGGGCTTTTATCGAGGTAAAAAGCAGCAGAAGTGGTTTTTCCAGGCTCCCCTTCGCCTCCACGTAAGGTTCTCTCCACTGGGTTCATTTGTGCAAACCTTTTTAATCACCGGGCGAACACAGTATCATGACAGATGATGTCTGAAGATGTATAATTCTCCCCCCCTTTTTTTTACTGGTGTGGGCAACTATGGGGCGATTGGGGAAGCGGGATTGTCAGGTAGCAAGGCAAGTGTACCTGCAGTAGCCAGATTCCAAAACGTCTGCTCGTTGCATTACCATTTACTCCTGCAAGTGAAAGGATTTGCTTCTAAAGTCCACTGAAATGTGTTCCTTGGAGGAATTAATCGTTCTGTGTTTCTGTATGAGTCTTTTTGCCTGGTTGAAAAGAAGCAGGCCTGCAGCGTGCAGAAAGACCACAAGTAGCCTTTTCCTTGAGCAGGTAATTCTGTGTTTGCTCCAAACTCACCAGGTGCAGAAATGGGGCAAAATTACCTACTGGATAGATCAGATACACCAAACACACCAGAAGCAGAGATGGGCCAGAATTACCCTCCTCCTGGTGGGTAATTGAGAAGGAACTAAAGCTGAAGAATTGACCCATGCAGAGACACATTAGGCTCCTTCTTCTTTGCGGCTGGCTGGCTGGGTGAGCGTGCTTGCGCTCACTGGAGCATTTATTTTTTTAGAAAAATTGTCACCGACTGCAAGCAGTTCTCCCTTGTGGCCTGTTGGTGTGGCTTGGCTCACAGCTTGGAAATTACTAAGCTAAGTGCTCTCAAAGTTTTATTTAGTTGACGGGTTGACGCGCATTGCATGCTGTGTATCAAACGTGACTAATTCATGCAAATATGACTTTGGAATGCAAAAGTAAAATACGCCTAATGAGGCATGTGCTTGATATTAGGTGTGGTGGGGGAGCAGCGCCTAAAATAATGCAACCTTGCAAGTAAGCATTCAGAACTCGCTAGCGCTGGAAATTTTGGTTTACGACCATGCTTTCCCAAACACACCAGTTTTTCCGAATAGGTCTGAGATTACTGTTTGTCTTAGCAGACAGAAATTGGTTATATACAATTTGGTTAATTTAAAAGAACTTGCTCGCTTGGGAGATAATTCTGGCTCACCACAGGTGATCAGAACAAACGGCAGGTTGCAGCCCTCTGACAGTGCGCCTTAAAGGTGTAGGAGTTGTACAATGGGCAGGAGACAATGGCTGCTCCCCACTTGCCGGCCTGCCATCTAAAAACCTAAGTTTAATGAATGCAAAACTACAGAACTCAGAATGGAGGATTTAAAAGTTTGATGGTTTTTGTTTTGTCCTTAAGAACTAGAAGAGACGAGGGAGCCAGAAGGGATTAGGATAGAAGGAAAATACTAATCAATGTTCAAGGATGCATGCAAAAATTAACTGGTAAGAGCAGGACCGAGAACATATATTTCAAGATGCTATTAAAAATAAAAATAAAACTGGGGGGGGGGTACAAGCAAAGATGGCAGAGCTGCAAAAGAATCTGTAATCAAAACTAGCCATTTGAGACTTCGGCTGTCAGCCTGGGATGCTGGCCTGGGTTGGGAGGAATGATGTGGGACACCTGGAGCAAGGTGGAGGAAGAGTCAGAGGCAGGTGGAGCCTCACTCCCAACATTCGCCAAGGTTCTGCGTTGCAGCCTCTGTTGCGCCCCGAGAAAGAGATGAGATGTGGGTGGAGAAAAAGAGCAGCAGGTATCAATGTTTCCAGCTAGGGAAAAAATCCCGGGGCAAGCAAAACTTGGCACTGCAGCTGTCTGTAACCGAGAGGAGGAATTTTGGTGAGATTTTGCTCTGGCTGTAATCCGCAGGTTCCCATGTGCAGCCTTTTAATAATCGTAATTATTGGCAGCTCAGTGGCTGACTGTGTGCCAGTCTCTGTATTTTGGACCTGAGCTCTATGAGAGTTCTTGTGAGAGCAACATAGGGGAGCTCTCCACATATAGCAGGCTGAGCTCCCTGGTGGTATGGTAATGGTGCCTGGCCCAGACTCTGGTGTTCTCTACTAGGCCTGGGAAAGAAGTGCTGGTGGGGGAAAGTGGGGCAGTTTATTAATGGGGGTAGCTGGGCCCGGCGAAGTGGCAGAGGGGGGGAGAAAGTGGGCAGCCAAGAGGGCATGATGGGGGCAGTGGGTAGGGCAGACTACACGAATGGTTTAATCACACCCATCCAAAAAAGCCTCAAAACATTTACTGAAAGCCAAGAGGACCAACCCAAATCCGGCATAATGCAAAATAATCAAAATTGGGTGAAAACTGGGGGAGTGGTGCAACTCAGATCAAATTAGCTGCTAAAGGCAGTGGTAAAGAGGTAGCTGTACGACACCAGTTTAACACCCACAAGTGATGGGGCTTGGCTGAAGCCCCATGGATTCGAATTGGGGTCTCTCTCTCTTCTCTCTCTCTCTCTCTCTCTCTCTCTCTCTCTCTCCCCCCACCTAACCTACCTCACAGTCTTTTCAGGAGGATAAAAGGTGGGGGAGGAATAGGCCAATTGCCCCCCTCCCAGCTCCTTGGAGGAACGTTGGAGTAAAAATGTTATTTCAGAAAACAAAGGCCATATTGACTGGACGCAGGTCAAGGCGCAAAGACCCCGTAACCAATTGTATTCCTTGCATGCATGTGTGAGAGAAAGATTGATGGTCTTTTGGACTGCCTTATCTACACTCATCCATCTGAATCCTGCTTTGTTGACTTTTTCGGAAACTGTGCAAAACCTTTTAAGCTGACCTCTGCCAGGATGAAGGGGTTTGATCTCCGGTGACTCAGCTCCCTCCCTACCCACCCCCATATACCCCCGTTTCACGTTATTCTCCTCATCCTTGCTCCAGATAATTATTTATTATGTGTGGCTTTCTCGTGTTTATTACACACCCATGGGTCTTTGGCATTCAGGGCTGTGCTCTTGGAGATCTGTGGATCTTGTAGGAACAGCCCTACCCTAAACAAAACACCAGCAAGGGCCTCCTGGGATTTCACAAGGTTTGGAAATTACATGCTCAGAAGATGTGCTGTTGTCAGTTCTGCCTCAGCCTGGGCTGAGCCTCCTGGCGTTGAACCCTGGCTCTGGGGCTGGGCCCTGCCGAAAGCCCGTTTCTAATTAAGCCCTTTGCAATGTATTTGGGTTTCTGAGGCAGCGAGGGGCAAATAACCATCAGCAGTGAAAACCCCGTGTGGGGCTTAAAATGAGGGCAAATTGGGCCTGGCTTGTCTTTTAAGTGAATTTTATGAGAGGGGTTCCTTTGGATTTGGTTCTGGCAAAACGACTGTGTCAATTGACTGCCTTCTCGACCTCAATTCAGTTCTCCAGTTCCTCCAAACACTCAGCTCCGCTCCTCAAGTCCTTCCTATCTCTCTCGCTCTCTCGAGGGAAAAAAAGGGGGAGGGGGAATCCACTATGGAACTGAATTAGACTCTTCAACCTACGGGATAATGCCTCCACAAATCAAAAGCACCTTGGAAGGGGGGGGGACACCCAGAACAGCAGCTTAGAATGAGAGGTGCCACCTCAGCCACACATCTCCACACCATCTGCAAGCACTTAAGGGGAGAAGGATTGGAGGGTTCATAAAGCACAGCTTTTTGCCAGTCGAACCTGATTGCTGCCTTTAACGAAATTGCATGGTTTCTGGACAAAGGGATGTGATGGCTTCAATTTATCTCCAGGACTCGCTCTCTCTCTCCCTTCTGTGCTGGGAGAGAAGTCCTGGAGGATTTGGAAAAGGCACTGCTGAGGCATACAAAACGATGGTGCTTAGGCTGGAAAGCTGGCCAGGCCCATAAAACGGGATGGCATCCCAGATATTATTCTTGTCTTATTGGTAACTGGAACCAAAAAAATTTAAAACGGGGGTGGGTGTCTTCTTCTTCTTCTTCTTCTGAATGGGGGTGCAGGAGAGAAGTTTGGGCTGGCTGGGGCAAAGAGCTTTGCTAATGATGTGGCAGATGAAACAGCCTGAACTCTTGAGGGATGCTCCTCCCAGCTGGAAGGAGGGGACCCCAACATTTTGGCCGAGCTTGCACTTCAGGGATTGCTCAGGGCTTTGGATAACTCCTGCCTCTCCCTGCCAAGTGTTCTGTGCGGTAACGACGAGCCATATGTGAGTCACTTTTGTGTGCGATTTCAGGGTGGTTGTGTGTGTGTGTGTTTTTAAAGAAGCCAAGCTCCCACCCTTGGCCCTTAGTCACATGGGCGAGGTCTAGATTTTGCAAGAGAGGCTTCTTCCCCAAGCCAGACCACCGTGCGCTGTGGGTCCCGTCAGGTTGCCTGAGCAAGTTGGGTTGGGTCAACACTAGGCATGCAACGTGGGGATCAAGGAGAGCTCAGTTCACCGCAAGATGTGGCAATTTCTTCTGTTTTCAGTGCTCCCTTTCTGAGATGACACTCGAAGAATAACCATTTCCGTGGGCTTTCACGCGGTAGGTGCTCTGATTCAGAGGTGTTAAAGCAGCTATCTCTTGGCCTGCTGCGACCTCGTTAAATAGACTGGAATGATCTGGACTCAAGGGCTCCTTTGGGAGCAAGGGCAAGATAGAAATCCAATAAATAAAAAACCAAACCTGTGTTGCTTTCTGATAGTTGAGGGACCCGCTTCACACTTCCAGCCGACTTCTAGAACATGTGCAAGAGTACGAGCTGATTGCTGCTTTCTGCATGGGACGGTGTTCAGCGCAAGGAAGGCTAATATATTCTGCAATGGGTTGTACAGAGGAGCTGTGGCAATTACATCTGCCGGTGGGTGTTCTGGACTCAATAGAAGCCTTGTTCCTGAAGTACTTGCAGTTGTACACAGCTGTTTTTTTCATTTCTGGTTAATAATAATCATGATGATAATTAATAATAAAAAATAGCAACAACAACAAGAACAACTCTGGACGGTTTCCAGCAAAATATAAAAACATAGTAAAATATCAAGCATTATAAACTTCCTGATACAGCCTTCAAATGTCTTTTAAAAGTTGTGTAGTTCTTTATCCCCTTGCACATAGTATGGTATGTTACAGAACTCTTGCACAATGCAAAAAGGTCAGAGAACAAATATTTGCCTTTAATCAAGGGACCCGCAATTTGCAGACAACTAGAGATGGAGGAAGTGCTTTTTTCTCAAGGTGTTCCCTTCTCCTTCCACTTTCTTTGAAATCTCAGCATACTGGATCCCAGTACAATTACGATGGCAGAGGATGGGTGTCTCAAGGGCTGTAGCTCAGTGGTAGAACAGCTGCTCTGCATTCTGAATGCCCCAGCTTCAGTCCAAGCAGAGCTGAGAGAGACTCGTGGAGAGCTGCTGCCACTCAGTGTGGGCAATGCTGAGCTAGGAGAGGACTGTCGATGGGTACTAGCCATCAGGGCTATGATCTGCCTCCATAGCTGGAGACAGTAGACCTTCTGAAGACCCGTTTCTGGAAGTCACAGGAGAGGAGTGTGTTTTTCTACTCAAATCCTGATTGCAGGTTTTCCACGGGCATCGAGTTGGCACCTGCGAGACCAGGAGGCCGGACAAGATAGGTCACAGGCCTGATCCAGCAGGATTCTCTTGTGTTCTTATGTCAAAGTTAGGCAACATCTAAGGCAGCCTTCTAGGGTTGTACATTGTCAATCACATCTTCATGGAAACATCCTGAGAAAAGCCAGACGCAGACAGGTAGCTGTCGGCCTGCAGGTACGACATTAAGTTGCTGTATTTTTACTTTTGAACACCTGCACCTCGGGGCAGGCCATGCTGCCAGATGTTGCGGGGCCTCCGTCAGCTGCGCACAGCCCAGGTCCACTCTTGCCAATAGGCCTGCCTGGCAACGTTGCATCACTGCGTGGGCAGGTCATCCAGATGGAATTGGGCGCTACTGAGCACAAACTGGGACAGCCCTGGCTCACCCACACATTCTGTCACAATAAAACAAACGCAGACGAGTTAGCGGAATCACAGGCAAGCTGGCTGGCACTGTGTTGGTGTTGGCAAGGAGGTCTCTTCCTCTGCTGTTAGAGCCCAGAGTCATTATAACAGCTGGCGACGGGCACTTAACATAGAATCATAGATAATTGTAGAGTTGGAACGGACCATGACAAGATCTTTTGCCCACCGCGGGGCTTGAACCCACGGCCCTGAGATCTACCAGCTGAGCTAAAGATTCTGTAAATCAGGAATGGTGGAACCTGTGGCCCTCCACATGTTACTGGACTACATCTCCCATCATCCCTCACCACTGGCCACATTGGTTGGGGCTGATGGGGAATTCCACTTTGTGTCGACAGGCCTCTTCCACAGTTTCAGCTTTTAAGATAAACCAGTCATTTTAAGGACCTGTTTTCCACCAGCATATGGTTAGCCACTGTGAGAACAGGAAGCTAGACTAGATGGGCAATTGGCCAACAGGCTCATCTTATGATCATTCCATAGTATTTTTAGTGGTATTTTATCTCTGTTGTGCACCGCGCTGGGATTTCATATGAGGAACAGTCTATAAATATTGTGCAATAAATATAAACATCTGCAGGGCACAGGTTCCCCACCCACCTATCCTTGATCCATCTAATTGCCCAGTTTCCCCCCAGGATGAGAACAGCTCTCCTTGTTCCTAACTAGGCCTTCCCTAGCTCTGCTGCAGCTTCTTAATAGTTGATTGATCCCAGAAACATGGAAATCTACAATGGGTGGTTAGCAGAATCAGGAAAATCACACCTGCATTGTTCACTTGAGAAAGTGCCCAGGAGATGAATAGCCAAGTACAAGGTCTCAAACACCGATTATAAGTAAATTTTAAATAAATCACTCACAGCAGAGATCTAGTCACCTTCAACCCGGTGATCTAGCAGAGATCTAGTCACTTTCACACTTTGCTGTTCAGTTCACGGGCGAAACTTTGGCGTGTGTGCTTCTCCAGCCTGAAAAGAAACCAGGCTGTGCAGCTTGGAACATTCGTGGCGAAAGGGTGTCTGCTTCTTGGACGGGGCTCAGCCCATAAATATGTATAAGGCTGTTTTGCGGGTTTCGAGGGGAGGCCCCAAAGGTCAGTCTATTTCGGTTCAAAGCGACGCAGGGCAGGTGTCATACCCCAGCAGGGAAGTCTTGACTGCCAAAAAGTTTTGGAGCCCATTCTAGCCACCAGATGGACGGGCCATGCTCTCCAGCCCGCCTCTCTGGGTGGAGAGCGTTGACACAACTGTTTGGGAAAATACGTGCTGAAGCTGGAGACATTCCTTTCCCCCAGTAGATCCTTGGTTAGTGCTGTTTGGGAAGCCCAAGCCGCGTTCAGCTGCGTGAGACTTATCTTGTTTTCCTGGCCTCTGCTTCAGGGGCGGGGAGGCTGCCCAAGAAAATAAGGCTGTTTCACATCAGCTTCCAGCTCCCTGGAAGATAGCAATCTTTTCTCTCTGGGTTGAGGCTTTGATTCTACACCCGCCCCCCCTCCTCTGCAAGGCAGAGCTAGCCCCAAACACTTTGGCACTCGACCCAAATGGTACTTCCCTGTGGATAAATACACTGCACAACCCACTAGTAAATTCTCCTGTTCCTACCTCATGGGGGAAATAACAGAAGCTGTACGAGGGAGAAAGTGCAGCACTCGTTCGTTTCAATGAAGTTTGCGCACCAGAACTTCCCGCTGGAGTGTGTGCCTTAGATAGGACCTCTCTATCTCCAACTCTGATGCCCCTTATCTCCACCCAACAACACCCCTCCTAAGGTGGCCAGCTCTCCGTGGATCCTAGTAGGGTTGTCCCTGTTGCAAGGCACATAGGAACCAAAGCCTTCAAGCAAATCTGCAGCAAACATTCCCTGCCTGCCTGTATATCTGCCGGTTCAGGGAAGTTTTTAATGTGTGACATTTTGATGTATTTTTAAGCCTTGTTGGAAGCTGCCCAGAGTGGCTGGGGAAACCCAGCCAGATGGGCGGGGTACAAATTATTGTTGTCGTTGTTATTGTTGTTATTATTATTATTAATCTGTTTTGGGATAAAGGGAAGGAACCCAGCTTTTATCAAAGCACCCCTCATTGCCTGGAGAAAGTCTTAACACAGGTGACTAGGTGGGTGTTTGCAACCCTGCACTTACAGTTACATGCAGAACTTGCTTTTCCCAAACAGCAGTCATGTCCAAGCTCAACTCTACTGGGGGGGGGGGGGCTTTGATGCATAGTAATATTCTCCCTCTTCAGCTGAGCAGCCAGCAGTAGGGCAGATAGAGATTACATACAGTTGACTGCTCCTCTGTGCGCACAAATCCCCCGCATGCAGAAAACCAATCAGTCAGGGAGAAGAGTGAGAAGGCAAAGCTGGCAGTCATCTCCTTGACATCTTTTTTTTTTTGGAGGGGGGAGGTGGAGCATTCAACCAGGTGACCCTGAACCTGCTGACTAGAGCCCACACACAGATTTACCACTCTTTGTCAAAACTAGGCCAACGAGAACCTGCACTTCCATGAATGTACTTGACGGCTGGACAAGGGTTAATTTATTGCCCCAGGAAGGCAAACGCCATCTTTGGGCCTCTGGTAAACAAACAGATTTATCAACAAAAGCTCAGCATGGACTCATGGGAAGAGTCAACTGAGAACACTCCATTAGCAGTTACTACCACTGTGGGTTGCAGTGCCACATCTCAGGCAATATATACACATTGATGCTGTGAACAAGGGATGTGGGAACCTGTAGCTTGTCAGTAGGCCTGGCTGATTTACCAATATGTCACCCTGGACTGGTTTGAGGGCTAGAGTCCTGTGGCGTCTCACGGGGCCTAGACTGATGCAACCGGTTCCTCCCAGGTTTATGGCAACCCACGTCAGAAGTTTTTTTTGGCAAATCCTTGGATGTCAAATTTCCATAAAAATAGCTCAACAATCTTGGCCCAAAAGTTGTTCAAATAAGGCAACCCTACTATATCATAGTATAGTCGGCGGTTCAAATCCCCGCGACGGGGTGAGCTCCCGTTGCTCTGTCCCTGCTCCTGCCAACCTAGCAGTTTGAAAGCATGTCAAAGTGCAAGTAGATAAATAGGTACCACTCCGGTGGGAAGGTAAACAGTGTTTCCGTGCGCTGCTCTGGTTCGCCAGAAGCGGCTTAGTCATGCTGGTCACATGACCCGGAAGCTGTACGCCAATAAAACGAGATGAGCGCCGCAACCCCAGAGTCGGCCACGACTGGACCTAATGGTCAGGGGTCCCTTAACCTTTACCTTACTATATCATGATGTTCAGCTGGTGATACATCACGAGGTTGAAAAGCTGCTATCGTCCAGCCCTACTAGTCAGGTGATGTTGGGACTTCAGTTCCCATCTAGCAGCATGGCCAACTGTAGTCCTCGGATTCTTCATCCTCAGCTCTAAGTTGATCGTTGCTTCTTACCCAAGTGCCTTAAGAAGCAAGGAGGAATGGGAGTCCCCAGCACATTCATTTTCTCCGTTCCGGGATTTGTGTGTGTGTTGCATGCGGATGAGGAGTTCTCCATCCTTTTAGCATCTATGGGCTGCCTGAAGCTGCAGGGAGACTTTCCGCCTAAGAGAGAACCAGGCCTGGGCCTCAGAAGCCAACCTCCGAGGGCCCTGCCTTGAGATCAGGCCAGCTCATCCCATCGCTCTTTGATCAAAACGAGCTGAAGGCTGAAGCAATCCAGGGAGTGGCTTTCTCAGGGTAACTGGTTGGGCAAGGCAGCCTTAAGAGAGCTGCCTCTGTGCTGAGACAGCCCTAAGAGAATTGCAGCAATGAGTGAAATATCCTGAGCTGTGGGTTTCATCTCCCAGCGCTTGGCTCATGTGCTGCTTAGATGGACCTCTTCCTTTGCAGAGGCCAGGTCCCTTCGGTTCGCGGCTGAGCGCACGTTGCTGTTTGGATGCTTCATGATCCAGATTTCTTACTCAGCAGGGGACTTGGGAGATGGGCGGAAAGGGGTTCGTATCAGCGAGTAACATTTGCTAATAAAATGCTTAGGTCATCCGGTGGGATTTTTCCAGAGAATTGCAGCATTAGCAAAGCATCCTAATGGATTGGCTCCCTCTTTCCTGGCGCGGCCGCTCCGTGCGCGGAATATTGTCTCCGTGTCTGCTGTATCAGGGATGGTGGCCCTCCCAGATGTGCTGGCTGGAGCTGTTGGGAGCCGGCGTCCCAGGAACATCTGCAGGACCACAGTTCCCTGTCTGTGCACTATGTGGATGTCTAAGGCACTGTAATGTGCTTGGTTTGGTTTGGCTTCCTTTGGACGGCGCTCTCCGGGGATGGTGCAGATGCAAGGTTGGCCATGCTTGTTAATATAGCTGACACTCTCTGCCGGTTACAGACTCTTATTATTATTTATTACATTTATACACCAGCTTTATCTTCCCGGGAGCTCAAGGTGGTGTTTATGGTTCTCCTCCTCCCCATTTCATCCTTGCAACAAACCTGTGAGGTAGGTTAGGCTAAGGGATGGTGACTGGCCCAAGGTGAGCTTATGCCTGAGTGGCGAACTTCAATTACGGCTGGCCAGCCTTCCTTCAGGAGGGTTGGGGAATCTTCCATCCAGGTAGCAAAGGCAGCCCCTCCAGACCTCTCTTTTTTGCCCCCCACCCCTGGGACTCTTCCCTTTTGCCTCGTTAATTTTAATTTCTGTTAAGAGAAGTTGTTGTATACTGCTTAATTGTAAATAAAAGCTCTAAGCGGTTTACAACTTGATAGATAGATAGATGATAGATTAGATAGATAGATAACAAAAGTAGAATTTAAAATAAGCTTTTTAGAAAAATCAAAATATAAATAAAATCAACTACTACTACTAATAATAATAATAAACTACCAGCCCTGCTTTGTATCCTCCTTGAATGTTTTTTGTCTGGCTCCTTGAACTCTGATAATGCCTCTTGCTTGCTTGGCTGAAGAATACCCAGGGGAGAGAGGGAGACATAGAAGCTAGCATACTGCACAGAGATGAAACTCAAATAATAATAATAATAATAATAATAATAATAATTTATTTGTACCCTGCCCATCTGGCTGGGTTTCCCCAGCCACTCTAGGCGCCTTCCAACAAAGACCAAAAATACACTAAAATGTCACACATTAAAAACTTCCCTGAACAGGGCTGCCTTCAGATGTCTTTTGAATGTCAGGTAGTTATTTATCTCTTTGACATTTGGTGGGAGGGCGTTCCACAGGGCGGGCGCCACTACCGAGAAGGCCCTCTGCCTGGTTCCCTGTAATTTGGCTTCTCGCATTGAAGGAACCGCCAGAAGGCCCTTGGTGCTGGGCCTCAGCGTCCTGGCAGAATGATGGAGGTGGAGACACTCTTTCAGGTATACTGGGCCGAGGCATTTAGGGCGTTAAAAGTCAACACCAACACTTTGAATTGTGCTCGGAAATATACTGGGAGCCAATGTAGGTCTTCCAGGATCAGTGTTATGTGGTCTTGGCGGCTGCCCCCAGTCCCCAGTCTAGCTGCTGCATTCTGGATTAGTTGTAGTTTCTGGGTCACCTTCAAAGGTAGCCCCACATAGAGCACATTGCAGTAGTCCAAGTGGGAGATAATCAGAGCATGCACCACTCTGGCGAGACAGTCCGCGAGCAGGTAGGGTCTCATCCTGTGTACCAGGTGGAGCTGGTAGACAGCTGCCCTGGATACAGAATTAACCTGCGCCTCCATGGACAGCTGTGAGTCCAAAATGACTCCCAGGCTGCGTACCTGGTCCTTCAGGGGAACAGTTACCCCATTCAGGACCAGGGAGTCCCCCACCCCCACCCCCCCTCCCTGTCCCCCGAGAACAGTACTTCTGTTTTGTCAGGATTCAACCTCAATCCATTAGCCACCATCCATCCTCCAACCGCCTCGTTGCTCTGCCTGCTTTTTCCTCTTGCCCCACCCACCGTTTCCATGTGGCCCCTGAGCTGTATAAGATCCCCCATTCCTGCTCTAAGCATGGCTTGGAAATGATCCCAGGGCAACTCTGGTTATCACTAGCTGTCGTTAACTGCATCACTGCTGTAAGGCTTACCTGGGGAGCCAAAGCGCTCCCTTGTTCCTGACCTCTTCACTGTGAGCAGGGCTGCAAGATAATATCACACCTAGAATCACAGACTTGTAGAGTTGGAAGGGACCCTGAGGGTCATCTAGTCCAACCCCCTGCAATACAGGAATCTTTTGACCAACATGGCGCTCGAACCCACAACCCTGGTATCAAGAGTCTCGTTCTGTACCGATTGAGCCTGAAAAACAATTCCACCTCAGCTTGGAACGGCTGTTGTGAATCCTTTTTACAAAAAAAAAAAGTGATGGAACCAGCCCTATGCCGCCAAAGCCTGTGCTTAATTCATCTACTTTGAATCTTTTTTTGGGGGGGGGGAGATATAGAGCCTTTCCTCCCTCCCCATCCTTGCAGCCATGCCTGCAACAAAGGGGTTGATTATGATGTGAATGGAAGTCTGTTTGAGGGTTTGGATCCAGCTACTCACAGCTGTGGCCTCCTGGCATTTATCAACCCCCCAGAAAAGAGGGTCACACAAGACGCCTTGTTCCAACCAACCGAGCAGGCAGCGGCTTTGAGGGGTTGGGGGCTAGGGGGCTGCCCGCACGGCGGGGGGGGGCTTGTGCTGGGTTTCGCCCACAGGGCTGACAGGCTGCAGTCAGAAGGGGCGCGTGGTGTCATCTGCCGGTGAGCGAAGCAAGGAGGGATGGCTGGTGGGGGTGTCTAGTCTCCCGGGGAATGGGAGGCGAAGGCAGGGGGCTGCTAGTAAGCCATTGGTCTCTCGTAAGGGAGTGGAAATGCTAGCTTACCTTGCAGGAGTGTTGTACGGATAACTGAGACTGCGTGTGAAATGCCTCTCTTGCCTTGCATAAATGCGAAAAGTGAACTGAGTGCATGGGAGAAGCCATAGCTCAGCAGCTGCAAGAGCACACTTGTGAGTGACAGAATTACAGAACTGTAGGGTTGGATGGGACCACGAGCGTCATCTAGTCCAACCCCCTGCCGTGCAGTGAAGCTTTTTCCTCAACGTGGGATTCGAACCCACAACCCTGAGATTAAAGTTCTCATGCTCCACCAACTGAGCTATGCAGGCGTGATGTTCCATTTCTCAGCATTTCCAGTTTGCTAGGATTTGGGGAAGCCAAGACCCCAGCTGGGGTGAGTCGTGGCCATTTGGAGGAGGCTGCAGGTTCACTAGGTGGGTCTGGCTCAAGATCAAGGCAGCTCCTTATATGAAGAGAACACAGAGGCAGTTTCTGCCAAAACTGCAAGCAGTTTAATAAAATGCATGTGCAAATTGTTTTGCTTAGAGAAGGTACTGAGGAACACACACACACACACACACACACACACACACACACACACACCAAAAGAGAGGGAGAGATTTGTAGCAAAAAGCAACAGCTCAGCAAAACGAATCAGGCAGGACACCTGTAGCCTTGGCTGGTGATAGTGAAGCTGGTTTCTGTCAAAACGTATTTATTGAAATTTCTAACATGCAAAAATGGGAAAACATAGGTTCATGTGTTGAGCCTGTCATACAAAATCTGTGGGAACGCTGCTGCTCCCAGGAATGTAATATCATTTCCTTCTCTTGGTTTTATTGTGGAAGCGAAAGGGTCTCATCTACCACCACCGTCCCATGACTGATTGCGCCCCTGCTCTGTTTACAGCAGCCATTGGTTTCGTGGAGCAACGTCAGCTCCTCATAGATGACTCCTGTGGCACATCTTCTTCTTTTGAATTCCCAGTAAACCCAGCACTGCTTATCAAAATATTCTGAATTCCGGACCGAACCCTTGCAGGTTCATTAGAAAATATGCAAACTGTACCAAAATGTTAAGTACTTGGTGATGATTTGGGAACTGAGAGGGCAGAATATAATTATCCATGGACCTTCTGGGTCCCCAGGATGGATCCATTTTACCCGTGGGCAAGTGTTTAGATGAAACCGGGCCAAAGCCATTAAGCAGATGAACTGAAAATGAGGAAAGGGTGTGGTTTGTTAGTTTATGTGCTGTCATCAAGTTATTTTCATTGCCCTTTAGCTCCAGGGTGGCCAGTGTGGTGCCCTGCAGATGTTGTTGTACTACAACTCCCATAATCCCTGGCTGGAGCCAATGGGAGTTGGATTCATACAACATCTGGAGAACATTGTGTTGGGTATGAAGGCTCTGGCAAGGATTTACTTGGTTCGCCAAGTCTTATGGGGAAAAGTGACAAGTGGGGTGCTGTGGGGTTCTGTCCTGGGCCCATTGTTGTTCAATGTCTTTATAAATGACTTGGGAGGAGGAATTGAGGGGGTGTCCATCCAATTTTCAGGTGACACCAAACTGGAAGGGGTGGCTAATGCTGCAGAAGGCGGAATCTGGATGCAGAATGACTTCAACAGATTTGAAAACTGGGCCCAAATTAACAAAATGAATTTCAGTAGGGAAAAACTACACAGATATAAGATGGGGGACACCTGGCTTACCAGTAGCACATGTGAAAAAGATCTAGGGGTCCTAGTGGACCAAAAGCTGAACATGAGTCGACAATCTGACGCAGCAGCAGCAAAGAAAGCCAATGCTATTCTTGGCTGCATCAACAGAAGTCTAGTGTCCAGATCAAGGGAAGTACCACTCTATTCTGCCTTGGTCAGACCACATCTGGAATACTGTGTCCAGTTCTGGGCAGCATGAGTTAAAGAAGGATGTTGACAAGCTGGAAGGTGTGCAGCGGAAGGCAACCAAGATGATCAAGGGTCTGGAAACCAAGCCTTATGATGAATGGTTGAAGGAGCTGGGTATGTTTAGCCTGGAAAAGAGGAGACCGAGAGGAGGTATGATACGATCTTCAGATATCTCAAGAGCTGTCACATGGAAGATGGAACAAGCTTGGGGGTTTCTTCCTGATCCAGAGGGTAGGACCCAAACCAATTGCTTCAAGTTACAATAAAGGAGATTCTGACTAAGCATCAGGAAGAGCTGTGGAGTCTCCTTCACTGGAGTTTTTTTAAGCAGAGGTTAGATGGCCATCTGTCATAGATGCCTTAGTTGATATTCCTGCATTGCAAGGGATTGGGCTAGATGACCCTCCCAACTTCTATTATTCTATTATATATTGTCCTCAGGAACACATTGGCAGCACTCTTAAGCCCAATTCAGTTAGTCTTTTAATGCTGAATCACCCTGGCATTAAAAACATAAGCATTGCCTTCCTGTTTCATGTCAAAGACCCGTTGTCTCCCAGTGCACAAAGTCTCCAGTAGTGGCCAGTTGGGACCTGGTGGAGAGAGAGCGCCTTCCCCATCCTCTGGCTTCTGGTCTGGTGATCAAAAGGCCTTTGAGCATCGAAGTTCCATTCCCAGCTAGAAAGTCCTTCTTCACTCAGCACATAGTTTAAACCATGGATCTCGCTCCTACAGTAAAGTTACCAGATTTTTTTCAATGAATCTGGGGACACTTTTCAACTTCCTACTAAATAGATGGATTTTGTCAAGGAATTGATTTGTAAATCCAGGGACTGTCCCCAGGAAACGGGGATGTCTGGTAACCTTATCCTACAGGAGGCAGGGATTGTCATCCTCTTGGATGACTTCAAAAGAAGATAACACGAAGGGCAAGGCTATGGATGGTTACAAGCCATGATTACTATGTCCTGCCTCCATGGTTGGAAACAGCAACAGAATACCAGTTGGTGGAAACCACAGACGGGAGAGCTCTCTTGTGCTTCGAGCCTGCCTACAGGTTTCCCACAAGCCTCTGGTTGGCCACTCCAGTTGGCCATTGGCTCGCAGCTGGCTCTTCCATTGTTGTGACTCATAACGGCCCTCCATCAATTTGCCTAATCCTTTAAATTAAAAAAAAAAAAAGCTGGCTGAGCCACCAGGGCCTTGACTGCATCTTGTGGCAATGGATTCCAGAAGTTAATTATTGCTGACAGCCTGAGCTGTAAATAGTCTGGAATGCCAGCAAGGTGGGAAGAAGGAAACGCGAATGGCTGGGAACAGAGCCTGAGGGAAGTCAGGCAGACGGTCAGAGGAGACAAGGTCAGCGTTGGTTGTTGCCCAAGCAGATCCCAGACCTGATCCAGAAGGTCTGGGCCAGTCCTTTTTCAAGGTCAAGAGAAACCAATGGGCTTCCAGGAAGGGGTGTTTGGAAGTCCCCGGATGCCGTGAGGCCATCATATATTCTGGGGACCCTCTCAGCCCACGGCTTCTCGGGGCAGTGGAGCCCAGATCTGGAAGGAAGGCACCTTGACAGCCACGCCACTGTGACACAGAATTCCCTGTTTCCTCCGGATTGAAAGTTGTCCCACATTTACTGTGCCAAAGTGGGCTAACCCACTTTGGGAGATGTTGTAGCTGCAATGGGGTAATAACCATGCGGCGAAAAGCCACGATTTGCACATCCAGGGTGAGTCAATGCCATGAATCCTTTTCCTCACATTCAGCAGACATCACGTGCCCAGGAAGCAAGAAGAAATAAACAAACACAAGTTGACACATTAAGACGTTTCCGGGATTTGGGCACAGCCCAGGGTAAATAAGGTGCAACTCTAGAAAGGGATACCTCTCTAGCACAGACTAGCCAAGATGGTGGTTGTTGTCGTTGTTTGTAGATCTCATATCTACAGAATCATGAAATTACAGAATTGTAAAGTTTTAGGGACCCTGAGGAACATCTAGTCCAACCCCCCACGATGCAGGAATATGCAGGTGTCCCATTCGGGGATTGAACCTGCAACCTTGGCATTATCAGTGCCACGCTCTAACCAGCTGAGCTATCCAGGCATGAAAAGGCAAGATACATGATAGCAGCACAGGCCACTACAGGATGGTGAGATGCTGCAGGCATAAATTTCTGAAGCGAGGAGGTTGCACATAGAGCCTGGGGTCTTACAATGTTATTCATGAAACAGGATTCATGCACCTCGAAGCTAGAGCAGGGCTGAGGTCTAGGGGAGCCTGGGAAGAGATGATGGATTGCGCGTCTAATCACTTTCCTTCCTTCCTCACCAAACAACTGGAAAGGGAACATGGAAAAGTCAAAAGGCTCTGTTAAATGTTTGCCAGAAATCTGGCAGGGTAGGGGGATATGGAAATTATTCATCTGATTTGTGCTTGGCAAGAGGGCAAGGACGGCGTTTGCTGCCTCTGGATTCCACCCACTCCGGTTTCGGTGCAGTCCTGGCAGTTTCCTGTCGCACTCCAAATTCCTGTGGCACTTCTCTGTGGTTAGGCAGGATGAAGAGGGCTTTGCCTCGGCAGTCATTGCCGGGGTCGGCGCACTAGGGCTGGGCCCCTGAGCCTGACCACGCGTGGGGAGGATTCCTCCGCCCCTCCTGTTTATTGCTGTGTACTCATGTCCCGCCCTGGGTGGGTTGGATTTTTTGCTTTGGCCACAGGATGGGAGTCTGGGAAGCCTGCACTTAAAAGCACGACAGGTTTTGAAATCGGAACTTGCAGCGCAGGAACTGCTGCATCTTTGCAGAAGCTTAAACGTTTAGGAAAACAAGGGGAAAGCATCTCGTCCTCAGGGCGGCAGAGAGGGAGCGCCTACAAATAGACTCAAGGGGAGAATGAGCCCATCTTGGGGAGAGGGAAGGCTTAGTCCTTGCAGCTCTTATCTTCCCACCCTGCACAGCCATCTCTTTCCGTCAACAATAACTTTCCTTTCCCTGTCCCCAGTATTTAATAAAGTACCCATGTATTTCCCATTTTGATGTGAACCAAACTAGGAGCTGGTGCCCGTTAGGGAAGGCATATTTTTGTTACGTATTTTGTGTTTTTTTATATTGAAATTTTATGTTGTGAGCTGCCCTGAGATCTATGGGTAAAGGGCGGTATACTACTAATACTAATGCTAATACTAATACTAATATTAAAAAGGCAGTACTGAGTGTGTTGGACTGGTGGTCTGGTTCAGTTCAAGGCAGACTCCTGTGTCCACCAGCCTTCGCTACCAAAGGTAAAACAAGGCAGTGAATTCACTCCCATGCACTCAGGAACATTTCCAAATGGGCTGTTTTTATCTCAGATCTAGCCAGGTGTGCTAGTTCACTCCATCAATGGAATTGTTTTAGATGTGGCGTCAAATAAAGACTCCAGCCCTCTCCTCTCCCCTTGGATGTGCAGTCCAGGATTCTGGCAACTCGTTTTCTGATCAGCTCTGTGCATTTCAAATCTGGGGGTCTCTCTCTCTCTCTCTCTGTGTGTGTGTACATATATCACGGGGATCCTCTTTCTGCAATGACCATTTGTTCTCCAGTCTCAGTCCTGTTGATTCGTTGGGACCAATTTTTTAACCTGCATTCAGCGTTTTTTGTTGAGAACAGAGGAGCCATGTGGATAGCTTGGTTGGGTAGAGCGCAATGCTGATAACACCAAGGTCGCAGGTTCGATTCCTGCATGGGGCAGCTGCGTATTCCTGCATTGCAGGGGGTTGGACTAGATAGTGCCCAGGGTCCCTCCCAACTCTACAGTTCTATGATATAATAATAATGATAATTTATTTGTACCCCGCCCATCTGAGTGGGTTTCCCCAATCAAGTTGATTGAGGGGTCCCGGTGTGACTTCCTGATGTCACCTGTGACGTGAGAAGCCAGGGGACAGAACTGAACACCGTCTGAACATTGAGGGGGCCTGGCTCCCTAAAAATATGTATATATATTTTTAAAAATGGGGGGGCCTGAAACTGCTTCAGTTGCTAGAAGCTGGTGTGTATGGTTGGGAATCAATCAAAGCTGGCAGCCATGAAGTTATTAGATCAAAAGGTTCGTGTTTTCGGCCTGTCCCTCTCCTTTTTTTCCTGTTCTCTCCCACTCGTGCATATTTTTCTTTCTTCCCTGTATTTATTTGAAGTAGTAATAATAACCATAATCAATAATAAATACCAAATCCAGGAGCAGGAGAGAGGAAAGAATGGAGCTGTGTGGAAAACGGCTCAGTCAGCCCTCCAGGCGAACGCGGCCTGGGACGTGGTCGGTTGTTCCAGGCCCCCGGGGATTGGAGGGTGGAAAGGAAAAAATGTCTTGGCTCTCGCAGCCCGACTGCTCAGCAACTGTCAGTCTGGTCCATGGAGGCAGCTCCGAGGTCAGCAGGAATCCCAGAGCGAGATGCTTCTCGCTCTTCTCCCGGGATTCCTGCGGTAGTTTGAGAAGACGTGGGGGGGGGGGGGACTCAGTAGGCAGGAGCCTCCTGGCAGCACCGCCTCTGGGGCTCTGGGAAGAAAAGATGGGGGGGGGGAAATGTTCCCACACGGCCTGGGGGGAGTTCCAAAGCCCTCAGGGCGCAGATTCCACCATAAGCCGCCCACCAAGTCGAAGCTGACCATGGCTGGACGGAGGGGTGTAAATTTATGGGCTTTTAAATTATTATTTTGTGACATTTTAATGTTTTTATTGTACACTGTCATGGATTTCTCCCTCCAAGTTGGTGGTTTATAAAAAAAAAATGCAATACAGTGGTACCTCAGGTTACATACGCTTCAGGTTACAGACTCTGCTAATCCAGAAATAATGCTTCAGGTTAAGAACTTTGCTTCAGGATGAGAACAGAAATCATGCTGCGGCAGCGCAGCGGCAGCGGGAGGCCCCATTAGCTAAATTGGTGCTTCAAGTTAAGAACCGTTTCAGGTTAAGAACAGACCTCCGGAACGAATTAAGTACTTAACCTGAGGTACCACTGTACTGTTCAAATCATTGTGGAAGAGAAAGAGCTTGGTTAGGTTGGCCTGCTGACGATTTAAATTTGGAAAGTGCTTTGCAATTTCCCCCCGTTTTGGGTTCACACATGCCTGTGAGGTAGGCTGTATCCTAGCTCCCATTTAAGGGGCAGGAGACTTGGATGTGAGAGAAAGAGAGAGAGAAGCAAACTTTGCCCAGGGCCACAGCCCTCCCTCATTGAACCTCTCTCGGATCTGGCATCTTCATCCACATCCACGTCAATGCCGTCCTCCTGCATTCATGGACATTGGAAGTGATTGGAAATAAAAGGAAGAAGGAAGGGGACTCTGGGAGATCTGTGGGTGAGAGGAATGGAGCAGCCTTGAATGTCAGGCTGGAGAGCCTAAATCAGGGATGGGGAAACTGTGGCTCTCTAGATGTTGTTGGACCGCAGCTCCCAATAACGTTCACCATTGGTCCTCCTAGCTGGGGTGATGCTGTGGACAGAAAGTACAACCCTCACTCTGATTTGGCTTTATTATGACGCCACGTAGCTAAGCTAGTTCAGAACGAGGGCAAGGTCTTCATGTTCACCACCAAGGCCCTTTTCCAGCCACCATTAGGAACCTGACTTCAGGTGCTGCAGGCAACCCAGAATTTGCGCCACCAGTGTTTGCTCTGTGATGGTTCATTTATCTAGATAAAGATCAGGGTGTGCTTGTCTGTGTCTCACAACACCATATTCTTCTGCATATAAATTGCTTTAACTGATCCCAGCCTTGTGTTTTCATGTTGTTGCAGCCTGTCCTGGGATGACAATAATAAGGATTAATAATATGCAAGCCATCGCTCCATGCTGTGGCCAACATGCCACAGTGATTGTTAATTTTAGGATTTGCTTGTTATTGCCCGGCCTGGCGAGGGCATTCGTTTGGGTGAGGTGTTGCAACAAAAAAGTAGGCTGAAATATGAAGCAATTTGGTTTTTTGCATATGTGTACCAGCTCTGCGTTTGCGTGTAATGGGGCTAAATTGAATCTCTTGTTGTGTGCCAGTAACTGAGACCTCCTCTCTCTCCTCCCCCCCCCTTTCTAGCCTGTGGACCGGGCACCTTCAAGTCAAAGCAGGGGGAAAGTCGGTGCACCCCTTGCCCTCCCAACAGTCGGACAAGCTCCGGGGCAGCTACTCTCTGCATGTGCCAGAACAACTATTTCCGGTCAGACACCGATCCACCCGACAGTGCCTGCACCAGTAAGTCTGCCCTTCTGCCTCTTGGTGTTTCGGTTTCACTTCAAAATGTGTTTATTTTGGGCTTATTATTCCACTCTAGCTTGAGGGTACCAAGGCCAGTGATATGATCCTCTAAGGTAGCACATGAATGCATTTATACTTCCGCCCATTGCTTTGTTGACGAAACTAACAATTTACAAAAGATTTGCAAAGCTGCTTCGGGAATTGGGAAGATGGGAGAAGAGGTATGCTGGTGACGCCAGACAGAAGTGGCTTTTGGGGTGGGGTGGAGCCTCTACGCTAGCTTTGGGATGCTGTTGTTTACTGGAAGGAAAGGTAGCCGGGAGGCTGGCATGGTGTAAACGCACCGGCAGAACCAATCCTGTGCTTCTGCCAGTGTTTATGCCCCACACCAATTTCCTTCCCCATCTCCCTCCCAGTAAGCAATAGCAACCTTCCTGCCAGGAACCTCCGCTCTACCCAGCCAGCGGTTTCTGATGTCACAGGTGCTAGCCAATCGGTGCCCTCTGCAGCCAGCTTTTCCCTGGTGCGGACTAAACCATGCTGCAGACTTGCAGAACCAGTCTTCTTTTTTCAGAGCTTGGTTCGGGAGAGAAAAGGGTACATTTGCATTGTACCCACTCAAACCGCCACGCCTAAAAGCGTTACCTCTGCTTCCTCCAATACAAGGTGGTTGTAAAGATGACTAGAGAAACTTGTATGCAAAACTCGTCAAAGACTCACATGCCTTTGTGTAAATGCTGAGCATCGTTTTGTTTTATTTTTGGAGAGGGGGTGGCAAAAGGCTCTGGGGTGGGGAAAGCCCAGCTTTGAGGGTAAGGTTTTGGGGGTTCTTTCGGGGCCTTGAGCCTCTTTTGATCCCGTGGCAGGTGTCCCATCGGCCCCGCGCAACGTCATATCCAATGTGAACGAGACATCCCTGGTGCTGGAGTGGAGCGAGCCCCGCGACTCTGGGGGCCGGGACGACCTGCTCTACAACGTCATCTGCAAGAAGTGCAGCGTGGAGCGCCGGCTGTGCATGCGCTGCGACGACAACGTGGAGTTTGTCCCCCGCCAACTCGGCCTGACCGAGAGGCACATTTACATCAGCAACCTCATGGCTCACACGCAGTACACCTTCGAGATCCAGGCCGTCAACGGGGTCTCCAGCAAGAGCCTCCAGAACCCCCAGTTTGCCTCTGTCAACATCACCACCAACCAGGCAGGTGAGTGCTTCATGGGAAAGGAGGGCAGCTCAGTAAGCCACCCCTCCAGCAAGCAGCTGCCGAGCCAGCGGTGAAGCAGGAACCTCTGGGGTTGAGGCCCTTTCATGCCAAACAGGCCTTGAACGGGAATTCCTGTAAGTGTGTTGGGCGTCTGATTGTGCATCTAGCCAAGGATTTAAGGTTGCTGTTCTAGAGAACGTAAATGGTGTTGGTGGTTCTTGCTTAAAGAATCAGGAGGGAGCCTTATGGTAACTACGTCCTTTATTTCTAAAATCTTGCCCGAGGTTTGTTTGTTTTTAATGAGTTTGTACGCATTTCCCCTCCTTCGGTGAAATGAGCCAGTGTGATGGCCTTCCAGACTTCCCAGACCTTTGATCCACCTTTCTAGAGCTGAAGGAGGAAGTTTGGAAGAGGGATGCTCTTTCCGACTTCTTCTTCCATCTCTATGCCCTTTTCCAGGCTCAGATCGATTCTCCTGCAGCTGGCTTTTACCCAGATCTCATGGGAGAGCAAAGCATGTGCACACACTCTTTCTCTCCTGTCTCTTGGGACGGGGGGAGAGTGATACGAGGAAGGGAAGTGACTAGATGAGTGGCTCCAACACTCATTCAGAAATACAAATGTGGGTCCACTGACCTCCAAAGATTGGGGGCTCCTGTTGTGGAGTCAGGATGGCCAGGGCCAGCTTGCCCATGAGACAAGGTGAAGCAAGTGCCACAGGCAGCAAGATCCCCGGGGATGGCATCCAAGAACACATTGCTCACTGCTTCTGCCAGACCTGCTGTCTCCTCAGCAACCCTCTCCCCAAATGCTGCCTCCACAGCGGCCTCTCGGTCAATAGGAGGCACTGCTGATCTCCTCCCACCCTCTGTTACTACTGTTCACCACCACCACCACCCTCTCATGGCGTAGATATTCACTCCCATCTTCTTCCCTGGCAAGGGGGTGCCATTTTGTGGTTTGCTTCAGGTGTCAAAATGTCTTGAGCTGGCCCTGATACTGGAGATCATTCCATGTTGCCCCAAAGACAGCTGTTCCCATGTGACCAGTAGGAAATTGCTGGTGGAGTTTGGTGAAGGGCTACCGACCTTTCCAGAAGGCTGCTACTGTTGGGATATGCAATAGAGGAAGCGAAAAGGGTTTCCGTTCTGGATGATGGACTGGATCTTCCAGCTCAGGCCCTGCATTCCAGTGGCTTAGCAGACACATTGGCGCCTATCATGCTTTTCACAGTGACCTGTTTGACACAGCGAATGGAACGCCAGTTGGCTCTCCAGTGGATTTGAGCCATTTTTAGTGGTCTTGCGAATGTTTCGTTGTGCCTCCAGCTTTATTTGAGTCCTGGAAATCTTAGAAAATGGCAGTAGAAATCTGGCTAAGTAACACATTTGGAAAATCTAACATTCATGCTGGAGAAAACTATTCACATAAGAAATACTGGTGATTCTCAGACTTGCAAAACACCGACATGTAACCCCACAAAACAAGCAAAACACAGGTGAAATAGACAAGCAACATTCACCCCCAAAACAGGCAGCGCAAACACACATAACCTAACAAGAAAATTACAGGTGAACCCCTGGCTTACAAAAAAACCCAACTGCCCAAAATACAGGGAAAGCACCCCAAAAGCACCAGGGTGGCCCCCATCTTCAGAAACAATAATGCATCCAAGGAAATGGCTATTCCTCAAACTTACAAAGCACCTGCAGGTTTGCCTTTCCCCCCCTCTTACTTGAATGTTTTGGATGGGAGCTGGAAGGCCAGGCTGCTTTCCTTCCTTTGAGCACCCAAATCAGGCCCAGAAGATCCTAGAGCAGCCTTTCTCAACCTGTGGGTGCCCAGATGTTGTTGGACTACAACTCCCATCACCCCTAGCTAGCAAGGCCAGAGCTCAGGGATGATGGGAGTTGTAATCCAACAACATCTGGGGACCCACAGGTTGAGAACCGCTGTCCTAGAGAAAGGAAAGGAAGCTGGAAGCCTGCAATTCTCTTTCCTGCCAGCCCAGCTGCTGCTGGCTTCTCGAAGAGAGAGAGAGAGACAATAACAATCTTTGTGAAAAGCGTTTTGAAAATCAGGAGTGATGGGGAGCCCTGATGGTGAAATATGGGGTAGGGGCAGAGGCACCAAGGTGTCTTTGCGTGTTGCATTGAGGACCTCAGCGACTCACATGTTCATCCCTCGAGTTGTCTGTCAAGGGAGCCGAATCAGTGTTATTTCTGCTGATAAGGAGGGAGGCTGACACGTCTTCTCACCCCCCACCCTCCACAGCTCCTTCAGCAGTTCCCACAATGCATCTGCATGGCAGCACGGGAAGCAGCATGACTCTTTCCTGGGAGCCTCCGAAACAGCCCAATGGGATCATCCTGGACTACGAGATAAAGTACTTTGAGAAGGTAAAGCTAATCCTCTGGCAGGGACGTGGCGGGCACGCTTCAGCTTGACAAACACTCTGTGCGCTTCTTTTCCCGCTGAGAGGGGAATTAGGTAGTGTGCTGAATTCTACTGCAGTAGCCAAGCAGGTGAGCCAGCCAAACAGGAAGACCTCCGTTCAAATCTTGCCATTTGTGATGCTGCCCTCTCTGCAAGGTGGGGGGCGGGCCGTGATGCTGGCATACTTTACAGGGGTGGTTGTGGTGATTGCTGCAGAGATGGGGGAATCTTTCAGGCGTTGTGGGACTCTCAACTCCCACCAGCCCCAGCCCCTATGGACGGTGGGAGTTGGGGAACATCATCATCTGGAGGGTGCTAGATTATATTCCATATCTAACGAAACACTTTAGCAACGAGAGGTGCAGTACAGAGCAACGGTTAATAACAGCAGCAACAAATAATGACGGTTAGCAGTGATAAGGAGGAAAGAATGCAGGTTATTTAACGGGGGGAAGTATCTTATCAATGCACGGCCTTCCCAGGGTGCCTTTCTTTACTCTAGAGAAAACCACTGGAAAGTTGTGCAAAGGAGAATTCTGGGGTGACCTTGAATGCCTTTGCTCTGCGTGTCCCTTTCTTTAAAAGGTAAAGGGACCCCTGACCATTAGGTCCAGTCGTGACCGACTCTGGGGTTGCAGCACTCATCTCGCTTTACTGGCTGAGGTACAGCTTCTGGGTCATGTGGCCAGCATGACTAAGCCGCTTCTGGTGAACCAGAGCAGTGCATGGAAACACTGTTTACCTTCCCGCCAGAGCGGTACCTATTTATCTACTTGCACTTTGAAGTGCTTTTGAACTGCTAGGTTGGCAGGAGCAGGGACCGAGCAACGGGAGCTCACCCCGTCACGGGGATTCGAACCGCTGACCTTCTGATCGGCAAGTCCTAGGCTCTGTGGTTTAACCCACAGCGCCACCTGCGTCCCTGTCCCTTCTTGTAGAGACACCTAAAGCAGGTGTGGGGAACCTTTGGCCCTCTAGGTGTTAGGAACATAAGAAGAACTTGTTGGATCAGGCCAATGACCCATTTAGTCCAGCATCCTGTTCTCACAGTGGCCAACCAGATGCCTGTGGGAAACCAGCAAGCAGGATTTGAGCACAAGAGCAACTCTACCTTCCTGCGGTTTCCAACAACTGGTCTTCATAAGCATTACTGCCTCCAACTGTGGAAGCGGAAGACAGCCATCAGGGCTAGTGGCCTTTGACTGCTGTTCCTCCATGAATTAGTCTACTTCTCTTTTAAAACCATCCAAGTCGGGGAAGGGCTGGATGTGACCCTGAGGCATCCCCTTTCTCTTTCCCTGCAGCAGGAGCAGAGCGACGGCATCGCCAACACCGTCACCAGCCAGAAGAACAACGTGCGCTTGGAAGGGCTGAAGTCCAACTCTGCCTACATGGTGCAGGTCCGGGCTCGCACGGTGGCTGGCTATGGGATGTACAGCCTCCCCATGGAGTTTCGGACACCAGTGGAGGATGGTATGAGCTCTGCACCTTCCCCTCCCTTCCCCACAGGCTTCTGCCGTCCAAACATCTCCCTTCCTTCTCCACTCCCACCTTCCAACACTCTTCCTCCCTCTTCTTCCTCTCCTAACAGGCTCCAGTAGCAAGAGCTTCCAGGAACTGCCTCTTATCGTGGGCTCGGCTACCGCAGGCCTCGTCTTCGTGATCGCGGTCGTGGTGATAGCCATTGTCTGCTTCAGGTACTGGCGGGGACGAGGGAGAGCCTGAGCTCCAGGGAGGGGCGTGACTATTCATTCTGTCAAGGATTGGATCTGCCTATATTAGCGATAGACAATTTGTGGTGTTGTCCAGATGTTTCGGACTATGGCTCCCATCCCTCCAGATGTTGCTAGACTCTCAACTCCCAGCATGGCCAGTAGTCAGGGGTGGTAATCCACAGGGTCCGGAGGGCACCATGTTGGCTATCCCCGGCTTGCATGAGCAAGCAAAAGTCTTGCGGCACCTCCAAGACTGATTGATTATGACTTAAGTCAGGGACAGGGAGACTTCGCCTTTCTAGAAGTTGTTGGACTCCCAATTCTCATCATCCCTGAGCCAGTGCTGGAAATTAGCCAGTCTCAAGGCGCATTTTGCAACTGGTGTGAGTCCCATTGCAACCGCATGGAGATCTCTGAATACCAGGTTGGCAACTGGGGAAAGCAAAACGTCACTTAGAGAAGGATTTGAAGTATTTTTCTCAAAGCTTGCATTTGCTTTATTCTGGATTGTTTTATTTGATGCTTTGATGTATTGTAAACCGCTTTGAGATTTGTTCTTTAAAATATAAAGTGGTATAGAAATGAAACCAACAACAAGAAAGATCTCATCGGGGGTGGGGGGAGGTGCCTAGACATTCCATTGTGGCGACCTCAACTGTGGCTTAAGGTGCCATTTTGGTGATCAGCTTATATATTATATACAGTGGAACCTCTACTTACGGACATCATCCATTCCAAGGTCCATCCACTGGTCGAAACGGGACGCTAGAAGAGGCGTCTTGTGCACGTGCACGTTTGGTGGTAGTGCGTTTCTGCGCATGCGCAGACGGCGGCAGCCACTTCTGCACACGCGCAGATGGCAGAAGCCGCATGCGCGAATCATGGCAAACCCAGTGTTTACTTCCGGGTTTGCTGCAAATGCAACTTGGAACGTCCACGAGACGAGGCGTATGTACGTCGAGGTTCCACTGTATATGAGTTTCTAACTCATGCTGGTTAGGGTCAATAGTCGTTGCAGTTTGACCGCTTCTAGAAGGACCGCAGGTTCCCCCATCTCACCAACTTTCGTGGACTTGATTCCACTTCATCAGATGCATGGTGTGCAATTCTCAGTTGTCCATGTCTGTATAGATATCTGTATATCCATGGAGGCGAAAGGAATTATAAGCCACGAGGTCAGAGGGAAACAGAATGCAGAAAGTGCAGACTGTGGCCCTTCAGTTAGAGGTGCAATGAATGCAACTTAAGCACAGAAGCCCTTTATAGCACCCTGCCTTCATGGTATCCCCAGGGCTAATTGAATACTCTCCAGCTATTAGTTGTGCATGGATGATAATAACTGCATAGATAACAGACCAAGAGGATGGGTGGAGTATATTTCGGCTCTCTGTGTGCAATGGTGTTCAGTGTTCCAGTGCTCAGGTTTTGGTGGAAAGATGACCAGGAGGCGCGTAACGTTGCAGGCTCTTTGATGCCTTCTTTTCTCTTTGGGCAGGAAGCAACAAAACAACACAGACTCAGAGTATACAGAGAAGCTGCAGCAATACAGTGAGTATCAAGCCAGGGGTGGCATGAGCACCTGAGTCACACAGGCATGTGAACGTTGTTTTTGTGGGTTCTGCTTTCTCAAGCCTGCATTTATTTCCCAGAGATGCCTGCATGCCTGTGTGTGCTCAGCAGCCCCAAAGGAGGCAGTCACCCTTGTTGTAGCTGCTGCAAAAGGCTGCATGTAAACCTCTTCGTCCTCTTTCTCCCATGGAAAGGTGGTACATAGCGGTGAGGATCATGTATCCTCACAACTGTGCTTCCCTATGGCAATTCCTGGCAGCATTCTTCCAACCCCAAGAACCTTTGCATTCCGTTTTGACAAAAGAGATTACAAGTTTCTAGCCCTCATTGTAATAAGGAAAAACTGTCCATAGTATTCAGAGCTGGATTTTCCTTTACGGGTGTCAGTGAATTGAAGGCATGTAAAAACCGCCTTTTTAGTTTAAAAAGAAAAATAATTGCATCATTTGCCACCAGACCTACGTTGGGTAAAAAGAATCCCGCATTGCAGGGGGTTGGACTAGATGACCCTCGCGGTCCCGTCCAACTCCACAATTCTAGAATTATATTATTCTAATCTCGGGGATAATCAAGAAGAACCTAGGCGAGTCAAACTTAAATGAGCCCCAGATATGTCTGTCTATTGTGATAAAAGCATGTGTCCTTATCCATCGCCTCTCTGCCCTTACAGTCACTCCAGGGATGAAGGTTTATATCGACCCTTTCACTTACGAGGACCCCAATGAAGCCGTCCGGGAGTTTGCCAAGGAAATCGACATTTCGTGCGTGAAAATCGAGGAGGTGATTGGAGCAGGCAAGTCACCTGATGGCAGCCCAGCTCCTGCCTTCCACCGAGGGAAGAGGAGGGGGCGGGGTTTGGCTGTGCTCTCAGTGGGTGTGGCCACTCCTGTCATGTGACCGTCTTGCCCTCCCACAGGTGAATTCGGAGAAGTCTGCCGGGGTCGCCTCAAGCTTCCAGGCAGGAGGGAGATCTTTGTGGCCATCAAAACACTGAAAGTGGGCTACACGGACCGGCAGAGGCGAGACTTCCTGAGCGAAGCCAGCATCATGGGGCAGTTTGACCACCCCAATATCATTCACCTGGAGGGGGTGGTCACCAAGAGCCGACCCGTCATGATCGTCACGGAGTTCATGGAGAACTGCGCCTCGACTCCTTCCTGCGGGTGAGCAGGACTCCCTGGTCTTGCGAAGAGCTTCCTGGGCTCTTTTCAAGCAGATAACAACAACAACAACAATTTATTTATACCCCTTCTCCAGCCACTCTGGGCGGCTTTCAACAAAATATTAAAATACAGTAATGCATCAAACATTAAAAGCTTCCCTAAACAGGGCTGCCTTCAGATGTCTTCTTAAAGTTTGGTAGTTGTTTATCTCTTTGACATCTGAAGGGTGTCACTACCGTTCCACAGGGCGGGTGCCACTACCGAGAAGGCCCTCTGCCTGGTTCCCTGTAACTTGGCTTCTCGCAGTGTGGGAACTGCCAGCAGCATACTCCATTATCTTTCTTATCCATTCTTCTTTGGTTGGAGCTTCTTCTTCCTTCCATTTCTGCACATATAGAATCCAAGCTGCTGTTGGTACATACACAGACAACTTTAACATTTTTTGGGGGGGGGGGGAGGAGGGGATTTCAACCCCTATCATCCCTAACAGAAACACTTCGAGCTTTATAAATATACTCATCCTTGTGGTCTCTTCCAATTCTATGATCTGAGCCATATTCAACCATCAAATGTGGATGGGTTGCTCCAGTGTTTGGCAGGGGTTGCTTGTCATCTTACATATTGCACGAGCCGTGTGTGCCTGTGTGTGTGTACATGCACGCACCATGGCAAGTGTGCTGGGCCCGGGGGTAACCCGTGAAACGCGGTCCAGGACCGGACCATAATCCAAAGGTTCTGCTAGGAGTCAGTCCGACAGGGCCAAGGCAGGACACGAGGCAGGAAACCAGACAAGGACAGGTACAGGATCTAGCACACAGCAATGTTGCTCCCGCAACTTGGGGCGGAGTCTGACAGCCTTTTATCTTTGTCGGGGTAGCAGCCAGTCCTGATCCCCCAGCAACTCACCTCCCTGTTTTGCCTGAAGGCGAGCACTCCTCCTGCGAGTACTCAGGTCTCTCCTTCTCTCAGACCTCAGTCTCTGCAACTTGGGAGACATTGGTGGGTTACTAGACCCAGGGGCCACCTCAGCCTCCCCTGACCAAACCAGTAGTGGAGCAGCTGTAAGTGATGGCCCAGTGATGGCCCTGGAGCAAGGGAAGGCTCAGGCCCCTGACTCGGCCCAGCTGGTGCTTGTTGCAGGGGAACCTGTGCAGACTGGGACTCTTCAGGATCAGGCCCCAGACTTGGTTCAGGTGATGCCTGAGGCAAAGGATCCAGTGCAGACTGAGTCTCCTCTGGTTCCGAGTCCGAGCCTGAGTCCCAGGCCATCACAGCAAGGATAGGCAGGGAAGCAGCACATGGAGAGCTGATCTTTTCAAACCTGAGCAATTCTTTCTGACCCCTCTTCTTCTTCCACCAACAGCTGAATGACGGGCAGTTCACGGTGATCCAGCTGGTTGGCATGCTTCGCGGCATCGCCGCTGGCATGAAGTACCTGTCCGAGATGAACTACGTGCACCGGGACCTGGCGGCCCGCAACATCTTGGTCAACAGCAACCTGGTGTGCAAAGTGTCGGACTTCGGGCTCTCACGCTTCTTGGAGGATGACCCCGCGGACCCCACCTACACCAGCTCGCTGGTATGTGACACCCTCGTCGCCATGCCCTGTCCTTCCCCTCTCAGAGGCCTGGCAGAGAAGCCCTGTATAAGTACTGGTCTCTCCGCACAGAGATATCTAGGGCCACTTGCTACAAGGAAACCCTGCGGGGAAAGAAGAGTTACCCTGATGAGGCCAGAACTAGAATTAAGAAGAGCACGAAAAAATATGCTGAGGGAAGAACTAGTGGAAGGTCCACATCTTTGGGAAGAGACCATAGCCTAGTGGTTAGAGCCACTGCTTGGCTTCCAGGTTCAATCCCAATGGTGTCTCCAGGTAGAGACCCTTTGTCTGAAAACTTGGGAGAGCCTGATCCATTACAGTTTAAAAATAAATAAATTGGAATGCAACTCTCATTAGCCCAGCATAATCAGGCTGACCCCATCTCCCTCCTGGAGGGGTTGGCGCTAATTAACGGTGTCAAGTGTCTCTTCCCACAGGGCGGCAAGATCCCGATCCGGTGGACGGCCCCGGAAGCCATCGCCTACCGCAAGTTCACGTCTGCCAGCGACGTGTGGAGCTACGGGATCGTCATGTGGGAGGTGATGTCCTACGGCGAAAGACCTTACTGGGATATGTCCAACCAGGATGTAAGTACGGCCTCCTCCTGTGTAGGAGAACAAAAGGTGCAGGAGCAAAAGCGCCCTTCCGTGACCCCTTGCCTGTTTCTCACGGGTCTCCTTAGGTGATCAATGCTGTGGAGCAAGACTACCGCCTTCCACCGCCCATGGACTGCCCCACGGCGCTGCACCAGCTCATGCTGGACTGCTGGGTGCGCGACCGCAACCTCCGGCCCAAGTTCTCGCAGATCGTGAACACGCTCGACAAGCTGATCCGCAACGCGGCCAGCCTGAAGGTCATCGCCAGCGTGCAATCTGGGTCAGTGCCGTTCGCCCCCTCACCCTCTCCAAGCACAGGCAACCTGCTGTGTCTGGACTAACTGTGCCAAGTTTCTAGCTCTCATGGAGGAAAGATAAATAAGCAAACCTCGGATATATCTATCTATGGCCTTGGGGGCTGGAGTCGGGCAGCAACCGGGGCTGGAGCGACGAGCAAAGAGGGTGGACAGGGAAGCGCACAGCCGCCTTTAGCCTCCTCGCGCGCCACAGGACTGCCAGGACTGCCCCCCTGCGGCTCAGCCCCACACGCAGCCCGCTCTCCCCCTCCTGAGCCTTGCCTGACCTCTGGGCTCTCTCATCCTTCGCAGCGTTTCCCAGCCCCTCCTGGACCGCACCGTTCCGGATTACACCACCTTCACCACTGTGGGCGACTGGCTCGACGCCATCAAAATGGGGCGGTACAAGGAGAACTTCGTCAACGCCGGATTCGCCTCCTTCGACCTGGTCGCCCAAATGACAGCCGAGTAAGTATGAAGGGGTGGGGCGGTGGGGCAAAGCACGCAGTGGCCCCAGGAGACCGGGCCGTTTCCAGATAAGCCAGACAACGTTGCAGGGGAAGGCCGAGACTGGCATGTTATGTCACCTGGGTACGATCTCAGGGGCCAGGTGATGACTGGAGCATCCTCACCAGGGATGCTACAAGCCACAGGGGAACAGAGATGGGCTTATAGTTCCCTGGTCCACTTGTGGTGGGCAACCTAACGCCTGCTTTTGGCTAGGATGCATTCAGAGTGTGCTGGACATGGCATACAGTTGAGACTTTTTGATGCTTTTAAGCAAGAGTGTGCCTACCCAGGGCCTCCCAGCTCCTTGATTCTGTGACCTCTCAATCATGCCCATTTTAATATGTCTGTTTATTATGCATTGCTCTTCCAATCCTATGGAATGGTGGAGACAGTGTGGGGCACCGAAGCCCACTCCCTTGCGCTCTGAAAATCTGGCTTCCACCATCCCCTTTTGATATTAGACTCCTGGAATTGTCCAATTTTTTTGTACCCTGTGTTTGCAGCTTTTAAGCGTCAGTAACTGCCTGGCCATAGGGACGCGGGTGGCGCTGTGGGTTAAACCACAGAGCCTAGGACTTGCCGATCAGAAGAGCCGCATGTGGCTCTTTTACACCTTTGCCGCGGCTCCGGGGCGGATACTAGTGAGGGGAGGAGGCGCATTGTGCACCCCGACACTCCCCACTGTGGCGGGCACTGTACTGGCTGTGACATCGCATGGGGGCGGTGCGTGCGTTAGTCACGCACCACACGTCCCAGACGTCACGCTGTCCCGCCCAGCTATCAGATCGAGATGAGCACGCCAGAGTCGGCGCACTGGACCAATGGTTTAGCGGTCCTCTCCTAGCTGTTTTGCTACTGTCAGACACTGGGTCCAAGTGGCTCTTTTTGTCTTAAAGGTTGCAGACCCCTGCCCTAAAAGAATTCCAGGAGTTTTTAAAGGGTTCTGAGAACAGTTAGAAAAACCCTGTTCACTTCCCAGAACCACAGTTCCCATAGTGGTTTATCAGGCAATCCTTCTGCGCAGGGAACTCTGGGAATTGTAGCCCTGTGAGAGGAACAGAGGCCTCCTAGCAACCCTCAATGACCTTAACAAACTACACTTCCCAGGATTCTTTCGGGGAAGCCACAACTGCTTTAAATGTGAGTGTTGCCCCAGGTGGAGCCTTTGCCTAACCCTACATTTCCCTTCAACATTTTTGGGTTTTGATCATCCACACCTGATCTCCATCATGCTGTCTTCTGTGTCCAGAGAACTTCTCTTCATTCCTTGCATTTGGACTGTGGAATGAAATTCTCACCACCCTACTGGGCAGGGGTGGGCGGGTGGGGAGATGACAGTCTTTTGTAGGCGATTCATCGTCCGGGGTCACAACTCGCCATCTCCTGGTGCCAGCCACTAGTCGAAAGATCCTTGCTGCTGCCAAATGTGGCGAGTCGGCACTTGAGTATTTGCTGAGACCTTCATGGGACATGCATTCCATCAAGTCAATCCTCTTGTACTGACTTCAGCACTGCCCAAAAAAAGCAAAGAAAGACTTTGAATTGCCCCTTTGTTAGGCCAGGGACTCAGAATCCCCCCCCCCCATGCCTTCGCTTGAGAACAGTGGTGCTCTGGATTTAAATGTCTTATTGCAGGGGTGGGGGTGGGTTCTGCAGAGGGCCATGTATATTGAGTCACTCTCTCCGGAATGTGCCAAGCCAGCCCCGCTGCATCGAGGGCCCTCCTTTCTGTTCTGCTAGGTGGAGGCCTCCGGACGCCTGCCCCAGAGGCCTTCTCTGATGGCACCGTGCTCAAGAATGGTCCTGTCCGGGGCAGGGAGGTGTCCTCCATGTGTGGACTGTTCACAGAGCCTCCCCGCCCAGCAGTAAAATTAATTAAAAGATCCCCAGCTGCTTAAACACGGACTCTGTATTCTTAAGGTCCAGGGACACGAACCACAGTCCTACCCAAGTGTCAAGTGGAGAGAAGGAAGGTCATCTGAAGGAGGCAGGCAGGACTGTGGCTGAAAAAGTCAATTCATTAAATGGAAGTCAGTTCACACCACTAAAAATAGAGTCGTGTCCATCCAGCACAGTGCTAAGTTAGTGGTTCCATCAGGACAAAGATTTACGATTGCACAGTGGAACTTCTGCCTTTAAAATTGTATTGCGTTTGAGAACTCTGATCGCCTTGTGTGTTAGTGATTCTGACCACCGTGTTTTAATATAGGTCATTATTATTACCCCTCATGTTGCAGCTTTTTTGAGGGCACCTAGTGAGTTCATGGCCAGGGAGAGATCTGAACGCAACTCATGCCTCTGAGCAAAAACACACTGCTCTCCACCAGCCCTCCCATGGATGCATCTGGTGGCAGGGAGTTCCATGGGTCAGCTGCACTTACTCCCTTTCCTGCGCTTACTGACACCCCCCAAAAGCTGAGTTCCCCTTTCTGTGCGTTGCTAACGCCTTTGCTTCCTGTGTCTTTCCAGGGACTTGCTCAGGATAGGAGTGACGCTAGCAGGACACCAGAAGAAGATTCTGAGCAGCATACAGGACATGAGGTTACAAATGAACCAGACGTTGCCAGTTCAGGTTTGACGGCTGAGGACTCTGGCTTGGAATGGACCCGACGGGGGAACCTCCCTGGGATTCTAGTTTGTGGTGCTGCCCAGCTTCCTGAGTGTGGGGCGGGGAGAGGGGTCGTTCTCTCTCCACCCCACAACCCTCCACCCCCATCTTTTTGCGTGGAGCCTATTGGCTTGTCAACAGACCTCTGGCGGGACGGACTAGGGTGGTCCTAGCTAGATTAACGGCACGCGGGGGGAGAGGCCTGAAGGAAACCCTGCCTTTTTCTTCTTTCCCCCCTTTCCCCCTTTTTAAAATTTCGCTGTTGCGTGCTCGCAATGGCGTGCCAGCAACGCGGAGTCTTCATATTGAAGGCGCATTATGGATGGGGCGGGGATGGAGGCACCAGCTCTCCCCTCTCACTGAGGCTCTCCCCCACTGCCCTCCAATGGTGCCATCGTTGACCTTTGGGCATCTCAGCCCTCGCTGCGGCAGATTCCTCCAACTCCACGCTGCCCAAGAGGAACAGGAACCCCCAGCCAACAAGCAAATGGAAAAGGCACCTGCCAGAGCCGCTCTCCTCCCCAGGAAAGGGGCATCCAGCCGGGCGTTTTTCCCGCACGCCCAGAGACGATTGCGCCAGGGCCAGCTCTGCTCCCCGGGGCCGGCAGGGGGCGTCTGCAGGGAGAGATGGCGGCCGGTCCATTTGGGACCCTGAAGGCTGGAACTACAAAGCCGGTGGCGGCGCCGGCGAGTTTTCTACGCAAAGGAGTTGGGCGACCCGGCTCCGCGTCTTGCAATCGCAGCCTTGGGTGTTTCCAGAGACCCGTCAGCGCGAGTTTGCACAGAGATCACACGGACAGGCGGACGTTGATAGGCAGCAGGATTCGAGAGAAAAGGGAGGCTGAGCGGAGGAGCCTTGCAATCTCAGACCCCCCCGCCACGACTTCCTCCCCACCTCATGTTTTATGCAGGAAGGAACAGGCCCTGTCAGCCGCACGCCCATCTCTGCGGATCCTTTTCTTGGCACACGCTATGATTGCTGCCAAAAAGACTGGAACACTTCCCTCTATTTCCCACCCACCCACCACCCCCCGTTTCATTTTGCTTTCTTCCGAAAGCCTCTGCAGCCCTGAGCCGAGGGGGCAGGAGGCTCCCTCGCGGAGGTGGCGAGCTTGCATGTGTACGAGTGCGTGTACTGGCCGTCTGGACCGTGCAAGAAGGCATGGGCCGAATAAAGGCAATAACAATTTTACTTGAGTTTCCTTCGATCGATTGATCCCTCCCTCTCTCCCCTCTCCCTTTCTCCGCTGTACAGAACCCGCAACACACACAAAATGCCAGGCACCTGCCCTTCCTACCTTCCTCTATTACAGAGTTTTTCTTCCTCCCTTTGCCTCCAGAAGGAAGCGGGCAACGCTTTCCTTCCAGCCGCAGGCTACAAGCAACGAGACGTTGGGAGGACCTTGCGATTGGGGTGGCAGAGGCAACTGCAGAATGCGGCCCCACCTCCTCCCGCCCTGCTGGTATCACAGAGTTGCTTTGTGTGTGTGTGTCCAGCTAACCACTGTCTCCCTTACCCACAATGCCTCTCTTCTTCCTGCGCAGCTTTGCCCAGCCACAGTGGTCCCTGGTTTTGGACCTGGAGGTAGCGAGGGCAGAGGGCAGGCAGAGGAAAGGGATGAACCTCATCTGCTCTGGACTGCAAGGAGCAAACACAGAGGAGGGCGCTCTGGGTAGGAATGGGAGCAGTTGTGGCCGCAAGGAGAGGCCCAAATCTCTCTTGTCACTGCCCCATTCTCCTTTTTCCGGCCCTTGTACAAGGACAACCTTGGGTAGAAACTGTGAAAGCTAAAAACAGACCTGAGCTCGTTGGAGTGGCCCTCCACGTGTTTTTGGAATACCACAATTGGCCCTACCAGTGGCGAGGGATGATGGGAGTCATAGCACAGCATCCTCATGAGCTCTCATGGGGGGGGGGTGTCCCCCCCCCCAATCCCTGCCGAAAATGCTTCTTCGCTGCTTCATTTCCTGGCTGTTTGCTGCAAAACCTTAAGATACAGAAAGGACCTTGAGCCTGACGGTTGACAGCACAGCTTAGCAGAATCTAATATCCCACCTCCATCAGAGGCCTCCAATGCAGCAACAGCCCTCTTGGCTTAGGGGGGAAAACTGATGGGAGGGTCCCTTTGCAATTCCCCCCTATGGCTTCCTGTGGAGAAGGGGGCCCGACAGTTGAGGAGCGAAGGAGGTTGCCCTTGGAAGCCTTCAGATACAAGCCCGTGCTCCCGATTCCCATACCCCTATGAGTTGGAGGAGGCCATCCCATAGATGCATTGTCAGGTAAATGCGCACTCACGCCCATACACAGAGGCACACACTTCACTCTTGCAGTTTCTGAACATTCTCCCACCAAAACGTAGCCTTGAGAGGAGACCAGTGGCAGGTGGCTTGCCAATGGCTTTTCCTTCTCCCCTTCCTGCATTGCAGGGCATTGGGCCAGATGCACTGGCGGAGGAGGAGGAGTGCGGGGGGAGTGCACCGCCCCCGGCAGCGCGATCCCCATCGTGGCTGCCTCCACCGCCCGCGCTGGGCGCCCCGCTCCCAGGACATACACCATGCACCTGTGGGTGGCGCGCCATGCCCCCGCCTGCTTTTCGCCCCCTGGTGCTGGAGCGTGAAGCTCCGCCACTGACCAGATGTCCCCCAGAATCCGTTCCAACTACATGAAGAGAGTGACTCCTTTCGGTTTGCTCAGCTAATCCTGTAGGAAGCAGAGATTCACCAGAGCTCGCCCAAAGTGTGCTTCCAGAGCTTGTTTGTTTTGCAAAGGTGATGAGTCTAATTCCTTTCCCCCCACTCCACTCTCTCTCCAAAGCTATAACCCAGTGATGGCCAAACTTGGCCCTCTAGCTGTTTTGGGACTACAACTCCCATCATCCCTAGCTAACAGGACCAGTGATCAAGGATGATGGGAATTGTAGTCCCCAAACAGCTAGAGGGCCAAGTTTGGCCATCACTGCACCATTATGCTTTGGACAAGGAAGCTTAATTCCCACTCTCTTTTCCTTGGGAAACGGACACGATTGCAAATTTATAGCAGGGAAATTTGCTCTGCCTCCCCCTTCCCCCCCCCCCAACAAGTAACTCGGAACAAGGATGGAACCTTAGGTTTGTCTCCCAAGTAACTCAGAGCAGGCGATATAGCCTTTTTCGTCAGGCCTGCTGGAAAGAGAGCAGGCTCATCAGTCGCCCAGAGCTGTTCTCTGAGTGGCTATTCTCTTTACTGGAAAAGGCAGCCAGTGTGACTAGGGAGCTCACTACTTGAGCGTGTCAGTGAGCGAGAGCTGAAGTTTACAGCTAGAGCACATCCAGAACAATCCACAGCCTCTGCAGAAGGGATGGTCATTTCAGTTTCACAGATCTTCACATTTCTTCATTGGTTTGCATTCTCTTAAAAACGAAAATCCTCATGAGAATTCATCAGCAGGATTTCAGTGCAAATTTCTCCCAATAAGCACATTTTCCCCCCTATGCAATGTTGTCTTAACAGGCACATTTTTGCCAACCAGCTTTCCCTAATATGTATTTTTGTCTGCTATATCCACCAAGATGCATTTTTACCGCAGACATTACATAGGGTTGCCAAAAAAAAACAACAAAAAAACCCCACCCAGAAGTTATTGAGCGATTTTTTAAGGAAAATCACCCAAAACAGCACTGCCAACATGGCTTGCCATACATCCAGATTTTCCTGGATATTTTAGCGATTTTCACCCAGAAACTGCCTCCAACTGCAGTTTTCAGGCTATATCCGGGAAATTCCAGACGTATGGCAACCCTAACATTACCCTAATAATCTGCATTTAGTTCACATTACTTGGCTGTGTTTTGGTTTGTTCTGATCGACCTGCCTGAGGCTACCCATTAGGCAGAAAGAGACGGTCCTGTAGGGGCTGCTGAACTTTCCACTCAACCCCTCCCCACCCATTTTTTTCCCCTGTGGGGAAGGAAGACAACCTCCACTTTAAAGCTGGCCAGGACCCCACCAAAATCAGAAGGCAGAAGTTTCAGGTTTGCATTTCCCCACCCTTCGTATGCAAATACCCATTGCTGTGCTCTGATATAACGATGCAGAATCCTGCAGGGCACCGCATAGCAGAAGCACTTAGGTGATTAGGAGGAAGATTCATGGGGTCCAGCTACAGATCATCAAAGTGCCATCTCCTGGTCTCTGAAAGGCTTCCTGCCGGCATCCGAGCCTTCATCAGCAGACGATGCCCCATTTGCAAACACTTTTCTGCAGCCACGAGGACTAGTGGCCCTTTTGAAAAATGAAAGCTGAGGTGCCTCTGGCACCATGAGTGCGCATACTTGCCGACCTAACCATGCTTCAGTGGAGCTTGAGTATGCTTTGTGTGGTTTCCAGATGCAGCCCTGTTTTTAATTTTCCACTAATTAGCCAATTAAGCCTGCTCATAATCTTGTCTCCTCGCTGGAGTCTCTAGGATTCCTTCCATCACCACACAGTTTTCCGGGACCCAGCCCAGCTTTGAAACAATATCTCTCCCCCCCCCCTTTACAACCTCCTTTCTGGGTATGGCCTCCCTGAAGAACAGGCTTTCCCAAACAGATCTCCAGCTGTTTTTGGACTCTCATCCCTGACCACTGGTCCTGCTAGCTAGGGATGATGGGAGATGTAGTCCCCAAACAGCTGGTGACTTAAGTTTGGGAAACTCGCCTGAAGAAGGATGGTTAAGTGGCTTGAAGATAGCTTGAGGAACATCATGGCCCATCCTTAGGGAGCTCAGGGCTACTTAGCAACAGGTCTTCCTTGCCCACAATTTCTTCCACTTTGGGCCTAGTTCCTCATTTCCTTAAATCCAACATGGAGGCAAAACTTCCTTGAGGTTTGTTTGGGAAAAGCTTGTCTTGGTTTTCTCCTACAATATCTTTGCCACCTTGCCAACGTGGACTCCTTTGTCCCCACCTCAGGCTCAGCCTCTTACTTTGCTAGGGACAGAAGGAAGCAGGCCCCTATTAGTTTGAGACACACACCCCAAATAAATGCTGAGCAGCCATATATTGCAACCAACCTACTAGACCTTTGATAAGGCAAAAAGATGGAAGGCAAGAGTTATCAAATTCCTGGCAACTATATATAGTAGGTAGGCCCTGTTCAGCTTGGTGAGTCATAAGGCCTAGAAGGAAGCACTTTGCTGTTGCTATGCAACCGCAAGACATCGGCCTCTGCCTTCAAGGGTCAGCGTAGACAATGCCAATCTGGTCTATCATGCTTCTTCATGCCTCTGTGTGGGAACAGCCTGTCCAAATTACTGTACACTATGTCTTACATGCAGGAAGTTCGTCCTATGTACATAGTTCAGAAATGTGTGATCGGTTCTCAGAGCTTATCTGAGAAGCGGCTGCTCCCTTTTGGCACATGTGCATAGGATTTTTCATGTGTAAATGCAGCCATATACAGAAGGGTCGCGGGTGGCAAGCACGACAAGGAGAAGTCTGGACAAGCCAGTGGGAACTGCCCGGCAAGTCCTGCCATTGCCTAGGTCTGTGACATGGTTTCCCCATCAGTCCCTCCATCTTGCAAAATGGCCCACTGGACAAAGACCTGCTGCCACAACAATGAGTCCCCTTCAAGGAAAGGTACAAGAATCACAAAGATGTTCTCTACCCTATTCTTAACAGTATGGTTTGCTATATAGGGCAGGGACCTTAAAATGAAACTAAGACATCCGCATACAGCCGGGATGGAGAAACCTGTGGTCCTCCAATTGGTGTTGGACTACAACTCCCATCATCCCTGACCATGTGCTGTGCAGGATGGGCTGATGGAAGTTGGAGTCCGACAACATCTGGAGGTCTCCATTCTTGGCATGCAGGCATAAATAGTTACCAAGAAGAGTGAAACTCGCACACAACTTGCGTACCTGTTTTTCATTGTATGGTTTAGTGAACATGTTTTCTTTATTAAAGATACCTTCTTTCTCTTGCTCCCAGGGAGAGAGAGGGAGAGGGAGCTATAGACCAGACTCTTATTTTCTGCCGTTGCACAAACATTGTAATTTGGAATCGTGTTGAATTCAACAGCCTGGATTTCTGTTTGTTTTGTTTTGCATTTGTTGTTGTTTAGTTTCTAATCCTCAAGGCTGTGGAGGTGGACTTGCTAGCAGAAGGTTTGTGCCATTCAAAATCCTCAGAAGTTGGGCAAGGGCTTCTACTTGTCAGTTTTTTTAGTGCAGGTCCTTGTCTACGAATGATTAGGAGAAGCATTATCTGTGCTGTAGAATGAAAGCAAATGTGTCTATCAGGTCACAGAAGGGTGCAGGAATGTGGGTTACCTAGATGTAGAATATGAACTTTTTAAACAACTAATGATTTCCTCTTCCCAGAATATTGGACCCTGTCTTCTGCTTGCATGAAAAAGGTGGAGCCCATCTTAACACTGAAGCACAAAGTTCTTGAAATGGTCTTGTAGCTGTGCCTTCACTCTCTGTTCCATAAAGTGTGCTGATTTTAGGTTATAATGCTGGTTTCTTGTGTGTTAAGATGATGTATGGGGATTGCAACCTGAACCTTTGGCTTGAACTCTGTCACAACAAACAGATTCGTGTGCACCAGCAATTCCACCATTCCACCTCAGGCATCAACACTTCCTGAGCCAGCCCTCCACCCCCGTTTCTGAGGTCAGGAATTTGCAAACTTGACTACCTGAAGCAGACAACTTTCAGCTCTACCTGAGATAGAAGAGGCAGGCGTGCGACACACATTTTACCCCTTCCGTTCTCCCTCATGCTTGCCCATCTTGCAACGACAGCATCTTCCATTAATACAGAAGCTTGCATGCGTCATGTTCCTTTGCGTGTCCCTCGAACAAACCACAGCTCAGGAATAATAACCCCCTAGTCCTTGTGCTTGCAAAGGAAAGTTTGAGAAAGGGCAGAGAAGAAGTGAGTGTGATGGGGAAACACTGAAGCCCCCTGAGAATGTGGCTTTGTCTCAGCGCAGGAAGTTGAGGGCTTCACATGGGTACTCTGGTTGCATAAACCAAATATAACTTGCAGGCCCCAGAGTGGGAGTTCAGCAAGCTCTAGGCCAGGGATAGGGAACTCGTAGTCCTTAAGATGTTGTTGGACTCTGGTTGGCATCCATGCCAGCCAGAAGAGCCAATGGTCAGGGATGCTGGGGGTTGTCATTTGGTTAAGTCTGGAGGACTACAGGGTCTCCATCCATGTGCTAAGCTGATTTCAATCATAGGGCTTTAAAGGTCCTGGCTAAGGCCAGTGGGAGTTTTCCCCATGGATATTAAACACCTGAACCTCTGCAGGTTCTTCTGGGCTTCCTGTCCCCACCTCTTTCCTCCACATGGTGCCTTTATTTGGTGCTTTGCCAAGCCGCTGGGCATCTCAGTTTGTGGTGTGCCTCAGCTCCTGGAGCAGGGATGGTCAGCCCTCAGTCTAATTTCATGCGAGCAGCAAGGAAGGCAGAGAAGCGGGTGGCAGAGAGAGAGAGAAGCTGGCAGGAAACAAAGGAGCAGGGGGGACAGTTCCCGCCTGTTCTGATTCTGCTGTAGGCCACCCACCCCACCCTGACAAAAAATGGGTTTCCCACTCCAGTGCTGGAGCACAGCCTTGGTTTGGTTTCAGGGTGAGATAGAGCACCGATAACCTCATTTCCTCCCTTAAGGAAGCACTGCTGTCTAAGCCTGCCCATCAATTGCTCCTGAGTCAAAGGGCTGCTCGCGTGAGCCTGCCGGTGCATCCTTCCACATTGACTGTGGCACAGGCTAGATCCCAGATCTTCAGTCCCAAACCTGCTTAGCTGTTCTTATTTTATCTGTAAGCCGCCTTGAGTCACTGTCGGGGAAAAGGTGGGGTATAAATAATATATAAAAGCGATAATAAACCTCGGAACCTCATCCTGTCTGGCAACTGCTACATGGCAGAGTAAACTGAGTTTCCCCTTTGGCCTTGGGAAAGGGCCTTAGCTCAGAGCTAGAGCAGCTGCCCTGCATGCAGAATGTCCAGGGTTCAAGCCCTGGCAATACCTCTGGATCGGACTGGGAGAGAACCCCTTCCTGAAATCCTGGAGAAAGCTGCTGCCAGCCAGTGTTGACAATAATGAGTTTGATGGACCAGTCGTGACTCAGTATATATGTTCTGGTGTCCCTTCTTCCGCTGCCTCTGAGGCATCCCAAGTTGCCTGTCGGCTTTCCCTCCTCAATCTCCTCTTGTCTGTCTTTCAGACGCCTCTTCCACAGGCAGCTACTCTTGTGCTGGTTCTCCCTTAAGTAGTTCTCTCTGTAAGGGCTTCTGAGAACATCCAAGGCAGGAATCTATGTGGCATGGGTCTCTGGGGGCAGCCTGGCTTTCGTTTTTGGTAACCTGAGACATGGAAAAAAGATGGGGAAACTCCACATTGTGACAATCAAGCAACAACGCTGTGAGTCACGGAAAGTGGTTTGGTTGCTTTGCTTTAAAAAGAAAAGGAAAGCAAGTGTCAGACCCTCCTGGACTGCAGAGACATGCAAGGGCTTCATTTTTAATTTTTTGCTAAGAGTCTTGGAAACTTGGGGGGAGGGATGGGAGCAAAAGGAGCTACTTTAATACTTAGCGGCCGGGAGTCGCAACTTTCCAGCAGTTCCATGCACCTCCCGCAACGTTTTGCCACTATCATTTTATCGTGCCTCATTTCCATCTTTGGTAATTCTCCAAGGCCAAATTTTTCCTTTCGCTCTCGTGTACGTTATTTCTTAATAGTAAAAAAACATAGAGGCAATGCAACACAAGGTCTCCATCCATTTTGCAGATTGGTGCTAAAATCAGGTTTTTATTACAGCGGGCAAGGGGTGTGCCTTGTTAATACCTGATCCTTCCATTTGTCTTGCCAGCACCTATTTCCGCTTCCTGTTACTTCTCAGGATAGGCATCCAACCAGGATACTTGTAGTACCCGTGGATCCCTGACTGATACTATCAGAGGCTTACCTGCAGCCCTCCAAGGTGCAGTGGACAGGGATGGAGGTCAGCAGGTGAGCTGGCCTGTGCCATCTACTCGTGCCCTGCTCCTGTTGCATTATGAGGGCTCTCACACGCTTTTTGCAGGCCACCTGCTCACTGCCCTCCCCACCTCCCCTCTCCCCATCCCAAGATGGTTCTGCCCTCCCGCTGCCCCCACCAGCTGCAATAGCTTGGCTTGCACCGAGTTTGGCTTCAGTGACTATTGGAAGTTGTCTGTGCAGAGCTGTCGCACCCTTGCTGGTTCTCGTGTACTGTATCTGCAACTTTTATATATCGGTACATATACATATATATATATCTAAGTATATATATTGAGATGTATTTAATGTTGAAGAAGGGGGGGAAACAAAAGAAAAGGTGCAGTTGCATTTGTAGAAATATTTTTTAAAGAAATGCTTTTTTCAATTAAATTATTTAAGAAATTTGCGGAGCTCTGGAGCAAGTGTGTGTTTATTGAAACGGAGGGGCGGGAGAGGACTTGAATCTGATAGATGTACAGGGGAAAGATTTCTCCAAGGAAACTTGGGGTGAACTGCATCCTGGAGGTTTGTGCCTCTGACCTGTCAAAATGTCAGTTGTCCTGGCAGTTGGCTGATTGGAGCATGGGTGCTTGGTGGCTAAGGAAATTCACTTTGCACATAGAATCGTAGAATTATAGAGATGGAAGGGACCCTGAGGGTCATCTAGTCTAACCCCCTGCAGTCCTTTCTACTGTCAAACATCTCTGACTGTCACAAAGTTCTTCCCAACGAATCTCCTTTCTTGAGTCCTACCCTCCAGAGCAGGAGAAAACAATCTTGCTCCCTCTTCCATGTGACAGCCCTTGAAATATTTGAAGATGGTCAAATATTGAAGATGGTCATCATACTGGCTCTCAGCCTCCTCTTTTTCCAGGCTAAATATACCCAGCTCCTTCAACCATTCCTCATAAGGCTTGGTTTGCTGACCCTTGATCATCGTGGTTGCCCTCCTCTGTGCACCTTCCAGCTTGTCAATATCCCTCTTTAAATCATGGTGCCCAGAATTGGACACAGTATTCCAGGTGTGGTCTGGCCAAGGAGGAATAGAGTGGTACCATGACTTCCCTTGACCTGGAGACTAGACTTCTGTTGATGCAGCCTAGAACAACGTTGACCTTTTTTTGCTGCTGCCTCACACTGTTGACTCATGTTAAGCTTGTGGTCTACTAAGGCCCCCAGATCCTTCTCACGTGATCAGAAGCACTTGTTCTGTATTCCATAGCTAAGCACAGGAACTGACAATAGTAGTCTGGGTTCAGCAAAAGTTATGTTTTTGCTTGGCAGGGGGTTGGACTCGATGGCCCTTGTGGTCTCTTCCAACTCTATGATTCTATGATTCTATGATTCTATGTGTGTGTCTGCAGCACAGAACTGTGTTTGGAAACGCAACCCTTCTGAGGAAAGGTTAAGGGAGTTGGGTACGTTTAACCTGGAGAAGAGGAGACAGAAAGGTGATGTGAGAGAAGAGATTGGGATGTGTTTGTTTCCCTCTAGGCCCCGTCTCCAAGGAATCCATGTTCACTCACTTTCTCTGCTTGCTCTCCCCTTTTCTTCACCCCCCAGCAAAGGAGTTATTAGTGCTGCTGGTTTCCCCCTTAATCTCCTGTTTAGGGCTTAAGGAGGGGAAAACAAAGGATGGGATTGTTTGAGTTTCTGCAAAGCTCTCGGGAGCTGCTAGAAACAGAAAGAGAGAATCTCAAAAGAAACCCCAAAGGTGGGGCTCCAAAGACATTGATAGCCCCTGTCCCTCCTCGCAGCACAGAGTCTTTCAAAAACAGTTATGGGAACTATGCACAGGCCAGGAGATAGAAAGTTGGACCTCTAAAAGGCCACAGATACTTAAACGCCAAAGGCCTGGTTATACAGAAATGTTTTTGCCTGGCGCCTAAAGGTATGTAATGATGGTGCCAAGCAAACCTCCCTGGGGAGAGCATGCCACATATTTCTGCACTCTGGACCTCTCGCAGAGGAGGCACACAAAGAAGGACTCTCTGGGTAAAGTCAGAGGTGGTCCTTCAGGTATTGCGGTCCTGAAATATTTAAGGTTTTATAGGTCAAAACCTGAGTTATGCGGAGTTGGCAAAGTTAACACATAAACTGTGCGAGAAGGACAATCGTGACTTTAAGGAAGAATGGGAATTGTTTACAAACTATTTAAAAAGACAACAAAAGGATTTGGACTCCTTAGCAGGTTTTGAATAAACACCCACAAATTTATTGGTAAAACATATGACAGATAAGGCAGTGATATGTACAACTTTACAACATGCAGAGAATAATATGTATAAACAAATCAGAGAGGGAAGCTGAGGGAAGTCTTTGGAAGGTGGCAGAGGGAGGGAAGGGGGGATGTAATTGATTATATTGATTTATAATTTGATTTGTTAAATTTGCTCAATAAAAACATTTTTTTAAAAAAGGTTTTATAGGTCAAAACCAGCACTGGCTCTTCTTATGTTTTTAACATAGGAATCTGCCTTCTCCTGAGTCGGACCATTGGTCTGTCTAACCCCAGGTTCTCTTCAGTTACTAGCAGTGACTCTCCAGAGTTTGAGAATGTTTTCTCTTCCAGCCCTTGCCTGGAGATGCCAGGGATTGAATCTGAGAAAATAAACATTGAGATTCCTGCCCTGCAGGGGGAGGGACTAGATGACCCCTGGGGTCCCTCCCTGCTCTACAATTCTGCGTATTTCGCATCCCTGCGGCTTCCATAGGACCTCAGCTTTCAGCGGCAGAGCGGGCAGCCAAAGGCAGGCTCCCGTTTTTCCATTCCCCCTGCCTTGTGGCGCAGTAGGAGAACAATTGTCAGCAGCAGAGTTGGCAGGCTTGCGACGATGTCTTAACATGCTGACATTCAGTAATTAGCGGCTTGACAGTCACCCTGAATTATTGTCATTCGTTTACACATCGAAGAAACATCTGCCGTTGTGAATGCTACTCCCTCACCTCAACATTTGAACTGGAACCCTCTAGATTTGTAGCATACATTGGTGCCTGTAGGTTTGACGTAGGAGGATTTGTCATGGAGCGATTTCCTCTTCTCCTGCGTCGCGCTGCCCTGTCCGAAACCTGGCCGCACATTCGTTTCAGCTGTAGCTTACAGCTTTTAAAACACAGAAACTGCCCCCTTTGCCTGTGACTATCCCTCCATCTATGAGGACTGGGAACTTGTTCCGCTTAAAATAGCCCAGGGATTGGGGGAATGCAGATAAGTCAACCAGTCTATCAAATGGGGCACAGTGTGGAGTGTAGAATCATAGTTGGAAGGGACCACAAGAGTCATCTAGTCCAGCCCCTACCTGCAATGCAGGTACAGTGGTACCTCGGGTTACAGATGCTTCAGGTTACAGATGCTTCAGGTTACAGACTCTTGAGGTTACAGACTCCACTAACCCAGAAATAGTACCTCGGGTTAAGAACAGTTTCAGGTTAAGAACGGGCCTCCAGAACAAATTAAGTTCTTAACCCGAGGTACCACTGTATCTTTTTGCCCAAGGTGGGTCTCAAACCCACGACCTTGAGATTAAAAGCCTCTTGCTCTACCGACTGTGCTATCCCACAGGCACAATAACATAGGAAAATCAGAATTGTCTGCTAGATCTGGCCAGTGGCCCATCTAGTCCAGCATCCTGTCTTTTTATCTGTCCTGAAGAAAGTCTCTCTCATAAAACCAGAACATGGGGACACCCAATGTTGGAAGATTCAGGATAATCTAAAGGAAGGACTTCTTCATGAAGCACACAGTTAGACTATGGAACTCACTCCCACATGAGGCAGTGATGGCCACCAACTTGAATGGCAAAGAGGACCATCAATGGCCAGTGGCCATGACGGCTGTGCTCCCAGTTGCTGGGAATCACATCTACAATATCCAACGTGCCTCCAAAGATCAGACTTCTGCCTCTCATCATTTGGACACCACATGGTTAAATGGGCCTCCGGGAGCTGGCAAGGGCAGCGGCAACAGCTGGGGCTGTTTGAACATGTTCCTCAAGGCCTCTAAGCTACTTGGGTGCTGTTTTCTCTAATCCAGCGAGGGGTTGTTTGTTTGTTTTGCCGCTCAAGTTGTTGTTGTCTTCTTCAAGAGCAGCTCTCCACTGACATACTTTCCACCCTCTGCCATGAGGAGCATGGGAACTGCCTGAGGCCAACGCTGCCCCCCCCAAGGCATCTCGTGGGTCACACCACCTGGCCTGCTTTCATCCATAATGAGACCTTCTGCGCCACGGCTCGGAATAAGTGAGCTTGAGCCACCCAACCCACCTGCTGGCAATTTGGCTCAGCCCCAGATCTCCTGCGCCCTGACTTCTTCTGCTGTGGGAGCAGACAGCCTGGAACTGGGTCACTGGCAACCGGTTCAGCTGGTCCTTCCTCCCCAAACCACCTTCGCAGGGCTGGCTGGCTCAGGCTCCGCGCCAGAGATAAGGTTCTCAAGCGCGTTGCATCCCGAAAAGGCTGCGCCAAGTGATTAGCAAGCAGAAAGACCAGCGCCGCTGTTAACAGTCCCGTCGCCGGCAGTTCGGCTCAGGCCATTTCCATGCGCGCTGAGATGAGTCGGTGCTGCGCACTAGGCGCTGCACGAAAGCCACAGAGCACAGATGAACAAGCAGTTTGGAAAACCCCTTTAATGTCCACCCAGATGCCTTTGGGCCCCTCCAGATGGGTGCTTGTTTGCAAGGCTGTTCTGCAAGGTGTCATTGATGCAATAATAGTGCATTGTCTTGCGGGTTTATACTGGGACGTCCGCACATCAGTCTGCTTTATGAGCCCTGTCTTCTTCCCAGATACTCCATTCCATTGCTTCATTTTCCATTCCCATTCTGCTGCTGAGTGTGTGTGTTTTTCATAGCTTCTTTTCATTTTTGTACATCTGCAGACTTTGGAGTTCTTTTACCCCTGATGACACCTCCTTCTTCTGTACGCATGCGGCTATTTGGGCTACCCAAGGATCTGTATCCAGCGAACACCTTTGCCGTCATACCCTCCAACATTCCTCAGATGAAAATAGGGGCATTTCTCATCCCCCCCCCCCGATTGACCCTCCTCGACCCTCCATTTAATGTGTCACACCCCCCCGCTGCAAAGCATTACCTATTATTATCTCTTATTACCTATCAAAAGAAGGGCAAGTGCCCCCACTACTACACCAATGGGATGTAGCATGCAAGCCCTCCACCCTCCTGAGAAAAACCCTTAATCCTGCTTTGGTAGATTTACAAAAATAAATGATTTTTTAAAAAAAATTATACCCGGCCCTTCCTGGTTCAAAAACCGGGCTCAGGGCGGCTAACAACAAATTTAAAACACTTAATTATAAAAGCAGCATAAAATACAGTATAAAAACATGAATAACAATAAAATTCAAAAATCAATTAGAGAACCCCCAGGGCTAGCTGGCTGAATTGGTCCTACTTGGGCCAGCGAGGAGGCCAGGGGAGAATTAGCTGAATGAAATGTAATGAAGATATATGCCAGTAAATAAATTTTAGAAAAGGGACAGATTAGATGCAGACACACAAAGCAGTTTAAAATACTACTACTACTACTACTACTACTACTACTACTACTAAGTCCTTGCACCCCTCTCCTCTCCCCCTTTCTTCCTGCCCAGGGTGGTCCTGCTCTCTGCGCGCATCGCAGAGATGGCACATCACACAGGGCTGGGCCTCAGTGGCAGCAGCCTCTCCTCCTGCTCCTCCTCTGCTCTTCAGCAGCTGCTATGAGCTGCCCAAGGGAGAAGGTCGGCAGTGGCAATGGGATCCTCCTGCACCACTACAGCCACTCAGGACAAATGTCAGCTCATCCTCCTCCCTGAGCTTGGTGGCAGCAGCACTGGTGGGGAAAACAGGGACACTCCGGGATCAAATCAGAAGCTAGGGTGGCTTCCTTAATTCCAGGACGGGAAATCAGGACACTAGGAGGGTATGAGCCATAGATGATCCGAAGCTCCGCTTTGGTTGCCCTCAAGACGGAGCCCAAAATTGGAGGCTGTGTGATGTCCTTCCTTGCATTTGTCTCTAGTGATGGGTTGGAAAGACCATTTGCCTTTGGCGTTGGATAGAGACCTTGACCATTTTCAAGGGATGATAGGGAAAGCAGCCAGTGGGAAGAGACCCTCCCATCCTGCCTGGACTCCTTCTATCAACACAGGTGTCCGTCCAGAGAATAAACAGGGCTTTCCTTGACCTGAGGTAGCTTTCCCCTCTGTTTTGGGAAGAGCATCGGGCTCAGCCGTTCCCAGTTCCCACACCGTGTGCTTTGGCCGAACTGGCCTCTGGTTCCAGAGAGACCAGGTCTTAGCTGGGAACGCAAACACGTACCTCTCCCTGCAGTCTCTTCCCCCTGACAAGAAGAGGAAGATTTGGGATTAATTGGCGGAGGGGTTTTGGCTTTCTCCGTGCGCTCGCTGCTAACTCTTGGCTGACATTCCTGTTTCTTGGCAGGGAGAGTCTTCAGGAACTGTGTCAGCCGCTTAGGCCGAGCACAGCTGGAAAGAATCAGGAGTTGGCCTTGCAAACACCCCAACCCAGGAGATGAGATGGGGGAGCAGGGGTTTGAAAGAGCAGGAGGTGGGTTGGGGGAAGGGAGCCAAACCCAAAACATCTGAGTCCAGGGAAGGAGGGCAAGCAGCTGCAAGCAGAGGCAGGAGGAAAAACACAAGACCTCCACCTTGATCAACAACATCTGGAAGGGGATCTGAAGGGCTTCCCACAATCGGACCAACCTTTCAGCAAGCTCTCCAATAGATGCCTCCAGGTGCTCACAATGAGGAGGTCCCTGATAGTTTACCCCGGAATCCAACACTCCAAGATAGACTGCCTTTGAACAAAGTGAATAACTGGTCTTAGAAGGGCAGCTAAAGGTGTTCCAAAGGGAGATACATTTGTAGAAACCTGGTCTCCTTTTTCCCCCATATGTAAGCAGGGGCGTCACATGGGTTGCTGGCACCCGGGGCAGGGCAAGTGTTGTGTCCCCTGGTGGACCAGGCAGTGGTTGGTCCCTTCACTGGCCAGCATCTAATCAAGGGAATCTCTCCTTGCAAACGAGTCCCAACCTGGGAGCAGAAACATGAAGGATTGTCACTGTGTTGCCTCACCCTCCTGTCCTTGCAGCAATGTGCTCTGGGCAGCACCCATGGCTCTGGAAGCACTTTCTAACTTTCCTCTTCCTCCCTCTCTCCTCAGTGGGCACCACTGCCCTCCTCCTCCCTCCCTCTTGGCTGGCCCGGGGAGGGGGCATGGGCAGATGTCCCTTTGCCAGCCACCAGGAGAAAGAGGCACTCCTGCCTCCCCAGCCCCAAAGGCCCAACCCTGGCATGGCTTGCCTTCCCATGGCTCTGGCCTCAACGATGGAGCCTGTCATAGGGGCACCTGGTTGCTCCCCCTCATCAATTTGTACCCAGGGCCACAGCCCCCCTGCCCCCACGCTACACCACTGTGCAAAGGAAGAAGATAACCATTCTCTCCCACCAACCACTCAAATTTGCCCTTGGAAAGGCTATAGTTACCGTTAATGTCTCAAGAAAATGCTTGAAACGAAACTACAAAGGCAGTGTAATGTTTTTGGTGGAAATTGTATTCTCTAACTAGAATGGAGTTAACCCAGTTATTGTTGTTATAATGGGGGGGGGGTATTGGGAAGGGGGGAAGATGGCCTACTATGCAGAGGACAGCCTTCCATTTGAAGGCATGTTAGAGGACAGCCCTGTATTCGAAGACATCCTCAGCTTAAAATTTTGCCTGGTCAGTTCTGGTTTAAGGACCCTAAGAGGGGGAGAGCAGCAGAGGTCTTTATGTGGCCTTGTCCAACAATTAGCACTCGAAGGACAGACTCAAGTAGGTGTACTGGTTAGCTACTCACCATCTGCTAAATGTGTGCTCTACATATTACTGTAGTTAGTTCATTGCTGAACTTGTTAGTCACTTGTTCACTTGTTCTCTGTCTCCAAGCAATGTGCAGCATATTTGAGAGCATCAGCATAAGTAAAAAACAACACCACATTGTAACATAAAATAAAACACATTTACACAAAAGTACATGCAATTGGGTTAAAATACACATGCATGCAAAGCAACCTTCGCGATATAACTAGCAGAGTGCTTCAGCAGCAAAACTAACAGCAAATAACACCATCAACATCCACCGAAAGCTTGGAGGAAAAGGTACATTTTTACCTGCTACCCAAAAGATGCCAATGAAGGTGCCAAGCAGACTTCACTGGGGAAGGCCCTGAAAGAGCCTTGTAATCATCCCCCAAGCCTCTGCTGAAGGCCTAAAATGAAGACCTAAGGGTCTGGGTAGGTTCCTATCAGGAGACCCATTCCACAAGACATTGAGGTCCTGAACCATAAAGGTAGGAGATAGATACATGTTTTGGTTCAGAGATGGGCTGCGTGCACAGACCATACCTCAATAGCTCAGTCACAGCGCATTCCCAAATAACTTTTGGAACTGTCCTTTGCTAAGGGTGCTGGGAACTGTAGCACTGGGCGGTGTGAACTACAATTCCCAGGGTTCTTTGTGGGGAAGCGAATGTGCTTTGAAGGTGCTGCGTATGGTGCGTGCACACCCATGGAGTCCTTTTATGGTGTGCAAGTGTCATAAAATGCAGGGCAATGCTAAATTGCAGATCCTATCAGGAACATTGTGACAGCATTATGGTAATTACCCATTTTTCTTTAACTCTCTGCTTTTACAATTTTGCACTTCTCTTTGTTGAAGAAGATTAAATCTTGCATGGTTTTGCATATGTATTTGCATCTGTAATTTTTGTATCTGTAGCAATTAATTTTTAAGGCAACAGGTGCTTGAAGAGGGAATTCTAATCACGAGGGGGCAATAAGAGAGAAAGTGCAGAGTTGGGCTGACTAGGATTGCTGAACCGTTTGAGCAAAGGTCACAGGCAGGGATGTGTCAGGATATGGGCAGAGAGATGGAGAGGGTGGAAAAGGACATAGAGGTATGGTGTTGTGGTTAGAGGGTCATACAAGGACCTGGGAGACCTGAGTTCAAATCCCTGCTCATCCAGGAAGCAAAGTGACCACTTATCAGGTGACCTGGGGTCAGTCACTGTGTCTCATCAAATAATCTATGTCACAGGGTCGCTATGAGGATAAATGAGCGAGGGAAGAGCCTGGTGTTTCTGTCTGGTATCAGAGTTCACCCTCCTGCAGTGGACTCTTTTAATGTATGGCAGAGCCCTTTCTTCACACAAGTTTATTTTACTGAAATGCTTGCTCTGCTGCAGCCTGGTGGAGTGGCTATTACTAAGAGACAGCTGATGGAGGGAGCAGTCCAACAGAGCTGGCTTCTCCTAGCTGCCTGTCAAAAGCTTGCCATGGCTGGACATTGCTGGAGAGGAGAAGCCATTCCTTCTACTACCACCTGAGGCCTGACTCCACCGTGGCTTTGACTTTCACCCGAGTTTCTTGCATTGTCATGGCATCTCCCACAGAGCATCCATGACCTCTGAACCTGCTGCCCCAGCATCCCATTCAGGGCTCTTCCAAATTTACCTTTCCTCCATGCTTTCCAGGCATGGTGCATACTGTAAAGCTCTGCGTCCAAGCTCTCTCTCTCTCTCTCTTGCTCCAGAGCTATCCCCATGAAAACCTGCTCTTTCAAGCTGAATTGGAGCAAATGGCAATCCATGGGAAACTCAAACTGCTGTTTGTTGCACTTCAGATTTAAAGAGTGGGTTTTTGCAGGGAAGCATAAAAAAAAGTTGAGCTTTAAAGCATGGACCTGTGCCTCAAAACAGCAGGGCATATCCTACAACATCCTGCTGGTCAAAATAAGAATGCTAGGTTTTTTCTGGTCCTGATTTGCATGTGAGCATAAGACCAAAAATTGAGCATCTTTTGGTCCAGTGCTCTGGAATGAGCTAGCTGACTCGCTTCAGAGCACCAAACCAAAACCTGGGACATTCCAGGATCCAATCAGAAGCCAGGATGTAATTCTGGGGTTCAAATCAGGATAGTTGAGCAGTGTGGCAGGGCAAAAGGTGAGTAAGACCCCAGTCTCAGGCTCAGAGGACATTTTGGATTGTTTCCCTTTCCCCATTTCTTCTTCCCAAGCCACCCAGGCCTCACACCAAATCTCTGTTAGAAAGGTCAGACCCTTCTCCCCCCACCCGCCTGCCACCCTGTTTGGTTATTGCTTTCACAAGGAGAGCTCATCTTGGCAACAGATGGAGACGCCACACATGACTTTATTTATCACTGGCCTTGCGGCTTTTAAAGGCTTTTGGAAAGCCTAAAATAAGAATCTGCAGGATGGAGATGCGCCCAATTAAATTTCCATTTGGGAAAAGACTCGCGCTCCCCCGGCCTGACTGATCATAATATTTGGGGACAGGAAGGAGTCGTCCCATTCCTCCAGTTATGTGCAAAAGCAGCCTCTCCCTGGTGCCTCTTTTATGGTTACTAGTGGGGGGGGCATTATTCCGCTATTTCTCGCCAGATCACTCGTTGTACGAACTGTGGAACTATTGTCATAAGCCAGAGTTTCCCAGGGGTCACACTTTCAGGTTGCACTTTGCGTCCTGCGTTGCAGCCTTTGCCAAGCTGGTGCCCTCCAGCTGCTTTGGACTGTAACTCCTATCAGCCCCAGCCAGCACCCTCAAAACACACACACACTTAATCTTCCCACCCTGCCTCTGCCATCCCTTGTGCTCTACATACTCTATCCTGATGGCAGTGATGGAGGCTCCTCTCTCTTCCCCACCCCTTCCCACTTGAATTGTTTATTTTGCAGCTGTTTTTGGGCCACCACCTCCTTTCTCTATGCTTTGCTCTAGGAAGGGAAGAGGTGAAAAGCCTCAGCAGAAGGGCAGGAATCAGCAGGGCTCGCCGGCTTGCCTGTCAGGCACTGGTACCCCCAAGCACAGAGCTCTCATCACATGCACAGACTCACACCCCAGGGACAACCCTGAGTAGTGGGCAAGCAAGCCCTCTTTCACCAAAGCTTGACCCTCATCACAGGTCTTCTCCTTGAAGAGCCCTCCCTGAGAATCATCCAGGAGTCCTGGGGTTCTCTGAAAGAGACTGATGCTGCAAGCCTTGATGGCTCTGCTCTGCCTCCACAGCTGGAGGCAACAAGGCTTGCCAACACCAGTCGGTGGAAGCCACATGAGCAGTGGTGTAGCGTAGGTTGCCAATGCCCGGGGCTGCATGGAGAGGGAGGGAAACGGACAAAGTATGCATGCACATTCAACTGCCTAACGGCATCCCCATCACCCAGGAGATCGCAAATGCAGAAATAAGAAGAGTCATTCCATTGTTTCATGGAGAAGCCGTTTTCAATGGAGCCCAGTGATAGAAGGGCACAGCTGTATTGAGGCAGCACTGGGTGTTGAAATTTTGCACCCCTAACAATTTTGCACCCGAGGTAACCGCCCCTGTGGGCCACACACACCCCATGCTACGTCACTGCACAGTAGAGGAGAGTTCTCTTCTGCTCAGGTCTTGCTTGTGGATATCCCATTAGGGAATCTGGTTGGTCACTGTGAGAACAAGATGCTGGACTAGATGGGCCTGATCCAGCAAGTTCTTCTTAGGTTCTAATGTAAGCCTGAAGCCTGTTCACCCCTGGACAATGTCTCTATGATGCGGTATTAAAAGTAGCCTGGGGAAAAAGGCTATTAAGTTGCACGTTTTTCTACTATCTGATCTTGAATATATCCAAGAATAGAGTTTTAAATCTTCCTGGGATTCACACACAAAAACCATTTGCAACCTACAGAAACAAGTCTTTTCTGACTGGCAGGAACAAATTACTGATGTGCCTTTAATAGAATTGGCCACTCTCTTTTTTGTTTCTCAGCCAGGTCTGCAGATTTATTGGGTACAAAGACGGTGTTGGGGTGAGCAGTAAAAAAGCATTAAAAGAAAAGGTTTGCCCTGTTGAGTACTGGAGGGAGGCCATTCTGAGATTTTTTTCTTACGGATTTGGAAAGCGGGGAAGGCAGTTGATCATAATGAAACCCCGGGAAGCATTTGAAAGCAGCTCCATTCACCCAAAATGGCTGTTCTGCGATCAAACCTAGAGGGTGAGGGTGGAGAATGCAAGCTGAAATCAGAGCATTTATAAGGTCGCTGAAAATGCAGCCCCGACAGTTGAGTTCTCTGCTTTGAGAGCTTGTCCACACAGCTGTATCTGCCAGAGCATTTGTGATCTTCAGAGGTCCTCCTCTGACAGCTCCCATCAAACAAAATAAGGGAAAGTGCCTTCCGTGTGGGGGCACCTCCAATATGCAACAGAATTGTTGACAGATGGCCAATGGGTCTGTGTTTTGTTTGTTATTCAGTTCTAATCTCTTTTAAACAATAACAACAACAACAATAATATGATGATGATAAATATTACCTTAGCTCAGCAGCAGAACATCTGCTTGGCATTCAGAAGGTACTAGATTTTACTCCATTGGTTCTGCCTCCACCTCCCTGCCTTCTGCTCTGTCTGCCCCTTCAGCCACCACCGATCTCCCAGAAGGGCTGATAAGTATCCTGTCTGAAAATCCTGCAGAGCGGCTCCCGGTAAGTGTGGGCAGAGTTAAGTGAGATGGACCAAAAGCCTTCCTTGGTTGAAGGTAGCTTTGGATGTTATTGTGTGCCTGCAACCTGCACCTTGACATCTTTTCCACTGCAGATGGGGCGAACCAGGCTCAGGCTATTGGGATAGCTCAGTCGGTAGAGCATGAGGCTCTTAATCTCAGGGTCGTGGGTTTGAGCCCCACGCTGGACAAAAGATTCCTGCATTGCAGGGGATTAGACTGGACGACCCTCGGGGTCTCTTCCGACTCTACAATTCTGTGATTCAGTCATGTGCGCTGAGTTGAGTGTGCGCTCCGCCAAGCGAGCCACGCCTCCCACCTCATGCGCAGAGGACATGTCCCTCATCAGAACATGGTTTGGAGCTGACAATGTCCCTGGCAGCCCCCCAGGAGGGCAAGAAGGTTCGCGGCCAATGCATCAGTCTTGAATCATGGTCCCGGCATCCTCTGGCGCGAGTTGAAAAGGGGGTTAGCCCAAGAGTCCTTGGGATTGTTAAACAAAACCTGAGTAATCCTTTACTGGAGTGTCTTAATCTGCCTCTTCGCCACCCTGAGTAGACGAGAAACCACTTCAGAAAAGAGGGCTGCTTGCATGTTTGGCACACGCTCTACGGAGCCAGACGGGCAGAGTGTGTACTCGCCCCCTCCTGCCCCCCCCCCCAGTTTGGCGTCATCACCACTGTGCACCTGTGCAAACCTGAGTGCGCCCACAACGGCATTCCTCAGCCATGAGTTTGGATTGTTCTCCTCACATCAAGGGCCAGTTTTGCTGTGTGATGACTTTGTTTTATTTTTCAAGTGTTCCAGGACTACTTATTGACTTGCATGGAGCTGTTTGGGTTTCCATTTGTTTCATCCAACTGAAAGGCTTCTCACCTCAGCTTTTACGCTCACACCTGCCTCTGGCGTTCTTCCTTCCTGCTTGCTTGTTCCCCACCATGCTTACTAAGACTTGGAAATGCAAAACAAGGATACTTAGCAGCTATTTCTTAAGAGTGTTACATGGACGCAAGCCCTTTCCCTGCACAGAATCAGACTTAAGGTTCCTCGTTAAACCAAATCTCCTGGTGTCCATCTTAAGATGTTCATATCTTCCTTCCTTCCTTCCTTCCTTCCTTCCTTCCTTCCTTCCTTCCTTCCTTATTATTACCTCAAAAGTGTTTACACTGTCATAATCTAAATTCAAACTTTAACTACAACCTACACAAAAACTTGTGCCATGAAACCTTTTCCTGTTTTTGTTTTTGAAAAGTTTCACTTAGGAGGGGCCAGTTTTCAAGCAGAGATGCAACAAAGGGAGACGCGCTCAACCCCTTTTCCCACCTGACATTGTCACTCCATCATTAGCCCTCCCTCGCAGCTTCCTCCCACCTTGTGGGGTCCGTTTTCGAAACATCAAATTCTGACAGTTTTTGGATTATCGGCAGCTAAGAGCCCTTCAGGATTGGGCCAACGGCCTGGCTAGTCCAGCACGGACCATAATCATCAAGGCTCATAGCCATTGGGATTGTTCACACATTACACTCTACACAGGTCAAGCTTTCTCTACATATCTACAAGCATTTGTGTGAAAGTATGATCTGTGAACATGCCTATGGATATAGCCTTATCTTCCACAAATTTGTCTGATCCTTTTTTATTTATCACACCTTCCAATAGCGGAGGCTTTTTAAACACAGGTTGGAGCGCCATCTGTCATGGAGGGTTTAGCTTATTCCTGCATTGCAGGGGGTTGGACTAGATGACCCCGGGGTCCCTTCTGACTTCTACAGTTCTATGATTCTGTAAGTAAAAGGTAAAGGGACCCCTGACCATTAGGTCCAGTTGTGACCGAGTCTGAGGTTGCGGCGCTCATCTCGCTTTATTGGCCGAGGGAGCCGGCGTACAGCTTCCGGGTCATGTGGCCAGCATGACTAAGCCGCTTCTGGCGAACCAGAGCAGCGCATGGAAACTCCGTTTACCTTCCCGCCGGAGCGGTACCTATTTATCTACTTGCGCTTGGACGTGCTTTCGAACTGCTAGGTTGGCAGGAGCAGGGACCGAGCAACGGGAGCTCACCCTGTCGCGGGGATTCAAACTGCCGACCTTCTGATTGGCAAGCCCTAGGCTCTGTGGTTTAACCCACAGCACCACCCTTGTCCTCTATGATTCTATAAGAGAGAGTCATAAAAACCCCCACATTCCATCCCCTCCTTGCCCAAACGCAGACACACAACCTGAGTTTTCCAGCCATGGCATCTCAGGCATTAAAGGCAATGGGGTGAATAAAAGATTTTGGGGACAACAGTAGAGTCCCAGTCATTTATTTGTTTGCACTGCATCCCTTAAACCGAGGAGGTGGGAATAAACTCTTTCACACTCTGTCGAGGACTTCCTCTTTGACACCTCAGCCAAGGACAATCCCTCCAGTTTTAATTACCTGACAAGAGTCTGCTTCTCTTCAGGGTCTCCAGCAGCGAGGAAAGGAGAACAGAAAAGGGAAGGAAGATGTTTAGATTCCTCACTGTAATTGTTTTGTTTACACTTTGATCACCTCAAGGACCAGACAATTACCTGGAGGACTTCCTGCTCCCAATTGCTGTGAGGAACCTATTCACATCCTCACTGAAGTGCTTTAACGCCAACTCAGAAATGTGGGAAAACATCCTTTGTTTATTTGCCTGCTCTTTTAAACAAAGTGGTAGCTTTAAAAACAGCCCTCCCTTCTACCTGGGACCAGGAAGCTGACAGTGCAGATAGCTTGTGGCTAGAGCAAAGGTAACGGTTGCCCTTATGGAAGTGGCTTTAAATTTCTCCAGGTAGGGTTTGCTCCCTGGAAGAAGCCAGTTGCCCTGTTCATCGGTGTGACAAAGGTCCCCACTGCACATGCACCCATACATTTTCCCGCAGTTCAATGTCACAGCGCTGCAAAATGTGGGTGAGTCCCAGAAGCATGTGGATGGCTCAGCCCTTTGGGGTTTATGCATCCGATCATTTTCCCAGCTGGGAAAGGGGTGGTTATTGGCTGATGTGTGCTGGTGGGGAGCCCACAACATCAGCCACTTCTGATATCCAGAGGCATGCTGCATCTGTATGGAGACATGCAACGGGAAAAGCAGCTTCTGCTTCACTGCGCATGCTCTCTCACTGAAAACATCTGGCCGGGTGTGATGCACTGCGGTGGCCAAGAAAGCAACCTGTGTCCCCGGATGCTTCTAGGGCAAGGATGAGGAAACTGCTGCCCTCCAGATGTGGATGAACTACAACTCGCATCATTGTGGACCGTTGGCTATGCTGGCTGATAGTTGCTGGAGTCCAACCATGTCTGGATGGACACAGGTTTGAGACTCATGTAGCTCAGTCAGTAGAGTGTGAGACTGTGACTCTCAGGGTTGTGAGTTCGAACTCCATGTTGGGCAAAAGATTCCAGCATTGCAGGGGTTGGACTTAATGACCCTTGTGGTCCTTTCCAAATCTATGATTTCCCCCCTCCCTACTCTGGAGAAGTCTTACATTAGGCATTAACTCACTAGGTGAGAGAACCCTATGGAGCGCTAACAAACTGAATAGACTGGAACCTTCCCGATTTGGGGAGTCAGGTGAGAGAGAACCCTCCATTCTTGTGTGCACCACAGTATAGAAGCTATATCTTCTGAATATGTGGACACACTTCAATGGAAGCAGCCAGTTGCAGCGGAAAGTGACCAGGCTCCTCCTCCGCTGAACCCCCAGACTGTTTCATACCTGACCAAGTTTACTGATGAATAAAGAGATGAATGTGCAATGCCCCCTTCTCATGCTAAGGTTGTTCCTGGAGCACTTGAACACATCACCTGATTTCAGAAGCTAAGTCAGAAAGGCTAGTACTTGGATGGGAGACCATCTGGGAATACTGGGCAGCATAGGTTTAAGAAAGCTGTGTGGTGTAATGGTTAGAGCGTTGGACGACGACCTGGGAGGCCAAGGTTCAACTCCCCACGCAGCCATGAAGTGTGACCTTGGACCAGTCGCTGGCTCTTGCCCTAATCTACCTCACAGGGTTATATGGGAATGAAATCATAGAATTGTTGAGTTGGAAGGGACCCTGAGGATCATCTGGTCCAGCCCTCTGCAATGCAGGAATCTGCTGCTGTCCCATCCAGGGACTGAACCTGCAGTCTTGATGTTATCAGCATCACGCTCTAACCAACACCGAAACATCCATGTTGACACATGTGGGGGAGGAGAGACATGTATACCCCCTTAAGCTGGGAAGAAAGGCTGGATACAAATTAAATGAATTACTAACGACAGCCACCAAAACAGAGAAGGCCTGCTGGATCTGGCCAAAGCCCATCTAGCCTGGGATCCTGTTCTCAGAGTTGACCAACCAGATGCCCATGGGAAACCAACAAGCAAGATCTGAACGCAACAGCTTCTCCAGACTCTGGAGCTTCCATCATTCAGGGCTAGACACACGACAGCAACTCAATGCAACTACCAAGTGTCATGGTGGTAAGACGGACACCACCACCTTTGAGTCCCTACAGTCACCTCCGAGAGGCAGGCAGGGCTGAAAACCATGCATGTGAAACTCAAAGACGGGTTTTGCTGCTGGATCTCCTCCCAAGCCTGCAATCAGTGGCAAGCACTGGTGCCTTTGGATTCTATTTTGCCATTGGCTAGTTAAGTCCACTGATAATCACTTATCAATAACTGCCATCATTTTATAACTCTTGTTATCAGCCTTCAAAGATGAATTTAAACGGGGCAACAGATACCTCCTTGGCTTCTACATCCTTTTCTGCTTTCCAATCAGACTGCTTTTTATTTTTTAAAAATAAAATCCTGGCATCTCTTCTGCCCTCCTTCACACTACGGGGGTTCGTTTGGAGAGAGAGTCTGCCTTTTATCTTTTTACATTGTCCCTGTGCGGTTCTGCCTCTTCAAGCATGTTAGAGAAGTTCTGGGTTGGGGCTTTGAAAGAAGAAGAAGAGAGAAAAAAACCCATTAGCTTCCTTCTTTCTCTTCTGGAAAATCCACCATTTGTATAGCTGAGTGGCACCTGTTAGTTTCTGGGACAAATCCACCCCTCGAGAACGTTAATCTTAATTATTACTCTGTGGTCTTCTGAGATTTAGCGGCTTATCTCCAGTTCCTGCTTGAATCCGTTCCTGGTTGTTTCCTAAGCATCCTCTCTCCGCAGCCTCTCCTTGCTCACCTTCTGGAACTCGCTGTTCCAAGGAAGACGTTGAGAAATTTGTTTCTCATAAGTCTCTGTCCCAAAGTGACGTTTTGTCAGTTTATGAGATGCAGGAAGTTGCAACTGCCCGTTATTACCTTTTTTATTGAACTCGGAGGCTCCTTTGATGATTCACCGCAAATCGAGTGGCCGACCGGAGGTGGGTGGTTGAGGGCAGGTGTGTGCTTATTCCAGAACCTGTGAAGGGATTATCTGAGCGATGGCAAGTGCCCATAGCAGGCTCTATTCACGAAAATGCTTCACAGAAGACAGAGGATGGTACCTATGGCTTCAGGCCTGGTAGAAGGCTTTGTTAAGCGGCTTCTTACAAACCGAAACCTTGGCCAGATGGTGGACTTCAGACTTCTGGCTGGGCAACTCCCGTATCCCAATAGTGTTTCTGTTTTCTCTCACCCACCCCTTAACGCTTCTTGCACTTCCTGTGCATTTCTTAGCTGGAGCAGTTAGTCCAGAATGAGGAATCTTTGACACCGGGATCAAATGCCTCTCTCTAAGCCTCTCTCTCTCTCTGGCTGTCAGGACTCTCCTGACATCACAGTCTTTCCCTCTCCAGGAACATACCTTCCAACATTTCTCTGATGAAAATAGGGACGTCCTATTCCACACCTTCCAACATTTCTCTGATGAAAATAGGGACGTCCTATTCCACACCTTCCAACATTTCTCTGACGAAAATAGGGACGTCTTAAGGAAAATGCGGGACATTCCAGGATCAAATGGGAAACCGGGACGGCTTCTGTAAATCTGGGACTGTCCCTGGAAAATAGGGACACTTGGAGGCTCTGCAGGTCATGCCTCTTACCTGCCCTGTTTCACACCATCCTTGAGCATTTTTTTCTGACTGGGATGTAGCCTTGAACTCCAATAATGCCTTTTGCTCAGCTGGATGGAAGGCAGAGAGGCTGCGTGTGTTTGTGCAGAAACTGGCTGCTGATCAAAGGTAGAAGTTGCAACGAGTGACAAATGCGGAGGCCAGACTTGCTCACAGGAGCATACGAACATCAGGAGAGACCAGCTGCCTCAGGCCAATCTCCCATCCAGTTCAGCATCCTGTTCTCACAGTGGCCAACTGGATACCTGGGGAAAGCCCACACGGTGGTTTCGAGGAATTGTTACTTGGAAGCATGGATGCCTTCAGCTGTGGAGGCAGAGCCCCTTGGCAACATTTGGTAGTCCTTTGCCAAGAGAGCACTTTCCCCCAAAAGATTCAGTCAGCCTTCACCAGGGAACTGGCCTTTTGTGTGGTGGGCCCTGCCCTGGGGAACTCCTTGCCACTAGAAGTCCAGCAGATGTCATTCCTGCTTTCAGAAGAGTTTCATAAACTCTACTGTTGTTCTGACAGTTCTTTGGAACTTTGACTTTTTGGTTCCTCAACCAACCAGTTTATTGATACGCTGTTGCTGGTTTGTTGGTGTTATTTTTACAGATGCTGTTATCGTAATGTGTTTTTACCTTGTATGCTGCCTTGCTATGCTTCTTAGGAAACTGAAATTTATGGCTATTTCAAATAAATAAATAAATGCAATGTTGCGTTTGTCTCCCCACCTACTTTTGCTCCTGGCCTCACCCACTGTTGGCATGTGTCCGAGGAAGGGAATGTACCCCCCGCCCGGCTGAAGCAGCTTCCCCACCCCAGAGTTGGTCAATCCCCAGATATTCTATTTATACAACGTTTCCTGTTGCAGCCATTACGAAATAATGCCATGGGAGCCTGGAGACTGCAATAACGCAAGCTTTGTGCAACCGGCTCAACTCTTTCTCTGGCCAGTCTCAAAATGGCCACCAGTGCCACCCTACGCTTCATTCCTCCACTGGCGTTCCACAGAACTGCTTCCCTCCAGGCACCCACTCCTGGGACACTTTGGTTCCGACTTGTGCCAGAGGCTTGTCCTTCCTGTTCCCTCCTATTGCTGTTCCTCTCCTTGACTCCTTCAAATCCGGATGCTGATGAACATAAGGAGAGCCTGGCTGCTGGATCAGGCCAAAGGGGGCCCATCTGGTCCTGCATCCTGTTCTCAGTGTGGCCAACCAGATGCCTGGGGGAAACCTGCAAACGGGATTCGAACACAAGAGCAACTCTCCCCTCCTGTAGTTTCCAGCAGATGGTATTCAGAACCATGGTTGCCTCCAGCTGTGGAGACAGGGCATAGCCATCACATACCCTCTGGTGAAAATAAGAACATCCTATTCCCCACCAACGTTTCTCCAGTGAAAATAGGGATGTCCTATCATGGCTACTAGCCATCAATAGCTCTCTCCTCTATGAATTTGTCTAATCCTCTTTCAAAGCCATACAAATTAGTGGCCATCCCTACTTTCCCCTTTTGTACTATCTTCTTCTTCTTCTTCTTCTTCTGTTAGTATTATATACTTATATATTATATGAGAGTTAGAATGGTGTAGTGGTTAAGAGCGGTGGACTTGTAATCTGGTGAACCGGGTTCGTAATCTGGTGAACCGGGTTCGCTTCCCCACTTCTCCACATGCAGCTGCTGGGTGACCTTGGGCTAGTCACACTTCTCTGAAGTCTCTCAGCCCCACTGACGTCACAGAGTGTTTGTTGTGGGCAAGGAAGGGAAAGGAGATTGTTAGCAGCTTTGAGACTCCTTATGGGGAGTGAAAGGCAGGATATCAAGTCCAAACTCTTATTTATACCCTGCTTTCCCCCCCTGATGGGACTCAAGGCCGCTTACGGGTAAAAATAGGAACCACTAAAAACATAGAGAAAACAATCATTAAAATTTACTTTGAATTGAAACTGTATGCACATATAAAATCAATTGCAGCCATACCAATAATTACAATAAAAACAGCAAGGCACCTATTATTATATATTTATTGGACCCACAGGATTAGTCAGCAACCTTAGGCTCAGACTTTTAAGATTCCAGCTGGTGAGCTTGAAAGCTCACCAATAGCTCTCGGGGGAAAGGTAAACAGAGCCCACCATCATTTGGTGATTAAAAAGGAGAGCGAGGGATCAAGATGCTCATTCTAATTCATCTTCATTGTCGGATCATTGTCCTCTTCCCAGTGTGTTTTCAAAACATATCGACCGTGCCTTATTGATATTTGCTTCTCAATCACCTTCTTCCATGAAATGAGCAGGGAGGACACTGAAATACGTAAGCAAGGAAGGAAAGAGGGGTGTTTTTTCTTGCTGCTACTATTCCTTCAGTGCTTTGAAGAGTTCCAGAGGAAAGGTCCCTGCCCTGAGGAGCTTACAATGACATAGGGAAACAACAGATGAAAGGGGGGGCATAGGAATACAGGAAGCTGCCTTATGCAGAATAAAACTATTAGTCCATCTAGCTAGATATTGCTTTTTCAAACTGGCAGTGCCTCTCCAAGGTTTCAGGCAAGAGACATTGGCAAGTCCAGTGTAGGGTTTGGGGAAATCTCCGGCTTTGAGAGACTCTGTAAGGAAAGGAAGCAGCATTTGGGAGCTTTTTGTTCAGGGAAAAGTCACATAGAAGATTATAGATTAAAATAATGCCTGGTGTGGAGAAAGTGAATCCTCCCTGTCATGGAACTAGAGGGTTCTTCTCCCTGTCATGGAACTAGAACTAGGGACATTCAGGGAAGCTGAACGTTGGGAGATGCAGGACAGAGAAAAGAAAGCGCAGTACATAGTTTAACTGTGGAACTCACTGCCACAGGAAGCAG